CGGCCGCGTTCGAGTCTCGCCTCGTTTCGGTTTTAGACCCGAATTCACAATAGTAGATTAAATAAACAGAAATTTGTAATCCGGTGAGAAGATAAATGAAGAGAAACGGATGGCAGGACGTGTAACAGATGAAAGAAAAAAAAAAAAAAAAGGAAAAATGTGGAAAACAAAGAAATAAATTATAATAAAGAATGGGATTGTAACTTAGAAGGGTAAATAAAAAGGTTAATAGTGAATTGTGCGTGATTTAAAAGAAAAGAAACAGAGAAGTTGTAAGTTGTATCGTGAAATGAAAAATTAGAACATTTGACTTGTAAGAAGTACAGAAAATGAAGATATGATGATTTGGGGATGAAAGAGAACAGCGATTTGAATGGAAAACGAAGGAAGAAGAAATAGAAAATGTAGTGTAGTATTATGTAAGAAACACTAGGAAATGAATCAAGAAATAAAATTATTATTTGAAGAAAAAAGTAAAAAATAGGATACTGATCTAGAAAAAGAAAAAAATGGAAGAATAAAAAGGGAAGGAACAATAGAGACGCCGGGAAATATTAATTTTGAAGCAGAAAGTTGAAAATAACTACAAGAGGAAGGAGAAACATTGAAAACTTCTGAGAAACTTCTAAGCAGAAGTTTAAAAGAAGAAAGTTCGAATTGGTCTGGAAAATAGAATTGGAAGGAGTCCTAGTGAGAAAATAGAAGAAGTTTCAGAAAGAAAATTATAGGAAAGTGTGGAGTGGTACAAGCGATGATACAAGAGTTGAAATCTTAGTCGAAAAATCGAGTACATTTTGGAAAAGAAAGTTGCAGAAGTTTTGTCTAAAAATTGCAAAACTAAATTAACAACTTTCGAAATAATCAAGCAACAAAAAAAAAAGTAAAAGACGATCGATAAAAACTGAAATTATAGAATTATCAATTATAATTTGTGATTGATATATATCGAGAAACTTAAATATAGAGACAAAAATATTTTAAAATAATCAAGAAACAAGTAAAGTGATCTATTTAGTGAGTCGAATTACAGATAAACTAATCTGTTCAGTGATATTCAAAAAAAGACCCTTTTGCAATATTGAAAAACCTTTAAACGAAGATTAATTTCAGCGATACGTTCTTGTCAGTGGACGTGTATAGAAAGATAGAGTTTATCGAGAAAGGAAAAATGAATTTTTAAGGTATGTTTTTAAAAGTACACGTAAACGTTGAAATCGTTGAAATGCTTATAAAAGTGATAAATGAACACGATTGATTCCGAATGATCGATGCGATACTATTTCAGCAATTGGTAATATTTATTATCGTGTTGACGAAGATGAATAATTGACTTATTCATCTTCTCCTGTCTTGCCCTCTTTTTGCTCTCTTATCTTCTCAAAAGATTGTCACTTGTTAATGTTGTGTCTTTCATTAAAATTGTTGAACTGAAGAAAAAGATAATATTATGTATTCGTATACACGGATGATTACAATAAGATTAGGAAAACTCTTACGGTTGTATTACAAATCGAAATCGTTCCTCGGAACTGGCAAATATTTATGAAAAGCTATCAGGAAATGATGCTTTCAAGGGAAGCCTTTGATTTCTCACCATTCTGTTTCCGCCCGCTGAAACAATATACCAATCGAAGTAATTGGAGAATCGAAACCGGATGAGTGATACTTGTTCTAGTGTATATACCGTTTTTTTAACCATCTTATGAATGTTGGTATATTTTTTTTTATATTCCTTGCTTTTAATTTGATTGAACAGGAGAAACAGGAGAGATAGAAGATCAAAGGATTTAGAGATTAGAAGTAAACGATTAGCCGTAGCTATTTAGTTTAGGCCACGTATTCTATCTCACTGATGATTCTCCGAGCAGGTTTCTCTCGTTTATTTAATTCACTCTCTATGATCAGTCTGCCTACATACGTACATATGTCCTTGATCTTATCGATAGAGACATGATCAGTGTTCGCTAGCTTTGGAAAAAGATTTATTCAACGATTTGTATAAAAATGATGATCTAATTTAATATAATATTCTTCTTTTTAAATTTAACATAATATTCTCCTTTTTAAATCGAGTAAAATAATTTTCTACAGCATATCTACTAATTGTTATTTTATCGATTATTTGGCCATACAAACGGATCTGTAGAAGAAAGTAAAAAAAAATAGAAAAAAAGGAAGAAATGAAAGAAACAATTAATAAAATAGAAGAAACGTAAAAGTTATACCTGCTTTAGGTTGTCGTGCATGTCAAATGATTATAATTATGCAAACACGAGCAGTGCGTCTTTAAATACGATCGCGTGCATCCAATTGAACGCAGCGCGTATTATCAAGTCGCCACTTAATCACCGACCAGAACATGTTCACTCGTGTTACGCACGCTCGTCTAATCAAAGCGACATACTACTGCCCGTTATCACTAATGGCGGTCATGTGGGATCAAGTTCGAGGTTTATGAATGACTTTACCGGCATATGAGTAAAGTACTTAAAGATAAAATACTCGTTGATGTTGATTCATATTTTTAGGAAGTGATCTTGAAAATAGTAATACAGAATTGCGTCTTTTTCTTGTATTCTTCTCATTGTCTTCTTTCACCTTTCTCAGTTATTATACAAATTTGACAAAGCAAAGGAAATATTACTTGTCACTGAAAGTCTGTTCAACTGTTTCATTAATGCACTTTTCCTCCAATTTCCATTCTTTTCTTTTTTTTTTTTTCTTCTAAAAATCCTTTTTAATAACGATAATCGTTTCATAAATCTGCAAAAGAAATCGCGAAATAGGTTTTATAAGGGATATTCACGAAGGCAGTGAAGTAATAAAATTCAAATCGGCAAGAGATGAAAGGAGATGTAGTAAAACGGAAAGACGCACACAATAAATAATACTTCGTCTAACGTCGTTTCAAAACAAGCATCGCGGAAAGAGATTTTGAAACGGCCGGAAGATTTACAGATTCTGAATTAATTTCCCCGAGTGAAATGAGAGTACGCTGCGAAACGCGGTATGCCGTCGCCGGTCGTACACACTACAGAGCAAATAAACTCTCGTGTAGCTCCGTTAACGACGCTGGCCTGTAATATGTAGTTTCTAAAGCAAGAGCAAGATTTATCGGGGGAATTTGCCAGTTGTCGGCCGACCGGCTGTTTATAAATGGAATCGTCCCGGTGTACGCTACAACACGTAAATATCGATTCCTCCGTTCGATGCTCGAAACGTATTCGAAATAAATTTTCGTTCGATCGTTTATCGTTCTTTGCGAAACGCGATTCGCGGCTATTCGAGTTCGCTGGTTTCGTTCGCGAGAATTGGGCGCCCTCTAAAAGTATCAATGCCTCCGATCAGATGATCAGACTCGTCTGACCTGCCGAAATGGAAAACAAAGAGGCTGTAAAGGGTTGAAAATGACTTCATAAAATTTTCATTAAATGGCTTTTCTTTCGAGGCAAGAATTCACGACTAAATTTGAATTTAATTGGGATGAAAAGAATTAACATGTGTAATACGTGGGATATTGTATATGTATGTACAATCTTATTAACCGCTTGCGCTGGCAACTGATTGCGGACCGTAACGAGTGACCAAACCGTATATACAACAATACGTGAGAAGTAATAAATTTATTAATCGTCTTGCCTATTTTGTTTTACTTAAATATACTTAAAACTGAGAAAATATTACAATTTTTCAAACAAAAAATTCTATAAGTAGAGTTAGAAGTAGAGTTAGAGTTAGATTACAATTTTTCAAACAAAAAATTCTATAAGTAGAGTTAGAAGCTTAGGATGTATTTAAATGAACTTGAAATCTTGAAACTAAAATCACAAACTTTCCATATATGTATACATGTATATTAATACTTTTTACAATTATAGTCTCTACGAACTGGAATTGTTTGTTGACCGTGTAATTAAATCTAACGAGATAGGAGCGCAAAAAGAAGCATTACGAACAAATGTAGAACATAAATGAACTCGATAAGAACACTATAAATTTCCATCGTGGTATATGTAATTATCTGTCTCCTGAAACAGATATTAATCACATCCTAATCACAAAAGCGCATCAGCCATGCTGAAGAACTCGAAACAAACGAACTCTGAGGCAGCAGTGGTGTCGCCTAGTTCCGTCGTCGACACCACTCCGAAGCCCAGGAAGAAACTTTCGTTCAAGGAGCCCGAGATATTCAACTATCTGAAGTTGAAGAAACCTTTTAAAAAGTCAAAACCTCCCCCTCTCCAGTTGACGCGTTCAACAACGAGTGTCGATTTTAGCTTCGATGAGAACCCCTTTGAAGAAGAGAACGATGACCTCGAGGAGCTCGAGGTAAAGGTGTACGTTTACGAATAACGCCGTTTATGGGATAAGGTTGTCCCGCTCTTGTAAAGAAAAAAGAAAGAAAGAGGAGCCACGGGATATCGTGCAGGAATAAATTATATAATTACAGCATGTCCTAACTCTTCTATCCATGGATTTTCAGTTTCTTATGGTTTCTTCTTTTTTTTCTTCTCAGTAGTTTTCCTCGGTGGAATTTTTTCGACACTGAAAATATAGTTTGGTAGAAATTGAGAGATTGATGTATGAAAATATTTTGGAATGGAGTTCTGCTTGGTTTTAAGTTTAGAGTTAGATTATTTTGTATTGAGTGAGTATTCTAATACTGGGACTTTATATTACGTTTGAAAATTTACAAATTAAAGAGTTGTAACTTTCGAAAGCTAAAAATTAAAAAATTTGAAATTTTGAAAATAAAAAGATTTGAAAACTTGAAATTTTGAAAATGAAAAGAATTTGAACCTTGAAAAATTCGAAACGCGAAAAATACTAAAATGTTCCGACGCATTTGTAAATTTTGATCTTTTCAATACTTGAAGTTTGATTATGCTCGCGCATAAATTCACCCTAATATTTGCATGCCTGTGCCGCAATTGTCCCTCGTCACCTCTAAATATTGCACTTACTTGTACGTTCAATTGAAAAAAGTTCGCTTTCGTTAGAGTCAGGCGATGAGGGTGGTCAGGACGGTCGGACAGGCTTTCGAGGTGTGCCATAAATTAAGTATAAACAACGCCGCGGAAGAGCGGGACCGGGGAGAGAAAGAGAAAGAGAGGGAACACGGTGAGAATCATCGTGACGTTTACGAGGACCAAGATGAAATACCGAATGAACAGTTGCAGCCGTCGCCGTCTTTTGTGCATAAAGGTTCTGCTTAATCTAAAAAAAAAAAAAAAAAAAAAAACCAATTCGTTTTAAACTAAATGAATGTCTTAATATTTTTATTAATAACGACTAAAATCTCTATTAAGATTCCATTTGTTCAATAAAACTTGCAAAGATCGTGAGATTGCATGAACATCTGTAGTTTGTTCGTTATGAACTTTTTTCAAAAATGAAAGTGAAAAAATATATATATTTTCAGATATATCGTTATTAGGGGACGCAGATGATTCGGTGCCAGAACAGACGACTGTTCCTTGTCTTTTGAGGACGCACGAAGTCCCAGCGACCGCAGCGTCTACCTCGCCTATTAGACAATCGCCATCGGTAAGTTGAGCAGAACATTAAAAATATATACTATCTTACTTTAAAATTGTTTTTTTTTTAAAGATACACTAAACATATAACTGATTAATCTCATGTATAGGGTACGGTGACCTCCGATTGTGGTGGAGGGTTACTGGTTGGAGGAGAATTAACCGCTCTGAAGCATGAGATTCAACTGTTGCGAGAACGATTAGAGCAACAAAGCCAACAGACCAGAGCCGCTGTTGCCCATGCGCGATTGCTTCAGGATCAGCTTGCAGCTGAAACGGCAGCTCGAGTCGAGGCTCAAGTAAATGATATGCTGTACTGCTTATGGAATGTTTATCAACTGTGCCAAATCTGAAAATGCTGATTCATTAATATTAGAATTGAGCTGCTCTGTAGACATTAATTAAAGTTACTAAATATATATTCAAATAAATTCAAATATGTAGTAAATATTAACATGCATTAAAGAATGATAAAATGAATAATTATCAATAATATTATCAATGCTTACTTTACAAGTAAGTATTAGTAAGATTTGCTAAACATTTGTAGATTCAAGCAAGTATCAAAAGATATTGGTACATACACATAAATTTTGTAACTGTTATCCATAGATAGTAATAGCTAGTAGATATTGACCAGTTATGTTTTATGTTTTAGGCTAGAACGCATCAATTGTTGATGCAAAACAAAGAGCTTCTGGAGCATATAGGTGCATTGGTCGGTCATCTTCGAGAGCAAGAACGGATCTCGAGTGGACATGGAACCTCACAATCTCAATTGTCTGGCTCAACTACGATGCAACAAACTACTACCGTTCCTGACCTGTCGAACATCGGCCAGGTAACGCTCTACAGAATACCATGACACGAGTGTTCAACAGTCAGCAAACTGTATGCCTGCGAACGTTGCATTCCAATTAACGTTTAGCACTGTATTTCCTTTGTTTTTCTCTTCTTTTTCTTTTTTTTATACTGTAACGCCTTTTGTACTGACGCATTTTTTTTTAAATGAATTTCTTAATAAAACAATTTACACGCATTTTTTTTGTTTTGCACCTCATCATCGAATAAGCGATTGTTGTATCGAGAAATGTGTTACAAATATTTTTTAATTTGTTTATTATAAAATTGAGAATGCGTATTTTTTTTTTTTTTTTTTTTACATTTTTAAATTCGTTAAAATCACAATTTTTTTTTCTCTATATCAGTTAACTGCGTTCCGTCATTCTATTTTTAGATAAGATACAACTAAATGTATGCTCAAAAATATTTATTAATTTAAACTGAATGTCCTAGATTATTTTGCATGTATACTGGACTGTATATTTTAAAATATCGCTTAGCTGCCATAAGAGATTTTATGTAATTAAGATATTTGAATCTAAATAATAGCGTCCATTTAAAAATACAAAATGCCTGTGTAATTCAGAATCAATTGTTAAATGGACCATCTACATGGATGTAGATTTACATCTACATCAAGAAATCTTATAATTTAATCAATATGGATAATAATTATTTAAAAAAAGTCGAATAAAATTTGAATGCTGAAATAGAAAAAGAAACTTGGTCAAGCACACGTGATAAGTTTAAGCAAATTTTATAAAGGAACTTTTTAATCCTTTCAAGGAAACTGTATGAGCGGTTAAACTTTGAAAACAGTATTGCTTATGAGCGACGCGTTTCGTCCTAGATTGCTCGACCGGAAGGTAGCAATTTAATGCTGACATTAAAGCTAAATCGCTAATCCAATAATCGTGCTAAGCGCCGGTGTGACGATGTTATGTAACAGGTCTTCGCACGGGATTTTGGACTTTGCGCTACCAACAAATGCTAGGTAACGTTGCCAATTTTTGAATTCTTACAAAGCATGCATCAGAATTTAAAAAAAGAAAAAAAATGAAAAGTAATAAAGTTTCAGGTAATCAAATATTATCATGCTTTCTTAACGTTTCATATTTCAAATTTTTTTATAATTTTTCAAATTATAAAATTCCAAATTTTGCCTCATTAAAATCCGAATATATATCTCTGAATACATAAAATATTAATATTTCTAGTCATTTACCCTTTGATACATTTATTCTAGAACAATATTTTAGTATCATTATCTTCTAAACAGTGCCAACGAACAGGAGGGCAAAGTTCACCATGGGAACTGGATCCACCATCTCCATACTATTATGCATCAGATCCCTTATATTCTGGAGGTCTGAATACAATGGGAATGCAAGGGAACAGTTGTCCAGTAGATCAGTTACAATTTCAAACGCAACTCCTAGAAAGGCTGCACAACATAAGTCCATATCAGTCTCAAAGATCACCGTATAACACACCTTCTCCTTATGCAATGGGTCCCAATCTTCTTGTACCTCCTAACAATAGGCCATCTGTAAGTATTCTAATAAAAATTCTAATATTAACTTCAAATAATCTCGCAAAATATACATGACTTACACAATTTTTTGGATTTGTAGAGTTCAGCTCAATTGTCTCCAAGCTCCATGTCATTAAGAGTTTCTCAAACAAACAGTTTCTCTTCATCACCTGTAATGACGCACAAAATAGATAATTACGTAGGAAATCCAGAGAATACAGAATTGAAAACAACATTCATAAAACCTTTACCTTGTACAGGCGAAAGGAATGCTAGTCACGTAATTCAGGAAACAAAGAGTAAGCAGGATCGAATTAATTTGCATGATGAAATTCCACCTATTGTGCTGGATCCTGCACCTCAGGGTAAACGTTCAGAGACAATTGCTAAACAATTGTCGACCAAAGAAAATTCTAATGGCCAAGGATCAAATAAGAAGAGCTCACAGAACCAGAAAAATCTAGCTACCATCTTAAGAACCCCTGGTCCACCACCGTCTCGCACAACCAGTGCTCGTTTGCCTCCGAGAAATGATTTGATGTCTGAAGTGCAAAGAACTACTTGGGCGAGACATACAACCAAATGATGAAGAATTTTCTTTGGAATAGTTTCTGAAAAATTTAGTGTCTACTAGACATATCATTTCCTGGGTAAAACGTTTCTGATGAAAAATAATGTTTCTTTCTAATTTTGTAGTATGATTTGAAGTTCCATAGACTGATTGGAAGTTCCATAAATTGTCTGTATTATAACATAATTAAATATAATTTGTTGTTATAATTATTTTTAGTTTTAAATATAAGAGAAACATTGTGCATAGACGAAAGTTCTATCCAGGTCAGTTTATTATCATAAGTGAGAACTACGTGAAGCGTGTAAATGCGTTTTGTTTCTTGTTAACGCAGTAGATTGCTCATAAAAGATGGAATTCTAATTATCAACAATAGAAAGTAGTTCCAGATGATTGTTTATAGACTTTCCTTGAGAGATAAAATCAAGGGAAAGATTTATAGTTGAAAGTGTAAATTCAGTTTATCTTTTCCATTGGTGCCAAAAGATCAGAGCTTTTAATAAAATATATTTTCAACAAGCGAATAAAGAAATTTGTGATCAGCATATAACATATGAGTGTATATAAAGCGTCATTCTTGTTACATACTTATTAAACTCCGATAATTTTACAAGTCAAATAACTCTGTACTATAAAATAGAAAGATGCAGGTTTAACCTGATGTTAAACTTTTGTGAATTTTATTCGACACAACTCTTAGGAAAGAAATTTTTTTTTTGTATTATATGTATGGAAAAAATTGATGAATGTAAGAGGAAAAAGACAGATCTATATATTGAATTAAAAGAAAAATATATAAATATGTAGTTCTGACATGTTGAAAAATCGCAGTTAAAATAAATTAAGATATAAAAAATGTTGGAACCATTTATAAAAAAAAATGTTGAAATCATCGAGAAGTGCGTTTAACAATTGCAATGGCCAGTAAATAAAATGTTCTGCGAAAAAACGATGTCTTTAATTTACTCTTGAAGATCCTACAATATTCAAGTTATTTGAATTTTAGTCATATTTAATAAAATGGTGATATCCTTTTCACTGACAGTGTATACGGGATTATTAATGGCATACAGCGATGCAGCTGAATGCGTGTTACTGTCTTTCAGTATATATTCATAGGGTATTCATACCACGCGGTTCATTTTGAAAATGCTTCTATCTACCTTGACAGTAACTGTGAAGTAACTGTGTGTAACCTTCACAGTTACTTCACAGTAACTTTATGCAATTTTTGATGAAGATTTAATAAAATTTTTTAGGAAAAGTATTTAAAGTTTTATCGAAATAATAATTAAGTCTCAATAAATTAAAAGATAACTCACTAAATCTTTGGATACAATGATTCGCTTTTGATAAGAAAGAACTGTGACGACGTTTGACATTAGATACAGTGTAAGTCGCGAATACAAATATAGAGAAAAATTCGGAATCAATAGAAAAAATTTTAAGATCGAATGGTGCCTCTCGATCTCGAATGTAAGTGATGTCACTGTTAGTACAATCTTCTCTGGAGATAAAGTTTAAACAAATTTTCTGAAACAAATAAAGAAAACAACGTCGTTTTGGATTATAATGTGAAACATATTTTTTTCATATTTCAAAGAACAATTAAAAGATTGGAAAAATGAAGAAATAAAGATTTTTTGTGTGTATTACTTGCATTTATCTAATCAGCAAATGCGTCAACGATAGCAACAAGGGTAACATCGCGTGAACAGCGAAGTTTTCATCAAGTTCGATAAATTCTCGAGTAATTTAGTGACTAATAAGATGCATACCTGACGTTAATTAGCAAATTAATTTCACGAAATGAAATTCCTGGACATGTATTTTTACGATAAACGCTACCCTCTGTATTTGCAGCTTTCATACTACTAGAGGACACGTAACTAGTCACCTTCATTAGAATATTAAATTCAATATAATTTCTTATGTATGAGAAGTAAATAAATAAAATATAATTATAATAATAAGAAGATAAATATAATATATAAAAATATAAATATAATAAGCAAGTAAAATAAAAAAAAATATAATTGCAATAGAGAGAATAAAGTTTCAGCAAGTAATATAAAAATAAATACAATATAATTACACAATAAATACAAATATAATTACAATAGAGAGAATAAAGTTTTAGCAAGTAATATAATTACGTACGATGTTAGAAAGTAAAATGTTATTAACAAAGAGCTTGACATATAATAAAAGTATAAAAGTGAAAAATTTATAAAACCGAAAGTACATCGTATTTATATTCAAATAATTTCAAGTTATAGACTAATATGACTAAAATTATACGTTGCTCGATTTTAAAAAATCCGTATCGGCTTCCCTAGACAAATGATTGATTATTACGAAGGTGTGTCATAAAAATGAGCAATAACGATAACGTGGATTTTCGTGACCCTTCACAAATCACATTCCGCGGGTAAATAGTAGGCAAAAAGGGAGAGGATGATATTGGGGGGGTCTTTAGAGATTCTGAAAGAAGAATAATTATCTGTGAGGCGAAGGGTGGGGTCGCGTGAAGAATGCGAGTTGTACGTGAGCATGATGAGCATCTAGGGTGCGGCACGTCGCATGTGACCTCGGGCTTCTGAAACGTTTACATTGACACTTAATCAAGCTCTTGTCATTGATCACTGACCGTATCCATATTCCTGAAAATAAAGATTGTAAATGCCTTGAAAATAAGAATTATAAATGTCCTATACACGTACATAATGTTTTATTACTTTTGTAAGGAACTATATAAATTTTTAATTTCAGTCAAAATTTATTACTTCTAATAGAGAAGATAAAGGAAATATATGGAAGAATATTATGAGTTTAGATATTAATAAACATCATAATGCAATATTATAACATATTCTTGTAATAATACTATCATTAATAATTTTATAATAACAGTATACAATTATTATAAGAGTATAAGAATTTCTTCTATAAATTCATTGTCAATAATCTCCCATAGCAAAGCATATCTTCTCTATCTAAGTTTTCTAAAGATAAATTGAAACGTCGTTAGAAAACACGTTTATGCTATGACCATCTAACAAAGTAGTCTAATCGTTAAACGAAGTATCTACTTGCCTCTAATATACGACCTTTCGTGATTTCGAGAATTTATGCCGTGGATGGAAACACGATACCGAGTCCCTGATATCGAGTGGAACGGACATTACAGTCAACTTATAGATTTCAACAAAGGGGTGGTCCCACCAGGGAATGACCAGCTTGTTCCATTGACACGATGCCAGTGGCTTTGCATCTATTGACTCTGCTTCATCTTTGATCTCTGTCTTATTAACTTAACAAACTTTCAACTTGCTGTCTTTTGTGATCAACTTCCTCTCTCATTTATTTCCAAAGCTTCTCTTATAATATTATCTTCCCCTATAACGTTAGTTGTAAAATTAGTATATAAAAAAAGTGATAGTTAGTCCCTTTCCCGAATTAGCGGCCTTAGGAGTTACGTTCAATGAAAAAAGTTTATTAACGCGAACGTTTATAAAACGGGTAACGTAGAATTTACAAGAAATTGTGCACTCAAAATCGAGTCTTCAACATTGAAGTTCGATAGCCAATGGTCTGTGCAAGTTGTGTGCATAGTATGTGGCGTGAGGATGGATGATTTATGGACGAAATTCATGCAACTAATTCTACCTTCTGCGATAGGTGGAACCTTCTTCTCCACAACCATCGGTCGACCGATTGTCAGTTACATTTGCCGTCAGTAAAGACGAGGATAATCAGAGGGAAGGTTGTTCAAATCAGGCAAGGAAAGAAGACGATAACGCCGTTGACGTGAAGAATAGTTCTAATATGCATAGAATTTCCATAGCAGGTTTGTATCTGTAATAAATTATGTCTACGAACAAATAATTCATTAACGTAATTCACTTTCCTAACAACGGATCTATAATAATAATAATAACCCATTAAATAAATAGAATCACATTTGCAAAAGATTATGCTTAAGCGTTGATGGTTTGATGAATTTTAGAAGAGGAGGGTGACGAGGATGAATATTCCGCTTCAGCGTGTGAGATTATGCAACGACGGAGTTCCAGTCGACGACAAAGCAGACGGAGACGTCGCCCATCCTCTCCCTTCGAAGCTGAGGCTACACTTCGTCGAAGATCCTCCGTTTACACTATAAGTTCTGGAGAGTCAGTACATCAATTTCTTCTTTAACCTCTTGCGCTGGAACGACGCGCCACGCGCGTCGAGAATTTTTTTTTGTCCCAAGATCGCAATGCTTTCTCAGTTTTAAGTATATTTAGGCGTAACCCAGGCAAAACAAATAACAAATTAATTACCTCTCAATGGTTCGGTCGCTCGTTATGGTCCGCAATCAGTTTGCCAGCGCAAGTTTGGTTAATTCAAATTCTTGTCGATTGTAAATTATTCCCAGCTAAAAGCTAGAAAATGATCACTGTTAGAAACTAAAAGTGGAGAAAGTAGATGAGAGAAGAGAACGTTAGTGAATAATTTAAATAAGAAAATGGAAAGTAACATCGGTTAAAATAAGACCTGTACGCACAGAACGGCAATCTCTATTGAAGAAATTGGAAGCCAAGAACAGATATTTGAAAAGTTGGAGCTGCATAAAGAAGTGCTGAGTGGTGTGAAACAACAGCCATGGCCACTTTGCCGGAAGATCAAATTAGTACGACAGGCAAAATCCTACATTAGAAGGCACGAGGGTGTTCTCCAGGAGAGGCTGGCTCAGACTCGTAGCACGAAAGATGCCATTGCTCGAATTTCACTCTACATCACGAAAGTAATAATTGAAAAATATTACCGATTACGCTTTATCACACAGAAACTTTTTAAATAGATAACAACATTTCAATTTCTAGAAATGGCAGTACTGTCGAAGAGAGTTGGTTAATCTTCAAACATGGTTGGTCCCGTGGGAACTTCGTATAAAGGAGATTGAATCGCACTTTGGTTCGGCAGTGGCCTCATATTTTACATTTCTTCGTTGGTTGTTTTGGATTAATCTTGTCATAGCAGCCATTCTCACTGCTTTCGTGGCCATTCCCGAGGTAATGCTAGCAAATGTACAGTATTTTTCATTCGTCTAGATTTCATTACGGAAGACTGTGCAAGTTTATTTGAAAAATGATCCAAGGTTTATATAAAATCACTTTGTGAGATTTGTCATTGAATTTGAATTTGAACTCTCGCTTATTACAATGAAAAGTAGTTGCTCGAATTTCGTCAGATATTATTTATGACAGATGCTAACAGCAGATCCAGCAGCAGCAGGAGAACGAAAGATAATGCTCAAGGAAGAGAAGATAAAATCGAAGCACTTGTTGACTCTATGGGAATTCGAGGGTGTCTTGAAGTACTCACCGTTCTTCTACGGCTGGTACACGAATCAAGACTCACGAAGCGGTTACAGATTACCTTTAGTTTATTTCGTCACGAATTTGGTCGTTTATATATACAGTTTCGTCACCATATTACGCAAGTACGACTAGCCACGAATCAATTATCACATTCTATAGTACTGTATAAAAAAAAACCTAATATCTTCCTTAGAATGGCAGAAAATTCTCGACTGAGCAAACTCACAGAGAAAGAGGACGAATGCGTGTTCTCTTGGAAGTTATTCACGGGATGGGACTTTATGATTGGCAATACTGAAACTGCATACAATAGGACGGCGAGCATTGTTCTTGGATTTAAAGAAGCTTTGTTAGAGGAAGCTGAAAAAGAGAAAGATGAAAGGAAGTAAGATCGTTCGAAGAAACATCTGCTCCCCTACCTTTTTCATAATATCTCCTCTTCTATAAAATCCCCTATTGTTATGTTATATTTTATATTATCCACGGTTACTTTCATCTTTATAAAGCTTATTTTAACTCGTACATGAAATATCCTTGCTTCTTGAATTTAATGCTTGGTCAAATTTTAGTTGGAAGGTTATATCAATGAGGATCTTTGTAAATATATGTGTGATTTCGTTGTTGGGACTGTCGGCATATGCTGTGGTAAAGATGGTTGCACGAAGCTCCGAAGAATTTGAACAGAATAATTGGTGGCGTCAAAACGAAATTACAGTCGTGATGTCCTTGATCACATATGTGTTCCCGATATTTTTCGAGATATTAGGATTACTGGAAAGCTACCACCCCAGGAAACAATTACGTTTGCAGCTGGCACGGTAAGTATTGTGGAAAAGATTGTTCTCTGACACTTTCACTAAGAATTCCATTTTACAGTTACTCATTTGACGATCGAATTCATTTCTTGCAGAATCATGGTACTGAATTTATTGAATCTTTATTCCTTAATATTTGCGTTGTTTGAGAAGATTGACTCAATGGTAAGTGAATTACCAAAGTGATTATACGATTGCGAGATTCAAGAAGGTGTTCGTTTGATATGTTTTGCTGTAGACGCAAGATTTAAGAGAGCTTCAACCAACAATTACAAATTGCACGTACAAACTCATTAAGTGTGATGATAGTCCGAAGCAATCGCAACAGTTAGCGACGTTAGCATCTTTGAGTTTAGTCCTGGCAAGTAATGTCACTGGAATGCAGAATAAGACTGAAATTCTCGAAACGAGTATGTGTTCATTGTATTGTAGTAACTTTTTATACTTTTTGCTTTCTTTTCTTATCATAATATACTATTGTTTGTCGTCTCTTAATTTACAGACTTCCAACAACATTTTTTTTTCTCGTTTATGTGCTTCTTATTAATATTCTTTTTATGTTTTTTATTTCAGAAAAGAAAATTTATTTGCAGTTAAATCAGTCAGTAAAAGCTTTTTTTATATTTCTTGTTCCTCTTTTCTCTAATTTTTTATTATAAATATATATATTAACAATTTGTTTATACCAAATAATCTAGCACTGCCACAACTCTCGTTCATGCCACCAAACTTTTACTTAAATCCGATTCTCGATGACAAATCCCTGGAAGAGATATACAACGTCGAAGATTACTCTCCTCTGGATTACACGTACGATAATTACGATGATATTACAAAAAACGAGCTGAACAGATCTAGTTTCATCGAAAATATAACTAAAGAAATGAATTTTACAACGCAAATGCTTCAACAAAATGACACATCCGATGCTACCACTTTTACAACATTTGAAAATTTCACTGACACCATAGATTTAAGTGAAGGAATTGATATTGCTTCTACGACTAGTAATTTTTTTAACGAATCTACAGTTTCTAATGAAACAACACAGGAGAGAGACCATAATACAAGTACAAATACAGATACTGTCTCAAGTACTATTACTGAGCACTTAAATGAGACTTCTTCTATAAAGGCGGAGGATTTTACTATGTCTTTACCTGTAGAAGAAAGTAACACATCTGACGAGTATTTAACTACAGCATTCAATACAAACACTAAATCTTCGGTTATCACGACTGAACTTACCAAAGAACCTAATATAGAAACAACTGATAAAATTTCTACTATTGATCATTACCAAGGTGTGATTCCTCTTGCAGAAAAAGACTATATTGTAAAGTGTTTCGAACAGATATGTAATACTACGCAGGATACAAGTATGAACAAAGTACAATTTGTATACTATATTTATAAAAATATTATGGTTTCAACTTGTATCTTCTATATTTGAACATTTTTTTCTTCTAGTTTCTTCATCGAAGTTAGAATTAAAAACTCGAAAGAAGCTTCGTCGTTTGTGCTGGGAAACGATGTTTGGACAAGAGCTTGCCAAACTCACCGTAATGGACTTGGTGAATTTGTTTTCTCAATTTTTTTTTTTAATATCATCCTCTCAATTTTTTTTTAACGTACCCTCTCGCTAAGTTTGAATATTTCGTTTCATCACAGGTACTTAGTATAGTAACCACGCTTAGTATAGATTTCATTCGTGCAGTTTTTGTACGATATATGAACAGTTGTTGGTGTTGGGACCTGGAAAAACAATTTCCTCAATATGGGGATTTCAAAATTGCTGAGAATATACTTCATTTAGTAAATAATCAAGGAATGATTTGGATGGGGATGTTCTTCAGTCCAGGATTAACTACACTGAACCTTTTAAAACTTGGAATTCTTATGTACTTAAGATCCTGGGCTGTCCTTACCTGTAATGTGCCTCATGAAGTCATATTTCGAGCCTCTAGGTGTCTTGAAAATTATACTCTTTATTTTTAACATCTTTTCTTCTAAGTCAGAAGAAATCTATGTTTATTTACTTTGAAATATTATCTTTTCCAGATCCAACAACTTTTATTTCGCCCTATTGTTAACAATGTTATTTTTATGTGTTCTACCTGTTGGTTACGCCATAGTTTGGCTTGAACCATCCTGGCACTGTGGTCCATTTTCTGGTTACAAAAAAATTTATTATGTAGCGACCAAACAGCTTACTGATTCTCTTCCTGATCCAATTAAAAGGTATATTTTCATTTTTTATTTAATATTTGTAAAGTTAATCATATTGCAGGCTGTTTTATTCAAAAAATTATAAATTTAAAGTTAAAAGGAATGATAAAAGAAACTGATAAAAGGAAACCTAGTCTGTACTAGTTTGTACTTATCATGTTTTTGCTTTGTAATTCTTTCAGATGCCTTGATTACATTGCTTCACCTGGCATAGTAATTCCATTAATTGTTCTTATGACACTTATTATTTATTACATGGTCTCATTAACTGGCTCATTGAGAGAAGCTAATAATGACTTGAAGGTAAACATTAAATTATAATTCCTGAGTGGAGAAATTAACATTACCAAGTACAAATGAGCTTGTTGTTAATTTATCAAATTTTAATTAATAATAATTAGTAAATGACTTAATAAAGTGAATGGAAAAAATTTCATCTGTTACATTCATTTAGTTATTGTAAAAAGTTGGTGATTTCTTCGTTATTGCTCAGATACAACTGCGTCACGAACGTACTGAAGAACGTAGGAAATTATTTAAGATAGTGAAGAAGAGAGAAGAATTGTCCGACTTGTCCTTTCTAAAATGGAAAAGAATGTTACCAATTTTATCTAAGAAATCTACAAAAACAAGAGCCAAAGGTAGACAACAAGACTTAATAATTAATAAATAATTAAAATAATTAATTGAATTGTCAATGAAATTATAGATGATGTAGAAATTGCAAGAACAGACGTGAATGAAAGGAAATGTTCAGCCTCGGAAGTGATAGAGTTAACAGATATGGAGCAGGATGTGATACCACAGGATCAGGCACAAGTTTCTGAAAACAATTACGATGAAAAAGCACCAATTAATAGCAGGTGATAATTAACTTAAAGCTATGAAAGATTATTTCTTTATAAAATTATCTACTTAAATTATTGAAACATTCAATTAATAGCAATTGACAAAAAGAAATCATTGATGATTATTCAAACATTGCAAACAGGTTGACGAGAATTTCTTACGATTCTTGGGAATCACAATCCAGTGACTGTGCCGTGATACCAGAGATTCGCATAAACGAAGCTGAAGGAAAGTCGGAGTGTCATTCTCGATCAGCTTTTAGAAAAAGTCACAATGTAAGTGAAAAGAAATGAATAAACGGTTAAGAAGTAAAAAGATTCAGATACAAACACGTCAATTTTATTCAGCCAGGCCTTACGAATACTGTATTGATTCATTCGTCCACTTTTATTAAGATTTGACAAATTCTTCTTCCAACGTGCACACATTACGATATAATTTACGAATTAAAATCTATTCTTTTCTAAACTTCACTAGTCGCGATGAGGTATAAAATCGATGACATTCAAGTACACAAGTTAAAAAGAGTTCCGTTCGTCCTCTTAATTTACTTGTTGTTCACGTTACAAACACGTACACGTACAAATTCATGCACACGAGACATTCATGCACGCTAATTACATCTAAAATACTGGCGATCTACACGATTAGAGATTAATCGCGCGTTATTCGATCGTGATAGTATTGATATCTTTGTAGAAATTGAATTTGCCATTGTTCTATATATGTTCTTGTAAATATGTCTCTACCATCAAAAAAGTTTGTCTCTTCTTCATTAATTTTATGTTAATGATATGTAACCATCTTAATACTTTATTTTTCAATAAAAGATAATTTATTTTAATTCAGTTTTGTTTAGCTTTGTTTTTCTATATCACCGTATCATGTAATATCGACAGCTTCGATAAAGTTTAAAAATAGTATTATAAGATTCAACATGTTAAATCAAATTTGCGTTCACCTTTTTTAAGAAGATAATAAATTATTACACTATATATATACAGTGCTACTATATGTATAGCAATGTGTATCTTAATTATCGTATAATAACTATCAAGAACACATTAAGAAACTTGTTAAATGAGTAAATTCAATGAAACGATCCTTATCCTATTCATGTTGATTACTACCACGATTTCTTCTCAATTACCAGAAGAACGATCATTCGAATCTTTCTTAAAAAGTTAATACATTACGACCTTTCGCTCAGGAACCACTCGCAGAACTATTCTATTCAGCTGAGACTAGTTCACACGTATTTCGATATTTTACTTTCAATATATATCCGTAATAAACGGAAGTGTCTCGTTATTAATTTGTCATCGTAATTTAAAAACATACATGTTAAAAAGCCTCCCCAACGAATTAAACCATTTAAATAAAACCATCGTTACTGTCGTTTGTACATTAATTGCACATTTCCTGAAGAAATCCTGTTGGTATCAGCTTCGAAAGTTCTTCGAACGCCTCGTCATCCACCGTTAGCGATGAATAACGAAGATACGAAGTATGTTGGTCGGTATTAAGTGAAGGCTGTCATCGTTCGTTCAGATTCGGATTGTATATCGGCCTGTTACTGAGAAAGTTATTCCCACGGGTCGGATTGGTCCTGACTTGCATGTACTTCGGCCTTTTGTGCCTGGTACTCCAATGTAGATAAGTATACCAACTGGCCACTACGGCCCCAAAGGCGTTGCAAGTGGAAGAGAAGATCAGAAGAATGGTCAGAATACTTTCGACTTCGGGACAATTCAGATCCATGTATCTGACTGCCGTTTCGGTGGAATTCGACGCATTCTCACGAGGCTTGCACACGCATGTAGCGTTCAATACGCGCGCCGGATTGCATTCTAGGCCCATTAAACGTGCCAGGTGTATCGCGGAGAATACACACGCGATAGAACAGGTCACTGTCGCCAACGTTGCTAATAATACACTAATTAGCTGTTAAAAGAAAAGAAAATATTAGCAACGAAAAATATGATACAAACTTCAGTAAACTTGATACAAAGAATTCGATAATTCATGTGAACAATATAAATCTTGACTTATAATAATGATAAATTGCAGTTGAAATTTAAAAGAAACTTATAATTTATATGAGAATAATAAATAAATTTTAATACTTGATCTTTTAAATTACGCGCAATATGGAGTACCACGTGTTTGAAGGTAATACATTTCATATGCTTCAAAATGATAAATAATCACCTTAGTCGATGTGAGACAAAACCCGGGACTCAGGCCGGGGTACTCCTTCTTAAAACAGCAGAGTAAACAAATACCAAAGCTACCCGAAAGTAATAACTGCAAAAGAAAACAAACGGGTGATTCAGCGACTAATTTTTGAAGAACGTCAAAGACTGATCGTTGCTTGAATATTTACCGGCATTCCACTCCAGTAAGGATTATCTGCGACAGGTAGATGAGGTGCCCACAGCAATAACCATAATGATAATGAAGTAATGGCTACACCGAGGATCGTTTGCAACGCCGCTAGACATCGGCCTAATCGCCAGTGATAAACCAGTGGCGGCAGGAATTTTTGTGGTCCTGAAAAAAAAAAAAACACACTCTATGTTATTATTTTCATTGATATTTTGATATTATTATGTTATTAGATTAAATATTATTATTTAATATTAATTATTAAATATTTTATAATTTAATCATTCAATATTTTACTAAATATTATTATTTTTAATATTATTAATGCTTCTATCACAAATTTTTTTCAATTATTAATCCAGAGTTAATTTCTTGCGCTGGAATGACGGCCTTTTTGTCCTAAATTGCAACATTTTCTCAGTTTTATGTATATTTAAATGTAACCCAGGCAAAACAAATGATAAGCTGATTACTTCTTAATAGTGTCAATCCAGTGAGTATCATAAGGACGAGTTCAAAAGAAGAAGAAAGCGACGAATTATTGTATACAGTTCGGTCACTCATTACGGTCCGCGAATCAGTTGTCAGCGCAAGGGGTTAAAGAGAGAATCTCGTTGACAGAGAAAATCTTTAATCTACTACATCCCACAACAAGGAGTTAAAGATAGAATCGCTGATGCCATTCAATCACTTATCCAGTTACGTAACAGACATCCATCCTCCTCCTCCCGTATACGAAGAGCAAATTGATTTCATCCTATCTATTACACAACGGAACCGACAAGTTCATACATAATCCAATGAAAACATTAATAACGAGAAGAAAAATGCAACGATGGCGACAGACCTGTGGCAATAAATAAGAAGCAACGTGACATCAACGAACGAATGAAAGATTTTCTCTGAGCTAGCTGTTACAACTTTTTACGCACCGTACGTCACGCATATAACCTATCTCCTCGTTGTGTTTTTCTCGCAGCTGGCGACACACATTTTTCCCACAGTGATCGACGGTTGATACGACGTGACAGATTCTGAGAAACGAATGTAGGGCCGAAAGAAAGGAGAGTTTCCGAACAGCGACCTCGCTGTCCCTCCTTACAAGGTATCTTAACCGAACGATCGAACGTGTACCCGTCCTTGCCGATGTCGAACTCCGTCGCCAGGAAACTCGCCCACTAGGATCGTTTGTGCAACATGTTTGTGACAGGAATTCGAAGGGAGAAAATAGAACAAAATAACAAAAAGGAAAAGCAACGCGTCAACGTTCTCGTCGCCTAGCACTATGCTGATTCGCGACAATGTTGGCGCTGATATTGAAATTAACAGTGTTAGGAAATTGATGAGAGGTATAATCCGAGAAATCTAGAATTAATATTTCGTATGGAATTTAGAATTTCGTTAGAATAATATATTAATATTATAATATATATATATATATATAATATATAATTAATATTATAATATAATATATGTTAATATTTCGTTTGGAATTTAGTTAGAATAACGATTTGTAAAAGCCTTTAAGACCTTTTAAGATATTTTGCTTATTGTATGATTAGAAGTTTGCAATGCAAAAAATACGAAGCAACGTAAGAATATTTTCATGAAAACGGAGCAAAAGAAATAGTTGGCTTTCACTTTATATTCTGTTCACTTTATATTGCTCTGTATTTGGCGTTTATATTGGCTGCAACCGAGGGTTCGTGTTGGTTTGAAGAGATGATGGAAAAGTTTCGGTAATAAAAGAAGGGAGAACAATCCTCAGAAATAATGTGTGGCTTAAGACCGCGCACCAAGTTGATCCAGGAAAGGGAAACCGCAAGAATAGTTCTTTGCGAAGAAGAATAGCAAATGTCGTCTTAAATCCTCACTGGCTGACGAGTCCGTAATGATATTTCATTTTATAATAGTAATTTTCCACGAGTAAATTTCAGATCATAAAACACTCAGAAGTCAAACTAATTAATTTCATCAGACAATATTGTTTGAGTTTTTGAAGAATTAGAATGAAAATTTAAAAGTATTTCGACACAGTTAAAGAATTAAATTTTTAGAAAATGTATTAATGAATGATTCATCACGAGTGATTCATAGATCATTCAATGATAATGGAGTCATTATCGACGAATTGATCTTTGAAGAATCGCAAAACACATATTCTGTAAAAGACAGAATTATTTTGAATAATTTTAAAGAGATCTTGCAATATTGTAATCGACAAGATTTAAAATTATAATAGTTATATTGTATTACAATGATAACACAAGCTCAGAAAACTCGAAGACGCTGAAGCTATAGAATGATGCTTATAAAAGAAAATTCTTTAACTACCTTCTTGCAGAATATTAGTCGACACCCGAAGAATATTAATGAATGGTTATAACTGATCGACAACCAACGAATAAAGCACATGGTGAAGAGAAGAAAGGAATATACTAAGTTTGCGACGCGACGGAACTAAAAGCGGCACCGCATTTTCATTCGTCGCACTACAATCGATATGGGGGTCTTTTTTGCACGAGGTTTGCATATGAAACGTTCTAACAGTACCAGACGTAAGCATAAAATAGAAAAAGAAAAGAATCGATCTATTTAAAGATTCATCCTCAATTGGACTTACAGTGGCTTACAAAAGTATTTAAATACCTACAATTACCAAAATTACTTATAGAAAATATTATTACAGATAATATTTTACTTATAGAAAACATTATTATAGATAATATTTTACTTATAGAAAATATTATTTATAGATAATATTTTGAAATTTCATTAGCACTGTAATGAGTCGTGACTATTGTGATTATATTGACCAAAATTAAAAGCAATCTGTAAATATATATATAATATATAGAAGTTATTGCAAATATATATTAATATATGCTATATAGCATATATAAATCAATGTAAAAACAAATTAGCATAAAGATTAATATATGCTATATAGCATGTATAAATCAATGTAAAAACAAATTAGCATAAAAATTAATATATGCTAGTATAGATATAGTATATGCTAGTATAGATATAGTATATTATTTTATCAATATATATATACATATATTACTGTAGTATATAGTATTAAAGACTTTTCTGATTTTTATAATATATATATAGTTATTTAGATTTGATATTTTATAGTTTCTATATAAAATTTTACAAATTATACAAATATAATCAGTTGTCAACAGATCAATAGATTTCATTATAGTGCTAATGAAATATGTTTCATATAATACATATCAAAAGTTTTTTTATTTAAAAAACAATATTTCCTGTCTCAAATATATAAGTATTCTAAGTATTCAGATAGAAATCAAAGTACATGATAGTTTTGAAATTATTTAAGATTAGTAAGAAACTTGTTTTAATAAGATTTAAATAAAATAGATTATAACAACATTTTGGTAATTATTTAGGAAGAAACGTTCAACATTCTGTAATTAAAATTTTCTAGGAAAAATATGATTTATGCCGGATGCAAGCATATAGCTTCTCACTCGCGGAACGATTCACACGATGCAATAATGGGGGGACTCGAATGTGTATGTCGTTTCTATTGTATACTGATCCTATGTTTGCATACGTCTGTACGTGTATGTGTGTAGATGTATGTTCATTACAACAGAATAAGATCCTTCAGTAGTCAGGACATCGTCTACAGGAGTCAGATAAGTATCGTGTCTACAAACGTTCAGAAATATAGTTGCAATTGGACTATTTATACAAAGATCTCAATTAACAAGAAGATATATCTATCTTATTATCTATAATTATCATATATTCTGATTGATCTTGTAATGAGAGATCTATATATAAAAATGAATATACACTACATACAAGTTAAAATATTATGCAAGTTAAAATATTCGATTCATTTTTGAAAAAAAATTTAATAACACGAGAATTTATTGCAAACTCATTTAAATGCACGATCGGAGTGTGGAAACATATGGGTAGTACGTTTTCATTATCTAGTGACCTCGATACATGTATAATGACAGAGTGTTCAACTCGCGCAAGAAGAAACATGGTAATTGTGTAACTGCATTGTGGAGAATTGCTGTTGCTCACGATACTTGAAAATCTCTTGGAAATTTTTTATCACCTCCAATATCACAGTACATGTGAAACTAAAAAAATAGAAGGAATGCAGATCCAATTAGTTAGATAATCAAAAAATAAGCATGCATACTGTTTCAAAGTATCACATATATACAAATAATATATCATGTAGCATCACATGACAATACAGACATCTCGTGCCATCTCACGAGACCTCTTTCCACCTCTGCATTATGCATGATCATGTATTAACCTCATTGACACAACAGATTCCGTAATTTTTTATATGACAAATCACAATCGAATGTCATACATGGTATTTGATTGTTTAAGATTATTCACATTACCTAACATTAGATTCTCGCAAGTGTATTTTTTCTCTGCAATAACAAGTGTCCTACAAATCAAAAAAGGATAAATTAAACATGACTGAAACAAACTTAACAAAACTGGAAATAATTCAATAATTCTATCGCACAGTTGTAATACACGTTTATTCAAATTTTTTCTCTCTGCTGGAATTTTGATCGACCTCTGCGCTTTCAGTTTCGTTTATCTTTTTTAAAACTGTCTGTCTATTGCGTCTAAAAATAGAATCTGATGGATAGGGATGAACCAAACGGGAGAAAATCAAACCGGGCAATGCTCACGTTTTATCCATTTAAACAAAACTCGCAAAATGTACGCACTATTTATGTAACACTTTTCGAAGAAAAATATCTCCTCCGTGTTAATCTAATTAAGTAAATTAACGCACTGAAAACAAGTAAGAATATTTCGTACATCCGTTTAGTTTCTTGAAATCTTTAGTTTCTAAAAGGTTTCCACGAAATATCTTACATCAAGAATCAAAATATGATTATCGATAATTTATGAATTTTTTTCTAACACAAAATGAGAAATCCCTCGCAAAACTGGCATAACATTGCAATCTCGTTTTTTTCGTTAGTACTTAAATCTATAATTGAAGTTGTTCAATTATAGATCCAATAGAAGTTAAGCAGAAACCATGTTCGAGAAGTCTTCTATTATACAAAACGTTTCAGATTCGCGTTATAGGTACACGCGAGCATAAATCAGTCACTGAAAAATTCAGTATTATAGTTACAAAACGGAAGGAGCGATTAGAATTACATCGTACAAAGTTCGTACACGCTAACCCGTGAACGAAAAAGGATCGCATGATATATTTCCGGCTTGCTACTTCCGCTATTCACAGAGAAGCATGTGCAGCCACTTTAAAGCGGCAGCGAACCAAGAAGTCTTAATCTCTTTGTTTCACCTGCTTTTAATGAAATAATTGTAGCAAAATTCTCATACCACCATTTATTTATACAAGTATGAAAGGAATGTTGAAGTTTCACAGTTAAAATTAACATATTGAGTTGGGTATTGTTGATTTAAAAAATTGAAATATACTTGTTGAAGATAAGAAACAAAAGGATGTGTTGGGATTTCCTTAGAACCGAAAGCTTTCAATCATAATCTTCCTGATTATCTTGGCAACAATCTCGATGTCAGTAGTTTATTAAAACTATGTCGTCACAAGTGCAGAACGAGATTGCAACAGTCACGCAACTAGCTGAAAAAATCTTCAAGAGAGGTTGATTTATTCTGGACCAATTTGTGATGCCTGTCACGATTGAACGTCCAATCCTTTTTCAAATCATGTCTATCGGATCAATTGAAATCAATGAATCAAAAGAATCAATGAATAGAACCGAATAATAAGATACAAGCTTAAACGTAATCGAATTTAGATTTTGAAAGGTATTGCGAATTTAAATTTAAAATCCGTCAACATTGAATTTCATAAGAGAGGAAATCTGAAGGGATCCTGTCCCTTACATCATAATATAAATTATTAATCATTCTCAGTAGCATTGTACTTTTCTTCTATTCGAAAGAATGTTTATTGCACCGTGAAAGGCCGTTCGGTGACATTCGAGACTCGTTCGCGTGTATTTTACCCGTTCCGATCTCTGATTTTTGTTAAATCAACAAGCGTTGCATCCGTGTTATTCAACATGAAAGCAAAAATTCTAAAGTCATTTTATTACTAAATGCTCGGACAAAAAACATTTCTTTCTTAAGAATTTTCTTAATATAAAAATATGCATATAATTGTATAGAATTACAAAAAAAAAATTTTTTTCTTCCAATTTTTACAGATTACAGTATTTTACTTATTTATATGATAATGAGAAACGTACGTATGTACATATGTAAGTAGTAGCATCTTTCAGCTGATGTATTAGATACTTTTGAAGTATCTAATTTCTTTTTAATATCTTTGAAAATTAATGTTTCTAGGAATTCGACGTAAGATATTCTCCGACTTGATAGACACAGATTTGAATATATTCAAGTTCTAACTTTTTGTGAAATTAGTCAGCAGAAAAAGTTCAGTGACCTAAGATATCCAATAGTGTGAATCATACGATGTGTAATAAACTGATAAGACTTTGGAAGAATGTAGGCTTTTTAATTACTTTTCAAAGAAAACTTGTAGTATATTAAAGATGAAGATAAATTAACAAATGCTTGCACATACTTTCATTTTTATTAGGTTCATAAAGTTTTACATTCTATTTCAAAATTTTACTTCATTTTTACATATAAAAAAGTTGAAATTTTTTTGTTTTCACAGAGAAAGTAATAGTAGCAAAATTATGGGGGAAAGGATTATGTATCGTGCAATCAACAGGAGAATATACTCGATTCAAAGCATTCAAGCGTAACATTTACACTATGAGTGACCGGATTTTGAAACATTTTCCTTGATTAAACGATAGTATTTGAGTAAGTAATTTCAAACTAGATTGTTTCTAAATAACTTTAAGAAACAATATAAGTTCAACAAAAATTACATTGTCACTCATAAATATACTACAATTTTTTTTATACTACAGTATTTCTTAAAAATACAATTAACAAAATGAAATAATTCACGATGTGAATAAATAACTCTTTAATTATTATACAGTAATCTATATCATTTTTTTTCTAAGTCAATCCTATGAAAGATTTTTATCCATATTTATAATAGACAAGCAAATTAGTTTCATGGGAAAAAACTAGTAGAGAACAACGGGGGAAATTAAAAAGAGATTTAGTGGTTGTGTACTCACGATGGCCGCTACGATGCAAAACGATCATTCTGCTATGCCTGAGGGAATTTCTCGTGGGTGTGTGGCGACCAGCAATTTGAGCGGCTGCCAGATTAACGGGAACCGTAGTTGACAAACAATTGGCCATTGATGGGGCACGACCTAACTCCTTTCCTTCTCGATAGATTTTTCCAATGTTCCCTGTTGACACAGCTCCTACCACGGTAAATTGCAATCGTTACAGAAAGTCAGTTGTGAATGAATGTTTCAAATGAAAAGGATTCGTATTTATTCCAAGTGGCACTAAGAAAATCATCCTACGCGGGAAGATTATAATTATAATTGATTGGATTTCTTTAATTTAATTAAAATTAACGCGAATTAAAAAAAAAATCTTTCTTCTCGTTATCAAGATGGTACGGCTAGAAAGCGCACAAAATTTCCTGCTCGGTTTTATTTTACCGGAGATGTTGTCTGGTGCACGAACAAAATGAAATTCGAGAAAGTTTACACGAATACCGAGCGCTAGCAAAGTGTCGACCGAATTTCACTCGTGACCGTTCTATTTACAGCTGAATAACTTTCCTAGGATAGACTGGTGGCATATCCAATTTTGTTTGAAGTTAAATATACCACAATGATTGTCTTAATTAACAACCATTCAAAAAACGATTAAAAAAAGTATTAAAGTAAATCATTTTGATATGATATTTATTTTATAGAATTACATGTATTTATTTCGTAGCAATTAGAAACGAATAAGCGTTTGTCTCAGGATACTGATTGATTAAAAAAGAAAGTGGAAAGTTCATTGAACTTACCTGTGACCTTGGTGTTCTGAATCTTCGACACGTTACCAGCACTGACTGCGCTACTCACTCGATTATTGTTATTGTTGTTATTGGCCGTGGCCATCGACGAGCTGATACCGTTGTCACGAACCTGATTCAAATTGTCGGCGCTTAGAGCGGAAGTCACGCAAGGTGCCACCATTGGCACGTCCTGAACAATGAAACAGAAAAATGCAAAGATTACTATGAATGTATCGTGACACTGATTCAAATCAATAACAAATTGATTCAATTCGATGACATAAAGACTCTGACAACTAATGCCATTTTCATGTCGATAAAATATAATAAAATGATGAAATTATACTACAAAGCAATTAAATTTTAATGTTTAATTATAAGATTCAATATTCACTCGTAAATTGTGTCAAGTCAGTTTTATGTCCACTTCAGTTTATGTAATTATGACGTTACAATTACAATTACGTTGTCAATTTTATTCTTACGTATACACGGATCGATAATTTTCATACATTACATGTTGCGGTTTTCCACTTAACTAAATTCGCGATAGATTCTATCGATAGATTATTCATTAAGGTAAATCTGAATTAATCGAATGAACTTGATCGACAATTATATGCTGCCTCGTGAGAACATCGCACTACGCACCATTACATATTTTATGTACAAAACAAGATAATTAATGGGTATTCAATCTGGGAAAATTAATTAAAAAATATAAATTGAAGAGAAGAAGAGAAATTGTCAATTAAAATTTGTATGGAGATGAAAACTAACTTTTATTTAAATACTATTTAACACTTCATACTTAATACTGTATAATATAACGTACTATCATTACACTGTGTATTACTGGTCTTGTACATGGATCCTTAATACTGGTGGTATGTCAAGACACAAACATAAACAGTGACACGTGGTACAACATGAGGGCACACCTTAAAATTGTCATAAAAGCTAACAGGACGGCTCCTTGGCGCGTACTGAATCTCTTCGTCAGGCTGCATTATGCTACCAACGTATATCGTCGGATCTAAGGGCTGCGCGCGCATGCACTTCTTCCTTTTTCTTTTTTACCACTTCCAGCGGCTGTGAAATCAAACAAAACGATCTAATTTATCCAAGAATTTAAAATTCAAACAAGCAAGCTGAAGTTTAAAATTTGAATTAAAATTTACTGAGAAGAACGTAGAAACGTTTAATTTTAAGATAACAATTATAATCTGTTAACCAAGCAAGACATTTCCAATTTCTTGAACAAAATGATTTCTTTATTTATAGATCCTCTATCTCTTAGTACATTATTCCATTCCTATTTAAATTGAATTATATTATATTTACATTTGGAAGAATTAAACCCGCGCTTTTAGGTAAATTTTGAATTATAAAAGGTAAGGAATCACTCGGTTAGCAGGTTAATATCCGTACCTGAATATTATTCGTGTCAGCTCATGTTAACGTTTCCTTTTACGATGAGTAAAGAAATTACATCTGTTCGTTCTTCGAACCGCAAATTTCGCACTTCCCGGAAGCACACCTGCGTCTTATGACCGTTGTATGAATCAACAGTCGATTTGCAAGCAATAGATCAAGGGGAAATTTCTCTTAATCTTCTTCGATGCGCCATAAGTCACGCGCTGAATTCTTTATCTAGCTTTGAACGAATTGCCGGAGAATTGTCACGATCTGCGTTCCTCGATTTCCCTGATGTTCTATCCACGTGATCGGTCACGTGCGCCCGTTATCTGTCACCCCATAAACGTCTGAAAAACGAAGAGAAATCGTCAGCTTGGGAATACTCGAATCATTCTGTGATCAATTACTTGAGAAAAGTACAGTATGTATCATGGCATCTTTAACTATTAACATTAGATCTACTGGCGTTTAATACGTACATAAATGTATTATGTATAATAAATTAGAGGAACGATGAAAATAAATATATATAAACATAATATAAATATGTATAATATATTATGTTTCTGTTCCAGTGAAAGTAAATATTATTAAAAGGTTTTTAGTAATTATAAAAGCAAAATGTCCAGTCATTTTTATTGTATTAGTAGTAGTTTTTTTATTGTATTAGTAATCTTAATGTATCATTCTTGTAGAATATTATTAAAATTAACTATACTATAAGTAGACGAACTTTCAATTATAATAAAGAAACACGATTGTTTGGGTTATTTATAACAATTATAAAACAATGTGAATTTAGGAGTTAACTAAGATTTACAAATATAAGAAATGGTAATTTACGTGAAATTGTGCGTACACAGGTAATTCTTATGTTTTATATGTATTATGGTTGATATACTAAAAAGGTTAACGATGTTGAGATAATCTTTCTAGAACGATAAATCATTTGAAATTACAATATAATGAAACGTCAAATCTCGTTGCACGGGAAATGTTTCCTCAGGAGGGACGAGCAAGTCCCTTTGCAGACCCTTGAGACGCTCTTAAAAGAAAAAGTTACTTTTTCCCGTGGGAACAAGCGTCGTTGCTGATTCGATTGTCTTGACCTCGTGGAACAAGAAGAACAGTCAATTAAATACGAATTTCATAGGTCACGTGCGTTATAACTTAAGTGGTATGCCTAAAGGCAAAATCTGTTAGAGTAAAGTTGTATTTGTAACATTTAACAATTTTAAATAAATCTATTGCAAATGCAGGAAAATATAAAAAAATTTGAACTACAACCTAATGAGATCCTGCTAGCAAATATTATCATCACGAATATTTTGTTCGTATTAATACTGAGTATGTAATGAAAAACAGTAAGTATGTAAATACAAAAATGTAAAATTCATGATTTTACTCTACTAGTTACTACTACTCTGTTAAGTCTACTCTATGCTATTAATATACGTGTACAAATATATTCTACTAATATATACGTATAAACATAATTACCAAGAAGATATGAATTTTCATAACTTTTATATGTGAATTTGAATACTGAATTCAAATTTTTCAGGAAATGAGGAGTTCTTGGATGTATATTTTTAGATAAGACGATTGATAGTGACGAGTGACAAGCAGTTCACAAGAATTTAACAAGTTGAATGTTTCATCAATGTTTGTGATGATCGATTATATCGAGGGAGAGCCTGAGATTTAATGAAGATTAACCATCGAAATACACAACTGTTACGTTAGTTTTTTCCTTAATCTTTTACTCGACGACTGTGAGTGAGGCTTTACTTTCACGATACCACATCTGAAGTTAATACCGACTGCTGTTGCGCAACATGGTACGCAACGCAATGAAACCGTGGCGCATTGAGGCCCTGTACAATGATGTGGGCTACCTATGCCTGGGCCGGTGTTCAGGTTACGGCTGGAAATAAGTCATTTCTCCATTAAGCCTCTTTATGCGGCGCTCACAGTCATGTCACCATGACCGAGAGTTTACTGAACTCTAGAAGATTCACGAACGTCGAATTTAAATTCTAGCTTACGGCTCAATTAATTTATAAATACGTATGCAATAGATCACAAAAATACTCGAGTGTTTGTGCTTTTTTTTTTTTTAAATACGTATGTCGTATGAAACATTTAAAAATTTCATTAATATTGTAATAAAACTAAACTATAATAAGTAGAATGTACATGGAAATCACGAGATATTTAAATGTACATTTCAGACAGGTTTTACCAATATACATAATCGCGATAATTGTCTGTCGTATTAACGAAATTTCAAAAATATTTTACGTAACGTGTATAATATACATGCACGCAAAAATTTTCCATTATAAATATCCAAATATTTTCATTAGACTTCCAACAATATTTTGTATTTTATAAATTTCCACTCGATTCGATTCGTATTACATTTTAGAAGTTAATAGTTAATAATGTGTAAGTTTCCTTCTGCATATCTTAATAGGAAACGCTCAACGATCAACTAACTTCAAAACAAAAGAGTGCATAATGAGACTCAATTAGAACGCAATTACTGCCCCTTTTTCTCCTGTATTTAGGCTAGATGTAGTATCGCTGTCTTTTTTAGAATTGCGTATTTCTATCGGTCTTTTTGTAAAAGTGACGCGCTTGATCATTCGCGCACTTAATTATAGGAAATGAGATAAACCCATCGCGTTCTATTTGTGCGTTACGTGTGTACGAACACACATGTCTGCCAAAATGTAGTGTTGCCAGTTATAAGAAGGATAGAGAATTCATAAAATTACATAATTGTGCACCACGAGAAAACTTTATTTTCTATGTAAAATTATTTAATTACCAATCTAACCACTATTTTTCAAATATTTATACAAATCTATTACTTAAATATTGAGTATTATTATTTAAATATTGAGTACCTATACTATTTTATTTAATTTTGTTATATTGCGTACCTAATATGAGTACCAACTGAAAGAAAATATCTCTCTAAAAAATATTCTTATACCGCGTTGTCCTATTAAATTTACTATTCGATCTTATTATTCTATCGAAATGATGAAAGAAGCATATTTGTACTGAAATGTGCAACAAGAAACACGATATTCGAGATTCGTGAGCTATGGTCGTACGTGATGTTACATTAAACAAGTAGGACAGCTTAATCTCTGAAATCACGTATATCAACATGCACGATAGATCGATTCCGTTATAATGAATAATCAAACTGTTTTACTGTCTTGATGTAGACCGTCGTAAAAAAATTGTTTAGAACTTTTGAGCAAAGTATACCACCGTGGTATTAATAATATCACATTAAAAGAAGAGAAGACTTATTTCAGATGTGAACAAGTGAGGAGACTCCTCGCCTTGATTAGGATCATCGTCGAAGTGCACTTAGAGAATTCTGCAAGTTCGCGCGAGAACATGTTCAACACGTGCAACCTACAGTTCCAATTAAATTCTCCAGTTACAAACCATTCCCAGGGTTCATGTTCATAAACGTGCGACTCTTATCAAGTGCCTGAAAGTGCGATATCGCGTCGCTTTGTATGCCATTGTTCGATGTCTTTCATACGAAATGAGCTTTAAAAGAGCAATATCACCGGAAGGATCTCGTTTTTGCGCGCCTTTGTACGCATACAATGTGAAATAAAAAGCATACATACTCTGTATCCTCATCTATTCATGTAATCGTGCATCGATTCTTATACACTGTATTTATATCTTTTTTCTTTTTTTGTTTTCTAAGAAAAAATATTTCATCATGGTACAAAATTTACATCACTTATTAATCACGTCTACAATGTTCTTGTCAACAATTTTTTTTTCTTTTTTAAACAAGAGATAAATTAATTTTCTGTAGAAGAAGAGAATAAACGCTGATCTTTTATCTGACGAAGAAGGCAAATGAAGGAGTTTACGTCAGAGATTATAATGTATTCTGATACGGAGATTTTATACGTTTATTGCTACGTGCTATTATTATCAGGCAAGACAAATGTTTTTTTCGTTTATGATACCTGTACAGCTCCTGGCTTGACGTGCACGTGCGAATTCATCATTTTGTTTTAACAAATTCCGAAAATACGTTCAATTCCCATATAGTATCTGTTTGGCGGAATTAACGAAAATCGTTCGAGAGTGAAACGAGAAAGAAATGAGTGAGTATAAATACCTAGGTTCTGTGGAAAGTTGTAAACTCGTTCACTAATTTCCTTTCCATACCACGGATATCGATCCTTGCAAGATTTATCGCGCGTTTATGTGCAATTCCTTGATTGATTAAATGTAGACAAAAAGTACAATTAAACTCACTGAACGTCTGATTATATAATTGAACACAGATTATTATTTCTCTTCATCGTTGATTATTTTATACAGGAAAAAATCATTAAACGAGAAAAAAATATTTAAAGACACTTCAACTTCACGTCAATCGAACTTCTTTTTCAAGATATTCCACGATATTAACTGTTCCAAAGAAGTGTATTTTGATTGAAAAATTGCACGAAGCACATGAAGAACACTTGTTGAATCAGATCCGATGAAACTCGATTGAAATGCTACTTTAACGCAAGAACATCGTATTTTTTTAAGAAAATAAACAACGCGCGAGTAGCAGTGGAAATGATTTAATATAACTAAAATTCTTGGTTGGAAAGTTACACAACATAACGTTGTTCCACTGGTGTCACAGTGACAACTGAAGTCTCCGGTTTCGCGCGTCTCGACGAGGCTCGCCCAACTCCCGAGACCCCACCAAAGTATTCACCGAAGTAGAGACACACCAGGTGTCAGCGGGCCTCAAATCGAACGAATCACGATGCAGGTGATGACTACTTTAGCAAGAAATGCTTCCACCAACAAAACATCCTGCATTTCATGCGAATTAATCGGTGTAAAAAAACTGTTTACAGGCTTTGCTGGACAAATAACAAACACTTTTTAACTGTTACTCATTATTCAAATCAGTTTGATCCTAGCTATTTTTAATTATCTCGTATCTATCTTTTTCTCCTACTTGTAAGTAGGGAGTGACATCTCTTCTGCTTTCAAAACCGGATGTCTCGATGTTGAAATAAAAAAAAAAAACGTTCTTCTTTTTTTCTTTTTTTTCTCTAGCTATCTGAGCACCACTGTCCCCTCACTTTCACATCGTCCACCGTGTTTCTGAAGGAGGTTCCTTCAATGAAGGAAGTTGTCATAGCGAGAAAAAGGGTGAAAGAAGGTCATACCTACCAGTCCACGTTTACCTTGAACAATTTCTTGCAACCTTATTGCAACCTTCTTTTTCATCGTTGTTTTCTTTCCTGTTGAACGGTGATCATGGTACAAACTGGTTCGTTTTAAAGGATCACCTTAGGATATTTGATGCAAAAAATGCAAGGCACTGCATAGTTACGTAAAACTGTAAAATAACAATAAAATTCAAGGTCGGTAACATGATTAGACACGCAGCTAGGTAATAAATTTAACAAGCAGTTTCTCCTTTTTGTGCAAAAATTTCCCAATAAAATTAAGTTAAGCTTTGACATATAAATAATAACAAATCTAATTAGATAATTATCTAGTATTTCTATATAACTAGATATGTAGAAGGATGTAAACTTCGAATGAAGTTCATTCGTATTAAAAACATCTGGATCGTGTGAAAAATGAAGTAAACGAGTATGGTGAAGAATCGTATAACTCTTAGTAGTCAGATCGTGTATCTCACCACGAATCAGCTGATCTTTACCTTGATTATAGCATCGACTGGTACGATTCCGTATTTTTCATTACTTGCAATGTAAGTATTATGGCATTCCAAGAAGTTTCGTAGAAGTATTTTTAATTTCATGAAAAATGAAACTTGTCAGGACACATTAGTACTATTAATGAAAACTTCAGAAACAGTATGACTTCTAAAAAGAATAGAATAGAATAAAGATAAGCTAGATAACTTCGATTTGGATTAGGTTTCATCCTAGTCCTGACAAAATATGCAATAATCTAATCTAAACAGTGAGGAAATTATATCTATAAAAATGTTTTGAAAGTATATAATTGTTTGATTATGTAGAACAATTTTTGAGAATTTGTAATAAAAATCTAGCAATGTAATCTTTTTTGTAACAGTGTCATTAACTAAAATTTATGGAATTTCATCTTCATATGAAATTTCAGTACTTATCAAAGAAATATAAAAGTGAAAAATGAAGTAACTATAGCAAAAAATCTTAAAAAAATATTGGTATCTTAGAATTATTTCAATCTCTGTAAATAAAATAAATAAATACTTTAAATAGCAAACAATATTTCTCGAGACATTATAAATTGTTATAACCTTTTTTATTAACTTTATTTAATTCTTCAAATTACTACGGGAAAAGTAATTTACTATTTGGTACAAGTGGAACGTTTCACTTTTGTTCTGGCCGTCGTCGTCCGCTGGTAATCTCATCCACCTACACGACGCCGTTCATTCATCCACGATCATTTCCTCCGCTTTAATGAGACGCACCACCTACGATCAGTTCGATATAAATTCAAGTTTTTTTCCTGCCCGAACGTATTGGTATTTCCTCTCTTTCTCTGTCTCTTTGCTTTAGTCTCATCTACATCGTTAGCGGTCGTCCGAAACACGTCGTCGAGAGGGGATACGCCGCCAGGTTCGCGAATACCTGCGGATGAAACCGGTCTCTCGAAATCGTCTAAGTCGAGAAGTACAAAAGAACCACGCCGGCCGCGAGAGAAATTCCATTTCCAGCGGAGATAATACGTTCTCCTCGCCGTTACTAACGATACTTTAATCGATCGTTGTAATGTTTGATACAAATGAATCAAGAAAACCGGAATTTCTGTAGAATACTGGGGAAAAAATGTAGTAAATCCAATTAATTCAAGTGTTTGCGTAGACATTATTGAAAGACGTTAATAAAGTAATAAAGAGATGATTAATGATGAATAACAAATAATTCGTAGAAGTCATAGAGGTATAAAGAAACCTTTCGTGATTATACAAATGATTATACAACTTTACAAAATTATAAGAAATATTTAAAAAATAATGAAAAATTTTGTTTTCATTGAATGTTACAAAACAATGCAAATTAAATGGTGTTTTAACTTTATTTAATGGCTCATAATGATTGAAATAAAAAAAAGTTAGATGATCTTTCAGTAAAAAATAAAAAGAAATGAAACAGGGAACAAAATAAAAGATGACATAAATAGCTTCTAATATTATGCGCATAAATTAAAAAGATTCCATTGATGGTCTATTAAACGCAAATAAAGTTCAATTTCAATCGATGATTACTACTATTTTAATGCGAACGATGCTTTTTACAAAAGAAAGATGAGAAGAATCTAATTTTAAAAATTGAACAATTTCTGATAGATATTCATTTGAATCCTTTATTTCTGACTTCACGTTTATTTTACGATCTTCGATAAATGTTACACAGATGAATATCTAGCCTTGATTACCAATTTATTTCAATGGGGAATAGCGGTTCTTAATTAGTACTAATAATTTTATAATAAATACTATGTAGTAATTGTACAGTAGAGAATATTATTATTATTATATAGTATACTAATATTATTTCACATTACTTTATACTACATTAGTGCATTATACTACATTTAATAATGCACTCTTTTATAAAGAACAAAAGTTTCTATTAATTTTAGTTCTTCGTTAATTGTAGATTGCAAAATGGTAAAAAAAATGCGTATGAAATTTAGATTTCAATTTCTAATTTCTGTGAATCAATGCGTAGACACGTTCTCGACGTGACATCAACATTACAATAAGGCACGATGAGTTGGCATTCAGGAATTCGGTAGAGATAAAACAGGGCTTTACAGAAGAACAAGAGAGAAACGAAGGCATCCCTCAAGCCCTTCGTGCTTTATCTACCTCTGTATCTTGAAATGTTAATGGTTTATATGCGAGCAGTTTAAAAAACTACAACAGGAAAGAAAGAGAAAACATATCACGACACAAAAAGAGAAAAACAATTTGAATGATATTAAGAAAAATTACATTGTCAACTTTAATATACGCAATTAAGATTGGATCGCGAAATAAGATTGTAATTGATATTATAATTACAAGCTGCAGATAATAGACGAAGGGTAATACTTCGATTGAATGTTCTTCAAAAAGTTAAGAAAAAATGAAGAAAGGAAATTAAAACGTAGAAAAGAATGAAATTGGATCGAAATGCAGACAAATCAAACCGCACCCATGAGACGGACAATGAGCAACAAGGTGGAGAAGGGACACATTCCTTTTGTACGTAGAGACGCATCGTGAATGCTTATCGAACGAACGCGGTACATTTCGCCTCTAGAGAATACCGACATGAAGCACTCGTTCAAGTATAGACACTAATTTGTGCTGCTAATGAACTCTACGATCGTTTCTTTTCGCGATTTCTCCAGGTGTACCATGTGCGCTTGCACAGAAAAACTATGAACAATATACATATCCGTTAGTTATTGTTATTATTATAATTCGTAACATTTTTCAACTTACCGTTTCCCTGAGAAATTAAATTGACTGGAATTGCAATTTCATTTATCTGTACAAGTAAGATGGATAAATTTGAATGGCTATATACATGGAAAAATTCACTGACTAATATATTTAAATTAGTATATCCAATTGGCAAAAGTTAATCAATTAAAATTTCTTTCTAATAAAATAAAATAAAGTCATCTTAACTAAATTTCAATTGAATTTCGCATAAAATATTGAAACTTATTATATACAGAAATAATCAATATAATTAATACAAAATAAAAAAAGAAGAACATTTAGTTTAAACAATCAATAAATAAAATTTTTCCGATCATAATTTTTCCAATCAAATGAACTGTTGCCAACTGAATTTAGTTAATTCCTATCATACGAATGAGAAACTATATACAGTGGAATAATTCATTGGAATAATTTTGTTATGCGAATTGTTTGCCCCTGATATATACCGATATGCATACAAATGAACACTGAAATACCTATTTGATTTGATCCTTGAATGAAAATTGACTTCGAAATGAACAAGGAAGATTGTTGCATATATTTGGAAAATTGCATTTACGTACAAGAAGCCAACGGAATGTGCAATCGGGTCAAGTTGTAATACCTCAATCACATTCCATACATCACACAGGAAACTAAATAAAATTAACATATTGAGGTTAACATTGATGTTATGTAAGTGTAGTACGATTAATTGTAGAAATTGAGCACAGAGGTCAAGTACATTACTGTAAAGGTAAATACGATGGAAAAATGATAATTATTATGATTCCTTATAATTAAATTCAGTTTCCAACGGCTGTATTTCACATTAATCATCTGCAGGACCGTGTTAAGTATAATCTAGAACATTTGAAATCATATCTCTGTTAATACAAACAAATTATTTAAATTATTTAAAATATTTAAATTATATATATTAGGAAATTATACATATATATAAAATAATAATAAAATATCGATTATTTATATTTCAAAATTGACGTATTAATGGTTACGAAATTTAAAAAGTTGGTCCGAAACTTGAAATTATGGTTTATACTTATATTGTAAATAAAATTTGTACACTGATATTAAAATAATTAAGAGTATAGTAATCTAAAATTTTCGCTCCAATCAATTGTTTTTGCTCAATCTATATAAAAATGAATAAGTGTTATAAATATATAGAATTTTATATTTCAAATATAATGGTAATTTATAATTACATTTAATTTTAATTTTAACTTTCACTTAGAATCTTATTTATGATTAACTTTATATTTTAACTTTATAACAAATTCATATAATTAAAAACTTACATTTGAATGTTTCCACTGACAACTGTCTACCTCTATTGGCAATCAGGTGAATGACTAATCGGACGAAGCACACATGAGATTTACAAGCGGACATTGCATCTTTTAGGGGACTTCTTTGAAAAGACATAAAACGATGAATTGGATTATCAATTGGACTATAACTATATCAAACGATCGAAGTTGATCAAGTAATGAATGCGCCAAAAACATAATTTTTGAAATCCATTACAGTGTTGTCAAATTTTCAATACATCACAAAGAATTCTATCAATGTTTTACGGACAAAAATTTTCTGAATATAAAGCTGACTGGAAAGGAAAGGGTAGAGAGTATGTTCACGTTGAAAATACTGTTATTTTTCTAGAAAACACTTACGAAGGAACCTGAATATGTATCAAAAATATTATTTGAAAATTATAAAGTATTTCTTAATATTTGCAGAATTATTTATAGAAATTGTATTCTGAACGTTTGTTATTAGTGTTATAACCTTGTTTGTAGAAATTGTATTCTGAATGTTCGTTATTAGCGTTTGTTATAACCTGCAAAAAATACCAAAAATTAAAACAAACAAAGGAAAATGTGTAAAAATGAAACGATAATATTGAATTTAATATTGGAATTGTTAAGAACTAATTAGTATGAAACTATTTAGTATACGCAGTATGAAGTTAAAGAATCAACAAATAAGTAGAAAATGTTATAACAAAAGTGTGTGTGTGAAAGTATATGATAAAATACGTGTGTATATATAACAATGAGTTAGTCAATTATAAGGTTATAATATTTCTACTGGTTAGAATTGAAATTAAATTTTATATAAAATAATAACAATTTTTAACATAATATGTTCTATTTAAATATTTATATGCTATTATTTTTTTAATTATTGAAAATTATATGTAATAATTATTTGGTTAAATCTTACTTTGATTTGAAGCCAAAAATGCACGTTTTATCTTAAAAATTCACAACACAAATCTAACAGCTATTGATTTATATTTTTACTTGAGAACTTGATACTTCTTTCTGGAGGATTCTTCTGGATAATACTTCCTTTTTTACAGATGAGGCGTGCTCCTTTCTGCCATAGTTCCCGTTTAAAAATCAGTCGTGAGAAATATCGATTACGTTCGAGAATCGTAGGAATTGTATTGCTCATTTCACGGTTGACGCTGTAATCTTTAATTTAAATTCAATACGCGCGCATTTCACACGAAATGTTAACTCGGAATAAAAAATAAAAAACTCTAGATCAAATATACAAAATTCATGAGAAATTCTTAAAAAAGGACGAAAACAATCATATTATATAATTTCATGAAAACTATTATATAACTATTATATAATTTCATGAAAAAAAATTCTAGAACAATTAGCTCGATTTTATTTTAAAGAGTGATGTCTCCACCTTAACAATCTGTTTGTTGAAGGAAACAAGGATATTTATTTTTACATAATGCAGGAAGTATGTAAAAGTAAGAATATTTTTCTTCTCGAAAATTATAAAAATTATAATTATAAAAATTTTCTCGCCGAAGAGAAAAAATTTTTAAATCGCTGAAAAATTTTTGTCGTGACTGATTAATCATGATGTTAAACATTAAAATCTTTCTTTTACAATGATTCCTTAAAACTAACTGTATGATTATTTTTCGCTATTTTATTGAACTTTAAACATTAACGTTGAACAACAAAAATTCAAGTCGTCAAGTCATTTCGTCGTTTAATTCTAATAAAATGACAAATTCAATAAAATGAGGAAAAAAATTGTATAACAGGTTTTACAAGTTTGTTGTAAAAGGCAGACTCTAATTTTCAAGATCATGGTTTAATTTAAAACAAAAGAAAAAAAGGAAAAGAGAAAGAAAACAGGAGTGGAAGAGTAAAAGTAAGTTAAAAACAATCTGGTTTTATTCAAGTCCAAAACATGTTGCGGCAAAATGATGGAACTAAACGCTTTGTATTCATATTAAAAAAATATAATTAATTTTTTAAACTATCACGCCAGTAATTTGCATTCTGTAAGCATACATTTCAAAGATGATGCTATCGATGATGTCCACAAAGAAATTTCATTCCAATATTCAACGTAGTTTGCAGGAAATTGAACAGTATTTGAAAGAAAGTTTCGATCTAAGCGAAATTTAAAAATATTTATTAATACATATTTATTACACAGTATATATCACATATTTCTTAATATAAATTGTACATAGAACGAAAGCCAAGGATGTAAAATTCACAATACAATCACAAAAGTTTACAAAATTATTTTTCTCGTCTGTGCATATACCACATGTTGTTACACCAAAAATTATTTATTTAATTGAATATAAACGCTTTCCCATTTGCATGACTATTATTAAGAGACAGCCAACTTCATTTTGGCTATAATATGATTATTTTCATAAATTAGCATTATATGTCACAGACTTTATGTTACGAATACTTAAAACTAAAATGTATGTCATTCCTTATCTTTATTTTTCTAAAAAAAAAAACAAAAAAAAAAAAATAAAGATAAGGAATTACTTACATTTCAGTTTTCTACAGAAAATTCTTCTCAGATTTATATTCAAGTTTGTTTGACCTTCATGTGTTTACAGTGTTCGTTAATTTTGATTGAAAATGAGGTATTTTTAATACGTTTAATGTACTTTTTAATACTTTTTAACTATACATGATTTTTAATATTTAAAATTTTTTTTATTTGTATATAGAGAATACATGTAACACGTTATAGAATATTCAAGCAAATTTAAAGATTTCTTTCATTTTTTTTCTCCTACAAAACTTGCTTAAAAAGAATTGTTTCTTTTTTTTACAGAGAGAAAAGACGCTAAAAGTCAAACCAATGAAATTGATGTTTCGAACGAATAAATCAGGCTTCATAACATTGGTAATGAAGAAAGCCGTTTACAAGTTTAAAGAATGAGAGATCAATGTCGTGATAATATTGATAGATTTAATGGCAAAGTGAAAAATTTGGAGAATTTGAATATGCAAGATATAACTAATATTATAGTTGTTCTTGCTATAGAACAAATGTTCTACCAAAGATTAAGAAATAAGATTGTATAAGAAATACTCATAAAGACAATGCTTCAAATGCAACAGCAAATTTGACTAAATATCAAATACATGTATAATATTTGAAAAATCCACGGATACAGATCAAAACGATGAAGATTTAATATGTAATGAAGTAGCGTGCAAAAAAAGAAGAAGAAGGCGGAAAAAATTTCTTGAAGCAAATAATTCAAAGCATAATATAATAGAAAACTTAGATCTTCTATTAATAAAGAGGGATCGAAACAAAATAACCGAAATAGAAAAACATTTGTACAAGAGGAGTTTCAACGATACTCAAATAAATAATACTCAAATAAATAAACTATCTAAATAAATTAACAGACATATTAAACTATGTGCATAATATAACATTTTGCAAATGTTATCGATAAAATCAAAGAAACAATAACTAGTAAAATAACTAATAAACTAATAAATTAATAATATTATATTTACAGAAGAAACACGATGTTCTTTTTGAAGCCTTGATGGAGCCACGCTCGTCCACTAATGTTTTCAACTGATTTTCCGTCGTTCCAACGGATCAAGCAAATTGAGAGGCTATAAATTTACATGCAAGATGATTAGATTGACGATGCTGCACCCGCTTTCTCTAGACTTCTCATTCGTTGTTCTAAGAAAGTTCCAAGAAAGTTCCAAGAGGCTGAGAATTGCAGATTGAAAAGGCTGTGAATTGCTCTGCTTCACGCAGCTGTGTCCTGGACGCAAACTTGTTCCAATCTATTTGGGAAAAATTGAATTCAAAAACAAGAGAAGAATGTTTATTTCTATGTATATTGTATCTAATATTAATATTAGTAAATTGGATTGTTAATATTTTAAGAACATTGTAACGTACCTGCAGGAATTTCTTCTTCTTGTGTGGAAATAACAGACAGATAGATGAATTGTTACACATAATTGGTGATATCTCAAAAATATAACAAGATCTTATTTCAGTATTATCACCAACTGGTATTTTAGATGTTTAGGTTTCATAGGATTAAAATCATCATTGTCCTAAAAAAAATTAAAAAATCATATTTAATAATATTGTTACTAAATTAATGATTTATTATGTGCTTCTATTTTATGATAATCTATTTTTTTTTTGTTCAGATGATTGTATGATTTCCTCTACAATAATACATAATATTAATTAATTGTTTATTTTTAATTAAAATTCTGATATTTTAAATCCATACCTTTATTGCTTCTTTGACATCTTTCTTAGATTTTATTGATGACGTTTGCGAAACGTTATACTATGCATACAGTTATTGCATAATACTATGCATAGTCCGTTAATTTTGTTTAGATTTTTTTATTTATGTATGTACGCTTTTCTATTTCTGTTATTTTGTTTTAGTTTCTTTTCATTAAAACAGGATCTAAGTTTTATGATTATGCTTTGAATTATTTACTTCAAGGTTTTTTTTGACCTCTTTCTTCTTTTTTTGTACATTACTTCATTAGATTTTAAATTTTCATTGTTTGATGACCTGCATCCTTGGTTTTTCCAAATATTATATATGTATCTCATATTTAATTAAAGCTCTTGTTACACTTGAAGCATTGTTTTCATGGAATATTTTTTTTTACACAAAACTTTGGTAGAATATTTTGCTCTATAGCAAGAACAACTATATGATATTAGCTATTTCTTGCATATTCGGATTCTCCAAATTTGTCACTTTGTCATTAAATCTATCAATATTACCACGACATTGATCTCTCATTCTTTGAACTTGTTAACGGCTTTCTTCATTACCAATGTTATGAAGCCTGATTTATTCGTTCGAAACATCAATTTCATCTGTTTGAGTTTCAGCGTCTTTTCTCTGTAAAAAAGAAACAATTCTTTTCAAGCAAGTTTTGTAAGAGAAAAAAAAAATAAATAAAAAAATCCTTAAATTTGCTTGAATATTCTATAATGTGTTACATTTATTCTTTATACATAGATAAAAAAAAATTGTTAAGTATTAAAAATCATGTATAATTAAAAAGTGTTAAAAACTATATTAAAAGTATAAAAAATACTTTAGTTTAAAATTAAATGGTAATCTACTGGTGATTTTGAATCATCCTATCGCTCTTGCAGTCTTGACCACGCCAGCTTATTAATTGGCGGTCGATATGCCATGATCTTCTACTACACGTGCGGCAAGGTCGGTTAAATCATCAAATGTTTAAAAATTCTACTAGGTAATTAAAGCGGTCGAAATCTGATAACTGCTTTACGTTATGAACTAGTGAGATGAGTGACTGTTTAAAGCGGAGCCACTAGCCGAAATTGCCATCGAACATCGACAAATTGATCACGCCGGTAGTCTCGTTCGAAGGACTAAGAGACGCGCCATTATTCAAAGTGGCGCATCGGAAGGACGAGCGCCATTTAAATTTCTATGAGCGCGGGAAATGAGATTATAAAAGCAATCTTCGAAAGACTCGAGATCCTGTAAATATATTTCCTCACACACACGACGCCTATTGCCTTTACCCTCGTTTGAACTTCATCGAATTTGTCAAGCAGTGATCGATTATATTTAATACGATTTTCGTACGACGAATCGACGAATTTCTTAAACTTTAGGTTCGAGCCTTGATGAAACCGCGTTCGGCTATTGACGCTTTCAACTAATTTTTTATCGTGCAATGGATTATGTAAGCTAAGTAATCAACTCACGTGGAGAATGGAAAGGTTGACGATGATGCAACCGCTTCCTCTCGAGTTCTTTCGTCGTCCATTTTGGGCTTTTCTTCTTAGTCTAAATTTATTAGTTTCTAATTTAATAGTTGAAAATTTTACTTCTGCTCTTCCAGACGATTTTATCAATTCTGCTTGCTTGGCCGCCCGTGAACCTGTTTTGTATAATCAGTCTAATTCATTCTAGCCAATCACATTTGCCTAGCAACATCGATCGTTTCAGACGTTTCTCTATGTTTTTAGTTAAAAGTGTTTTTAATATCAACAAACAGGTTTGCGACCGTCCAGAATATTGGACAAAAATATATATGGTCTTGACGTAGCCGATGGTTGTGAATCTTTGACACGTGGCGTTTTTGTACTTGAATTGTTAAAACAAGGTGAAAACCTGTTGTCTAGCTCAGGGCTTCTCAAACTCTTCTATTTGGCGATCCCCTTTATCCAAGCAAATATTTTCGCGATCCTGGTATAGAGGGTATATAAACGAGAAATTATGACATTATATTATTATAAATGTTATATATTATATAAACATTATATATTATAAACAAATAAATTATGTTATATATTATAACATTAAACAAATATATTATATTGTAAATGAACTAAAACATTTGCTGATAATAAATCATAAAGAAAACAATTATTTGGTATTAAATTGGTTTTGAATTAATTTTCAGTCGTTGCGCGTTCAAGAATTTTTTCTTTTACTAAAATTTTTGCGACTTTGAAATTTAGTTATACGTTACTTTGAAAAGCCCTGGTTCTAACTGACGACTTAGTGCAATGTTAGATATATTATAAAATTAATAAAGATTATTTTTTATTTAGAAATTAATATGATAATAAGAAAAATTTCTTACAACTTAAGTCCATTTAATATAATTATATTATTACACAATCTGTTATTATTAACTAAGGTCCTATTAGTCAATGATGCTACTTTAAAAAATTGAATTTAATTGCAAAAATCTAAAATCAATTTTTTTGTGTTCAATTAATGTTTATGTGTTCTTTTTCCCATCAAACATGTCAATTGTAGATATTGAATTGAAGTTCACATTGAATTTTGTGATATCAAAACGATTGTTCAAAACTGTATCGCTATACTTAATCGCAGAATTATCTGAAATAAATATATAAGATTTTGAAGGGTTCATTATAATAAAATTAATATTTGATTACTAATATTTGATTACTCATTTCAGTTCAATGTTATTTTTAGTATAATGTTCATTTGTTGATTGTTCTATTTTACTTTTGTGTATATCACATTGCTCCTTTAACATGTTTTTTTCTATTGTGTCTATTAAATATGTAGAAAGTTCATTATTTTCAGTTAGCAAATACTTATTGTTTTCTTTAAGATTAGCTTCTTCTTTTTGTAAATACAATCGTATTCATCAATCGTGATCATATAAAAGTAACTTATTTTCTTTGAAATACTTTCAAGTTCTTTGTTTTTCTCTGTAATAAAAATTGATAATTCGATATTTTCTGTTAATTTATCAATTTTATTTTGATATGATTGTAACAACTTACAAGCATATCACTGTGTTCTTCATTATATACTACTGACATCTTGCAAAGCTGCTAAATCGCTTTCTAACGCGATTTTTTCATTCGTAACTTCAGAAATTCGCGCATAGAGTTCATCAATTGTTTTCTTAAGATTAAATTCTGTTTGTTTTGCATTCTCTTGCTCTGTGGTTAATTTTGTATTATTCATATTCATATTTTCAGTTGTTAACAAATAAATAGTTTCCTGTAATTTGTTTATGCTTGTTTTAAGACTTTGGACCGTTTTCTATATCTTCCAATTCCTTTTAGATGAAGAATTTCTTCTAATTCTAATTCTTTCCTCTGCTTTCATATTTAAATATTTACATTGCTTTTACTTATTCTTGAAAAAAGATAAAATAGATTCATTTTTTAAAAATATTGGATCTTTTAAATTTTCATTTGTAATCTGAATATCTTTATACATTTGACATTTTTACTAATTGTTTATCTCAAATTGAATAATTATTTTTCGACTAATATTTACTTCACTTCTTTCACTCATGTTACATGTCGTCTAACATTTCTAAACTATAATAATTGAAAAAATGACTTCTTTAGTTCGTTTGAGTTTAAATTTTCTACAATCTTTGGTTCATTAAGGCATACAATTGCTAATAGTAAGATAGGTGACTAGATATAAATAAAAATTTTTTCGCTTCTAACGCGAGCCTTCATAGAATGTATATAGAATATATAACCATTTCTGGAAGCGGTAGCAAAGAAAATACGTATCTGCTATGAGTTTACAAGTAGTGCAAAAGGCAAGCAAAAGCATTGTTTCTGTATCCTGGAACAGACAGTGTTTGGATATCGTTGATCTAGATTATGGACGGGATCCTGAAGAAATCAACATTGAAGATATGTTCGCTGTCGGACATCGAATAAATGCTGGACCAGCCTTCGCGAAAAACATTGGTTTCCGCAATACTCAAACGAATATAATGTATTGTAACTCTCGAATTCAATTGTACTACGCGATGATCCATATTAATGGATCGATGATCCCTGCACTTACACCATCCTAGAAGAAACAGACATGTAACAAATATCAAGAAACACAATGAAAATTCAGAGCAAACACAATGAAAAATTCTATCTTCGTAATGTGGATTCCAGCTCGCATCAGAAGGCAATGAAATGGCAAACAAGGAGGCAAAGACAGCGTCAGCACAAGCAATTCTCCAACACCTACAGATCTCACACACCAATTATATACAAGCTATAAAGCAAAAAATTCAATTACTAACTGAAGGAAAGCACAAGCCGAAATATCAGGTGGTAACTATTTTTGAAATTATTACAAAACAGCTAATATCAGATGGTAACTATTTTTGAAATTATTACAAAACAGCTAATATCAGGTGGTAACTATTTTTGTAATTATTACTGGTTTCACAAAAGAATATCCAGACACGTGACAGTATTGGTTAATAGAGCTGACCACTACAGTTTTGGCTCCTCATTGGCCAAAGTTGGTTCAGGATATCTCTTGTAATTGTGGCCATACAATGCAAAATCTGAACTACATATTTTGGTTCTACTCTAAATATGCAATTAAGCAATTCCTAATAGATTCTCTAATCAAGCCGCTAAAAATCATAGACAGCTTCCTAAAAACTAGTAACATAAAAATTTAAACGCAGTAGGAAAGAAGAAATCTAGCCATTATTTTTATATTTCTATACAAAGCTACTTTTTTTTTGTATACCTCCTTTTGTTATTTGCTTTTGTATATAACATCTTTTTTACACACTATTTTTATACTTTTATACTATTGTAAGCTATTTTTCTTTTGTATATCTTCTTCTGTTGCTTGCTTTTGTATATAACGTCTTTTTTCTTTAGATACAAATTTTACAGCATGTTAGATTATGTAATATATAGGCCAAGTACAGATTTGAAGCTAATAAATAAAAAAAAAAGAAAAAAAACAGATATATTTTAAGTTGCGAGAAAAATTAATTAATTGCATTTGTAAATTAGATTTCATCTTGTGTAATTGCATCTTGTTAATTAGATTTCCAGCTTTCTTTCTATACCCCATTTGCAGCATAAAATGCACAAATAGGAATTTTTAAAAACAATTAATACCACTTACCGATAGATAGCGCCACTATGTCTAAAATTGTAGCGACCTCTACTTTGAAGTATTTAGATCAACGATATCTATGTTCATTAAATCGTTCCGTCGAGATGTGTATTTAATATAAACAATAGAANAATTATATATTTTGTTATATTGATAATATTTTTATATAAACAACTAAAATTAATTACGGAGTTATTATTTATTTGTAGTATTGTGATATAAATTTAAATCATCACATAATTATTACAAAATTGTAGCGACTGTTACCTCTTCAAAATTAATATCAACGCCATCTACACAATCGTTTCGCCGAAAAGTACATTTTCTGTAAATCGACATCGCCAACTGTAAATCGACATCTAACATTAGAATATTTATAAATCGATATTTTATTTTTATTATTATTTATTATTTATTATTATTTTTATTATTTATAAATTGATATTTTATTTTTATTATTACTATGGAAATGTTATTACCATGTTTACTTATTGACAGAGATGTATATATAGATTTTCCCATTTTATAATTAGTTATTCTTTCCATAATCAACATTCATAGAAACAGTTATTTATTTGTGTTATAAAAAATTATTGAAGTTACAAAGTTGTTCTTATTTCTATTTGTAGTATTGTGATATTAATTTAAATTATCATCATAATCACTACAAAATTATAGTAATTATGACGATAAATAAATCAATATCACAATACTACAAATAAATAATAATTCCGTAATTAATTTTAGTAGTTTATATAAATATATTATCAATATAACAAAATATATAATTACTAATAGTTTAACGAAGATTAAATAATGAAAGGTAAATAACGAATGAATAATTAACATGATGATTGCAGTATATATAAGTTTCTGTAAATATTTCCATGGTGATAATAAAATTACTAATAATTTTTAAATATTTTATTGTTTATGTTAAATACACATCTCGGAATGATTTAATGGATATAGACGTCATTGATCTAAATTCTTCGAAGTAGAGGTCGCTACAAAATTATGATGGCATTTTTAAACCAAGCTTAACAGCGGCGACGTTTACGAAAGAAGAAAGAAGAAAATCGAATAGCGGAAAATATATTATAATTTCAATTGTTAAGCAAAGGAAATTAAAATAAATAGTAGTTGTGATTTCTTGCTAATTATCGTAATATAATTTATTAAAAGGAGTAAAACGAAAAAATTTGCACTAATTGCGAAAAAACGCTAGTCAAAAGAAATAATTTGTCAACTTTTAAAATTGCATCGTTCGTTTAAGACGCCCAGCCTTTATTTTATATTCCATTTATATTTCAGAATGTATTAATATTTTCAAAATTTTTCTTAATAAATCAAAACTCTTTTGCAAGTAGTGGTCAATTTCTCGTAAACTACATTGAATATTGATATCAAAGTTGTTTGTGAATGTAATCGATAACATCATCTTTGAAATATATATCTAATAAATGCAAATTATTGGTGTAAATCATTAAAATTAATTTTTTTTTTTAATGTGAATGTAAAACACTTAATCCTTCCAATTCATCATAACGACGCTAGTGTTTTTCATCCCGTAAAATAGATAAATAAAGAGTTAATTACTAGAAATATTTTTCGAATTAATATTATTTTTATATCAAACTTATTTTCAAATTGTTTTAACCAAATTGAAGGTGACAGGGAATACAATCCATGCTTTTAATTACTCATAAATTCCCGCCAGATATAATATGTGTTAGATGGCACTGATATATCATTGAAGAGAGTGGCGCGAAAAACATGTGTGGTCGAGCCGCTTGGTAAGTAATTTTGTCACGTAGTTCCAATAATTAATTCCTGACACGCAAACATCACTGCTAAGAGTTAAAGAAACCCATAAATGATTTTATAGTTCCCTGAATCCGGAGACTTTATGTCGTGCTTGCGAATACGAAAATGCAACCGGTAAACGACAGACGATATCATGGACCAAAAGCGACGTCGAATATGTTCCATCCACCAATATTGGTCCCAAAGATGTTCTTCCGTGTATCATTGCTGGTTCACATTGTGGCGAAGAGAATGAAAGAGTCCTTTGTGCCATGATGTGGAGTATGATTCCGCCCTGGCATGAGGTTTGTGTTTTATAATTAAGATTAGGTTATTCCACAGATGGGGATGAATTCATGTGGTTACCATTTGGTAACAACAAATGTGTTGATACAAAATGTGTCTATTCAATGCAAACATGTTTGTTATATCCCCTTGAGATAACAATAATCTTATTTTCTTTAATATTTTCGTTAGTACACAAGTAGCAAAAGAAGTTGAAAATATCTTTCTGTTTTCAGGGAGATTACAAAAAGCACAGCTTGTCAACGCATAATGCACGTTTGGAGAATATTAAAAATTCCAAACTATACAACTCGCCATTGCGCAATGGGCAAAGATGCATAATAATTTGTGAAGGATACTATGAATGGAAAGCTGGGAAAACTAAAAAAGATACTAAACAACCGTATTACATTTATGCCAACCAGAGGAAAGAAATAGAAGCAGATGATCCTTCAACATGGGAAGACAAATGGTCCGAGCAGGATGGGTGGCAAGGATTTAAAGTCTTAAAGATGGCAGGGATTTTTAATAAATTTAAAACTAAAGAGGTAAATGCAACATGTAAAATTTGTGCGAATAAGATTTAAATAGAAAACTACAGATACAGTAAGTTATGTTCCAGGATAAGATGATATATAGTTGTACAATAATTACTACTGAGGCAAATAGTGTTCTCTCTTGGTTGCATAACCGGGTACCTCTTTTTATAAATAAAGAACAAGATTTAAGGGTAAGGAAATAAAGATGTTTATGTAAATATTGAAAAGAATAATTTCTGTATCCATACACAGATAATTTTATTGCGTTGTTGACAAACAGCTTACGTTTTTATAACAATTAATACATTAATATTAGTATATTTGTGCTTCTAATAATAGCTCTGGCTGAATGAAAAATTATCAATAGATGAGGCTATTGACAAATTAAACAAATTAACGTTATCAGAAGATGATTTAAATTGGCATACAGTTTCAACTCGTGTAAATAATGTATTATATAAAAACGAAGATTGCAGAAAGAAGACAAAAGCAATGTATGTATATAGAATGTTACAATTAATCACTGGATGTTAGAATTATGAACTTTTAATCCTGTGAAGTGACATGCCAGACTATTGATTTAGTAATTCCATTATGTACAGAGGAGAGAAAAAAAGCAACTCTACTAGTTTTATGGCTTCTTGGTTGAAGAAGGGGTCTGCAGAGTCAGCTAAGAGAAAAACTACCGAAACTGGAAAAGATGATAACAGACCAACGAAAATTACAAAGGAAAACTAAAAAACTAAATTTAAAAATTAAGAAAAAAAAGGTTGTTTCGTTTGAATTCACAAGCATAGTCAAACTTAATTTTTTTTTGTAAAGATTTCTCTCGTAAATAATGATATTTATAAGGGTATTTACTACAAGTTTTTTTATATTTTCATATTCTGTAAAACAGTATTAATATTTTAAATGTCTCCATAATAATACTCTTAAATTTAATATACATATATCTTGCATTTATTTATAATCGTAAGATAAAAATAAAATAGTAATTTGTATTAAACATCAATATTACAAATTAGACAATAGTACATTTTTAACATGTTGACATTCAATATCGTTTATCTGTTTTGTTTCAAAAAATTTTTCATATATATAATTAATCCTTCTATCCTATGCGTGGATTATTTTCAACTTGGATATTTTTCGAATAATTTCGAAAAATTGATTATTTATAATTTTTAATATTATATTTTAATAAATTTTTCATAAATACATTTTGTAAAGTCCATAGAAACAACCAGGAAAAGAATTCCAAATATAATTATAAAAAAAGAAGTTCCGAAAGCGTTTCAAATGCCACATGTGCATCAGAAATGATAATACATCATATAACACAATTGATTATTACATATTAGATGTGCTACTAATACATTATTTATCTATACTAATACATTATTTATCTATTTATACATATACATTATTTATCTAGAAAAAAATATTATTCATTCGCAGTTTTCAAATTTATCACCTTATTTTTCCTTGTCTATACATAAAAGTATTTACGAGTGAATATTAAAGTATAAGCAATAAAGTACTTACGAGTAAAAATTAAATAATTTTGAATTTAACGATATAGGACACGTGTTTGTAGTACTTGATTTTTATACTTTGCAGAAATAATAATTTTCTTTGTAAAAGGAGATAATTGTACATCTTGCCATAAACAAATTTTTAAAAAGGCGGACTTTTATTTGGCGCGTGTCAGCGCGCATGAGCAGCCGAGTACAACATGGCGGCGACCATTGCGCATCCCATTCGACGGCAACAAAGAGATAGAAGAAGAGGGAGACGAGAGGCTAGAAACTGGCCGGTTTCCCTCAGATGTCAGCACATTGGGTCGTATGTCGCGGTGGTGGTAGTGGAGGTGAAGGCGATCGGTGGTGCGGTGGTCGAGCCTACAGAGTGATATAGTGGATAACGTTAGAGAGTGACGGTGTACATAACTTCTACCAGCGCCGGAGAGTCGAGTCTTACGCATTTTCGTCTCCCGTGCGGGGGCTACCCTTCGCAAGAATCCGCGTCACGCATGGCATCGCTTCGTGGCTAAGACGCTTTTTTCCTTGGGGACAGAGAGAACAGGATCGTGCGCGGCCGGGGCCCAGCCTCTTCGCGTGCCTCGTCTCATTTTGCCGTTTTCGAGCGCCGGAGAGACCGAGTCGCGAACGAGCCGACAGAATGACTAGTCAGGAGACACTTGACCAAGGGATCAGTAACGTGGAAACCGAATATCTGGAGATCAACTCGAAGGGAGCCTGGCCGATTCTCTATCAGGTAAAAAGATCGCGCCCCGTTCCATCTCTTTCTTCTTCCGTTTTTTGCGTCTTTCCTTCCGGTTCGAGCGAGAAACGGCGATTCCTGCCTGCGAATGTGTTACGTACAGAGCCTTCCTACACTATCGCATGCAACTTTCAGTCTGAGGCCTTCTTGCACAATTCCAACCACCATTATTGTTGAAATTTTTTTCCGAGCTTCGGAGTTACAAGGTACGGGTATTAATGAATAAACTTGCACAACGGCAATAAATTTGTTTATGAAGTAAATGGAATTTTGTAAGTAAATTTTACTAAAATTACCAGAGTTATCTGACCATTCTGTTTGGTAGAGAGTCACGAAATTTAAAGGAGCTTGTAACCTAGAACGTGTAACTTGTCAGTTTATTGATATTATTATGGTTGGTAAGTTATTGTATAAGAGCTCCTTGTGGATTCTTGGCATCGTGGAATTGTTTTTTCATCCACGACCCGGAAACGATAAAATCGTAAATACAATAAAATCCGATTCTGACGTTCTATCGATGTTTGCCAAACGATGAGACTAATATAATAATAATAATAATAATAATAATACTGGCATGTTGTCATTTGTCGCGAGATCTCGTGGTACGCTTACCAATTTTTATCTTCCTTCCGCATTGCTGAATGAACAGGGAAACCTGTGCATCAGTCTGTGTCATGCGTGTTTATCGGATTTTTGTTTATTTATCGTACGCGGCCTGTTCATGGCTGTATTCAACTTCCTTCGCGATTTTTGTCAATCTAGAACAACTTATTTTCAACAAATGAATTTGTACCTTTCTATAATGCGATCCGACACGATGACAAAGAAGTTCCACTATGTTCATTCATTATCTGTTTTGTTCTGTAACTGGTTTGCTTATCCGCGGATATGTATTTACAATGCGCGGATTGTTCCACGATTCTCGGGGACTATCGGTTTATCTTCTTGGAAAGCCGTTTTCACCGGAAAATTCTTAAATGCTGCATAGAATCTGCATTGTGATTTTATTGCCAAGGTCGAATTTCTTGGTTTTAAATAAACGTGCCAGGTATATGTTTAGAAATGCAGTTTATATTCGTAAGAAAAGTGACTTAATTACTAGATAATAAACAAAGTTTCTACAAGTTTAACAAGTCGATCAAGAAAAAATATATTGTATGAACAATGAAGAAAAAAATGTTATATAAATATAGATTATTTGAAACTTTGTCAAAAAGTTATAATAAAAATATTAAATATGTAATTAATAGCTGTGCTTTATTTCAAAATGTTAATCATTTTTGTGAATACAAAGCTGATATGCAATGTAACATTGATACTAAACTGATCTAATAATTATTTGCTATATTTCTTTTTCTTTTTAGAGTTCTTTTTACATGTATTTTTTATCATAACTTTTTTACGAAACATCTTCAAGTATCTTTCCTTCTTGGTATAATATAAGAAAATATTATTCTTGCAGCACATACGTAATGAATGCAGCAATTTTACATATACATGCAATGAGTCAAAGAAGCCACAAAACAAAAATTTAAACCGTTATAGAGATGTTTTGCCATATGACGATAGTAGGATTGTTCTTAGAAGAGGCCCATGTGATTACATCAATGCTAATCTCATACAGGTAGAAATTATATACAAATATTTAATTTTAAGCAAAAAGAACAATTTACAGTAACAATAACAAGATAACAAGATTATTTTTATTATAGGTAGATCGTGCCCATAGACAATACATTCTTACACAAGGACCATTAGAAAATACTGCTGGCCATTTTTGGCTAATGGTATGGGAGCAAAATTCTAAAGCTGTGTTAATGTTAAATAAGATAATTGAAAAGAATCATGTTAAATGCTATCAGTATTGGCCTCTTGGTGATTCAACAATTAATACTATGATGTTTCCGGATGTTGGTATAAATGTAACATATATTAGTAAAACAGAATCATCGGATTATACAACTAGAATATTGAAGTATGGGAATGAAGAATTGTATTACAAATACTGTCCATGTGTTTAATTTTAAAAGGTCATAAGTCATATTTGCTTTGTAGGTTAACTGACTTGGAAACAAAAGAAAGTAGAGAAATATTACATTTCCATTATACTACTTGGCCAGACTTTGGAGTTCCACAAAGTCCAACAGCTTTTTTACAGTTCTTAACAGATGTTAGACAATCAGGAGCATTGGATCAAAATGTTGGGCCTCCTGTGGTACATTGTTCTGCAGGAATTGGGAGATCAGGGACATTTTGTTTAGTTGATACTTGTCTTGTTTTGGTAAGCATTATGCATATTAAAGAGAATTTAAAAATTTCAGATCAAAAATTGTCTTTTCTATTGTAGATTGAAGAAAATGGATTGAATTCCGTAAATGTGAGAGAGATATTAATAGAAATGAGAAGACACAGAATGGGTTTAATTCAAACACCGGATCAACTAAGATTTTCATATGCTGCTATCATCGAAGGAGCAAAACAATTGCCATCCAATAATGTGGTAACTAATACCAATTCACAGTGGTACAATGTTATTAGTTTCTCAAATTAACTTAATAAATAAATATTCTCGTTGCTGGTTTCATGTAAAAAGTGTTGTGAAAAAGTGTTGTTCTTATTGTAAATTAATTCTAATAATATTGTGCTACTGTGTTACACAACAGTTTTTGACTTTCACTAATTTCTGTGTATTTACAGAATATTAATAACGAAGTAGTAACAAATCATTATGATGTGGTAAGTAATATTAGTAATCCTTCAAATGGAGAGGAAGATGAACCACCTCCTTTGCCACCTCCAAGAGGTGAATCGTTAACACGTAGTATGATGGCTGACTTAACTTCAAATCCAATAACAAGAAATGGTAAGCATGTGTAAATGGTTAGTAATTGTCAAACTTAATTTTTAAAATATAATTTTTTTTTTCATATTAGATGAATTAAGTAGACCACCTGACAAACCATTGCCTAGAGAGCCATCAGTTTCCACAGAAATATCCATCAGTTCACAGATTATTGCAAATTCTACAGTAATTACAAACAATTTACACGAACAGAATTCCGACGGTGTTGCGGTGCCTAATGATAATACCAGTGACGGTGAAAACTCTTCAAAAACAATTAGTCCTCCGTCCAGTCCAGATACGTGAGTTATTTTAAAAGTAAAATTGTATTTAAGTGTTCCAGTATCCTCTTTTCTTCATATTTATTTCTTCATATATTCGAACAGGAAAAACGAAGTGCGTCATCGTAATAAAGAGAAGAAAGAACGTTTGGCAGCACAAGTGCGGGAGATGAAGCGTCGTCAAAAAGAGAGTGAAGAATGGCAGAAGCTTAAGAGGTCATTATTTAAACCTCTTACAATAGGCATAGGTGCTGCAATTGTTGGTGGGGGTATTATAGCGATTTGTGGCTATTTGTACATGCGTGGTTAAGATCGAATTGTTTTCCTATCACGCATGTACATGGACTGTCGAATTTGTCAGTGATACTAGGTGATCCGCACATTCAAAGATAGTTACTTTCACCATGAAATATTTAACAGCTCTTTTGCACATGCCGTTGATTGTCGTTTCGAGAAAATAAGTCAGGGAGAAGCATTTAGTGTTATATAATTTGAAGGAAAAATGAACACAGTCGTCGTAAGGTGTTAGAAGATAACTGACGAATTTTTCTCATTTTACCAATCAATTAATTAGATTAGTAATAATCTATATTATAATCTATATTAGATTATTAATAATCTATATTATTAATACTAGTGCGTATTAATAAGATATTGTCAATTGAGTAATAAAATTAGAAACATTCATCAGTTATCAAAGGAACGTTTAAAAGAAGTTACTTATTCTAATAAGGTGCATTTTGTAAAGGACATTGTTTTGACGAAGAAACGAGAAGAAAAATGATCAGGTCTTAAATGACAAGAAGAGGAGATCTTCGATTTGTATTTTTATATTGTGATTCACTCAATAAGTATGTAGCATATTAGAAGGTATACATTCTTTTGAACATTTTTTTCTTAGGTTTCCTTGAAAGTTGTACTTTATGAAGTCAGTAAATACTTTTACATTCATATTTCCAATTATAGTAAAATAAGAGATACATTGATTTAAATTTTTATTTTATGATCTTTTTCTCCAATTAGGAACACAGATTATCTTTTTTATTTGTTTGATAACGTTAACAAGTGAACATGCATTCTATGAAATAGCATGGGAGAAAAAGTACATATAAAAATCTAATATAAATAAATAATCAATGTCCTCTTATTTTCGTATTGTAATGATCGTAGATTTTCACATACAACAAAGTGAGTGCACGTCAATGCACGCAAAGTGAGTTGCACGACATTTCAGTAAGCAAAATTGGTTACTCTTAAAGTAATATTCAACAGGCAATTAAAAGTATTAACTTACTATTTCCTTTTCTTTGTTACAATACTTAAATAAATTTAGATTTCTTTAATTTAATTCATTTCATTACGATCGATATTTAAATCATCACATTAAATTGAAGAACAAATGAGATGAATTTTCTTCGAATAAATTTGATCTACTGTTAGCAATTATTCAGAATACCAAAATCATTCGCTTAAAGTTTTTTATAAGTACCCCTGATGATCTTGCTAAAATTTAATGGATATATGATAGTCGTAGAGAAACGTTAACGAATTTTACGATTATAACATACTATATAAATGTCTTTTTTTATAAGTAACTTGCCCAATCAACTAGAATACATTTTTCTATAGAAGGTTCATGACGAATCGAAATCATACTAGAAATTAGCATAAGCGATGCCTGTGACGTACCATGGCCCATTTTTACATGGCTGTTTACTTAGTGTCGTCGATTTCGTTCGAAACTTGTTCCTGGGGCTATGAGCAAAGGGGGAAAAAAAAAAGAAACGAATCTTTTTGACTTTCTCTTTTCCTTGAAGAAACGCGTCATCGAGATATTCCGTTTAATATGGCAACTGGTGCCTTTAATATTGTGTGTACTTCGTAAATAATTCACGCGATTTCGTAAAATGCTAGTAATCATTTGTAATATGTCATTTTGTATTTGTACCGGAATAGCTGAGAGAATTCTTTTACACAAGAGTTAGAATGACTGGTATACGGGAACAGAAAATTAACAAATTTCCCGTGATACTGCAATAGCAACAAGGATATTCTCAACGATCAAAACTTGCTACGGTACTCATCACATGCTATTCTGCATATTGCGACTTTCATTTCATGTGATGAAATTGTCGACATAATGAGTGCCAAACAATAAGCCAATAAGGATTTTATACGTCATGCATAATACATATAGAAGTGTATAATATCCCTGTGAATCAGTTTTCGATGTCAGCCCTGGTGTATGTATGTGTGTTTGTCGGTGTAAATATTCAACCATATTTGATTACACGAATATGAATTTAAAGAATATTTTGTAGGAACAAAAATGTTCTTAATGTTGAATACTTCCTGCAGACCTGATCAGCGTCATATCAAGGCCGATGTCGAAAACTGATTCAATCAGAGGAACATGTTAATGTATCAAACCGTATCATAGTTACATTAGTGAATTTTATTTTATACACTTTTAACCCCTTATCAAAACGTTTTATACATTAATAACTTCATCTCTATTGAGCACTCTGATATTCTTGCAATATTTAAATAAATTTTAAAGGACCTTAGTTTCTGCGTAAAAGAAGGATAACTAGGGGTTAAAAAATATGAGTCCTTTTAAAATGAATTTTAACTGGTTTGCTCAATGGTCAATCGTTCAAAGTACATTGAGCACTGCGGAAAGACTGAGTATGTCTAATTACTTCTAAATGAAGTTAAAAAAAAAAAAAAAAAATGAATGAAAACGAAAAAAGGATTACGAGTACGTAACGCGTTAAAAAGAATTGTACTTGTAAGCTGAGTTTCTACGTAAATCATCATGATCGTTCTTGGTAGGCTTTCTGGATCGTGTTCCGGCGTAAAATTAAATAAAAAAAAACAGAGAGGAAAGAAGTTGAAACAGGAAGCAAAGTGTAGATTAGTTGCTTACGTTTCGACATTTTTCCAAGAAGAGAACACGCGTGAGTGTGTGAACAAATGTATTTTGTACTTTTGTATTACGTCGTTAATCCATAGGATGCTTGGAACACGATCTCCGTGCGAAAAAATTATTTTCGGATACGTGTTACATTCATTAGAACGTATATGCGTTCGTGTATTCACTCGTGAGGTATAATCACACGTATCACGATAAAAAATGTTATCATGTTCCATTTGAAGCAGTGTTGAAATATTGTTCGAAGTTGAATACAGTATTCTGGTGTCGATACAAATTCACCTATGTGTGTATGCACCATTGTATATCTTGTTACCTGATTTTCGTTTAGAGCATATTCATGTTTATATTGTCGTTAGGGGTACATGCGACTCAGACATTGCGTTTCCCTTTTCTTATTTTGAAACGATTTTTGAAACATGCTTTAATAACTTAGTATCCATAGGATGTGAGAACAGCGTGAAAAAATAATCTCCAAGGAAAGTGAAAGATACATGCGTCAACTTCCGTTTCTGGTGATTACATTGGACGAAAGAGATAATAGTAGTATTCTTAAAAAAGAATACTATATTTTTTATATTTTCTTTTATTTTTAGAAACATAATAAATGTGAGCTTCGAGAGTGTAACAAATGTGCTTGTTTTTGGAAAAGAGTATCGTTTGAGGCTTCCAAATGTTGATATACTTTTGAATTAGATTATGAATATGATTTCCATATTGGAATCGTTTTCATAAGAAGGTGTAAAATTAAGTTATTATCACATTATTATGTATCATAAATATTAATATTGGTTTTTATGTTACAGTGTAATTCAACAATTGCAATTTTATATACACATTCGTGTATTGCAATATTGTATAATTTAATCAGAATTGGCACCTAGAACTAAACTGTGGATGTTTATACATGTATAACAAATTTAGAAATACGTAATGCAACGTGCAGTGTGCTTAAAATACAAAGATGTATAAAATATCCTAAGCAAAGTATAGAATATAGTATCTAGTAAGTAAAACAAAGTTTTAGTTAGATTTTATTTCTTTGGTTATGAAAATATGAAATAAACATCCATAGCTTAGTTTTATAACGATTGCAACTGACGAGTTTGTCAAAAGTTAAAATTTATTTGAAGTAAGTTCCATTGTTAATGACGGCGTTCATCGTATGTTTATCGAGTTGATTCCTGTAATAATCGGGAAAACGAGATGAACATTAGAACATTTGTCCAATTGTTGCTGATTACCAGAAGCTTCCTGAGGAGATTAATAGAGTGCGAGAGAGCGCGAGAAAGCGAGTGCGTGCATATTCTCAAGAATTAAAATCCACAAAAGACACGGTGCTAATAAAAAGTTCCAAAAATGAGGAAAGAAAGGAGAACGATGAAGAAGAGGAAAACACGCTTCGAAACGCGCGCTTGCGTGAGATAGCGAGAATGAACATGAATCGAAGGAGCATGTAAATGAAAAAAAAAAAAAAAAAACGAGATATTACGAGTGTGACAGTCGTGAGATTTCCTACGAACATTTTTTCCTACATTTCGCCTTTAGAAGAATAATAATATAAGAACGGGAAAATGGAAAAAAGTAAGAAAGTCACACAATGTATGAAATTTTTAGAGGACTGAACTTCGTCGATTATATGATAGAAACGCTCAAAGGAAGATTTAAAACAAGAAAAAAAAAACTAAAAGACGAAGAGGGAAGGCTTTCATATATAATTTCAGTTTTTCTCCATCCAATAATCTCTCCGTCGTGTACAATAAACAGAAACTTGTTACGATACTACAAGGAACCGCAGAAACATAGCTAAGTGCCTGCTCATACGAAAGAAAAGGAAAGGGAAAAAGAGAGAACCATAGCTAGAATACGATCTGTAGTAACATTACGGATAGTTACAACACTGTATGCAATCTCTCGCCTTTTTTTGGAAGAGCGTAGTCATCGAGCAAGTGAATCCTTTATTATCCGACAATATATCCTTACATATATTTAGAGATTAGATAATCGTTCCACTAAATCTATTGTTACGTGACTGTCGAATGATCGATCCACGAGGTTTATAGTTTACTTTCTGAGAACTATTCATTTCTTGGCCGCTATTTCTTTTTTTTTTTAATATATAAATCTCATACAACTAAACAATGTAATAATAATTGATGAAAGAAATCTAGTGTACTGGTAAAATTAATACATAATTGACGGAGTCAGTAATTAAAAAGCTAAGTAGAAACCAATTGAAAAAAGAATGAATTCTATATATTTTTCAAATGTCATAGAATCATACAATGCGACAATTAACGTAAAATAAGTTATATTTTCCTGAGGATGTTACATTTTACCTGATCACTAAATTCCTTCCATTCTCGTGGTTTGATTTAATTTGACAATCAATGTGTCTAAAATTAGAAATCGAGTTGCGTGTGCGAAAAGGGAAGCGAACGAGCGAACAAAATATGAGATAAGAACCAGGAGAATGAAAACGAAGATCAGGATTTGGATAACGATATATGAATATTGTCTTCTCGGTTAGAAAAAATGGAACATGGTCAATGATAAGTTACTTCTCCCTGAAGTCAGACTGCATACCTGCGACTCGACTTTGACGCAATTAACTGTTAATATTTACAATATACTGTAGTAGAAGATGTATTGAGATGTGGTATTTTAAATGTAAAACACACATACACACACACACAAATGACAAGTGGAAATGTTAACACTTGGTAGAATTAGAGACGAAGGAATAGAGAAAGAGGGTTGAAAGAAGCGAAATGGTAGCATTAAAAATTAGTGAAAAAAGAAGTAAAAGTCAAATTTCTAGTTTGTTTTCAATTGGCTATGAAAAAGAAAGAAAGACAATTTGAACGAGTTGAACAATGGGAAAATTCATTCGAAACGTCACTTCGCTTCTTTACACGCCCTAGCTAGAGAACATAGATCAAAACAGAAAGATAGGAAAGTGATTAGTACGAGGAAATGGTTTGCATGCAATAAAATGTTACGCGACAAGAAAAAGTAAGAGAACGGAAAAAAGTCGATATGTGCGGCGACATCGATACCCTCACGATGCATATGCATTTTTTACTTCCGAATGTAGAACGAACGAAAAGAAAAAAAAACAAAGTAAGGATAGACGAGGTTCCCCGATTTGCATATTTAGATCAATCAATACAGGAAAGGATTTTTTTGTACTTTCCAACTTTTTTTTCATTCCACTACCTCTTTTTGACTAATGTGACTGGGCAACAGGTTTTGGTTATTCAAATTCGCATGAAAAATTATTATCTATATTACAAAAAAGATAAAATATAATTAGAGTGCGGATTTTTACATTATTTATTCATTCATGTAAAAATGAATAAATAATATGCAACAGTATGTAAGACGTTCGAGATAGAATAGTTTTATAGTGTATTTATGTTACAGTAAGTGGCATAAATCTCTTTTTAAATTTGATATTTTCAATTATATTATATGCTCATGAAAATATGAATTTGTATAAATACTCGCTCCTAATTATAATATTACAGATACGAAGAAAACTGAAAATTATATTTTTTATATTGCATAGTGATTATAAAAAGTATTTGTGTATATTTATTAATTAATGTTCCGAAATTCAATTAGTATATACAATGTATTACATTTCATATCATTTATGAAAATGAAGATAATAAAAAAAGTTTCTTTGGAAAATAGAAACATATACAAATACTTTCAATAGTCACTATATGTATACATGTATCTATTTTTTTTCTTATATGAAAATAATGTGGTTGTTTTATTAGCGAATTTGATACTAAAACTTGTTGATTGGTTCCCCTAGTTGAATGTTTCACCTAACAATTTCATCCGGGAAGATTGGTATGAGTGAAATCGCGTCTATTAATCCATGTACTAACAGGTCTAACTCGATCCTTGATCTATTACTAATCCGTTTTACCTTGTGCTTGTTTATTTATTTCTCGTACTTGTCTTCCCAACAACCACAAAAATACCTTCATCTGGTGATTTCTTTCAGATCTAAAAGCGAAACTACTACCGAAAGCAGCGAAACCGTGCACGAGGAAGCCGAACCTGCAAAATAAAATAAAAAACAGAAAAAAAGAGAAAAAGATTTAAAAAAATGACAAGATCGCGTTAACATTTTCGAAAATAAAGATGAACACGTGAAAAAAGGAAAAAAAAAATACGGTACTTTGTTTTTTTTTTCTTTGGAATCAGTGTCTTTTCTTTCTTCTTCTTCTTTTTGTGAATTCTCTGACAAGAAATTGCAATTAGACTTTAACGTTATCTGGGAAGACTATTCGACGAATGCTTAACTGAGGAAAATAAATCGATTTATTTGGTACAAACAGAAGCAACACTTAATTCGACGATGCACGATGTTTTTTCAAGACACATCCTCTCTCCCATTCAACGAATTCATTGTTTCTACTTTTTCGTGATCGATGATTCGAGAAAAGATTATTTTCGATACCTTAAATTATTGAATTACTGGAATTCTTTGAGATTCACCTCAAACCAGTCAAAAGTCTTAATCTCCTTGTATATAATAATAGAATGGATTTGTATTACTTTGTACTACTCGTTTATTTATAATTATACAATAATTATTTATTGTGTTTTTTATTCAAAAAAGATAAACTGCAACGAATAATTTCAATTTTCTTGCTCAATAAGAAAAAAAAGAAAAATAAAATATAACAAAGAGTTAATTGCATTGTTCGATCTTCAACGTGAATTCTCTATTTACCGTATTTAAAGAAATTACTTAATAGATCAATTTTTTATTCTTAGTTCAATCGACGGCACTCTAAATCTCTAGAAAAATGCGAAAATATTAAACACGCAAGTATCACGACGAGTCACGTATCGAAATGTCTTATCAACTTTAAATGAGAATCTAACATATAAAAATAAATAAGAGCAAGAAGTATAATTACCATTCTACGGCTCCATGGAAACCTTCTGAGTTCCACTATATTCAATAAATGATTATTGAAAACACGTAAACGTACCGACTATGTTGTAAAGAGATATCGTTAAAGCTTTGAACGGCTTGTTGCGTACTTTCACGGTTGTGGCGTGCAATTACATATTTTCTGCGAAAAACTGAATCATAGTTCGGCATAATCGGCGATCGTTAATCGAACATCAAACATTTTTCTACGTAGCAGGTGAAGCGAATGACAAGGAATTGCCAGTGTTTGATCAGTATTGACGCGAGTATGCATCTTAGTCAATGTCATGTTTCACCCCCGTTTTCTGGACACCTAATTAAAAGAAACACGTATTCGAGGATGCATCGATATTTCTGGTTTACCAGGTTAGTTATCACTTGCCGTAGAACGTCATTGTACGATTAACGTTGCCACGTTTGACGTCATTGTTCTGTATAAATGCTGCAAGGATGCTTTGCCGGACAGAAGTCCGCCACAGAGCTGTTGCAAGCTGATTTAGTGGTTTCTCATAGAGCAGAAGTCCTTTTCTACGAGCTATACTTGCTTTTATCTTTTTTAAGTGATAATAATCCGAGCAATTTTTAAAGTAGTTCTCGAGGGTGTTTCTCAGGCTTGAAAATTAGAAGATCGTTTCTGAACGTTGAAGGAGCATCTTACTGAAATAACAAGATGGTAAGAATATTTTGAGAATGTTCAAATGGCTTTAGTGGGTTTGTTTTTGATGGAACTCTGAACTTTTTGGGTACAATCTTTTGTAGTTGATGCTCTAGAGAAAAGAAAATTTAAACAAATTTTAATTCATTTAAATCAATGATTAAATTGTAATTCTATTTTATTACTTTATATACGAAGCAATAATTTTATAATATTCTGTAGTAATATAGATCAGTACAGTAATATTGTGTATTGTAAAAAACTATAGAAAAAAAACTAAGAAATTGTTAGAAGAAAATTTCAAAAATAAAATAAAATAAAATATTCCATTCGGAATTCTCATCAGAGTTTATCAGAATAAATAAATAAATCTGAAAACATTATAAAAATAACAAAATTTTACGTATTTCTTCATCCTAGAAAGTTATCGTAGCCGCCGCCTTTCTGACTTTCCTCGGCTGCTGCGCCGCACTTCCGGTCAGGCTGGAGGATAATTCCAATCCGCTTATCGGCATTCCGATTTTACTCGAAGAGCCAACCGGTCCTGGAAGCAAACGACAGGATGACTCAGCTCCAGTAACATACGCGTTTCTGCTGAGTAAATTGGATGGGTCGGAGAGAGATTTTGATGGCACGTTGGTCGAGAAACGTGATGTAAAAGAAAAGGATCAGGAGGATCTTGAAACTGCAGCCGGTACTAACGCTCTTCGACCACTGTTCGTCTATCGACAACAGTTGGCGTACAGGCAACGACTCAGGGACTCGAATCGTCGAGGATATCGATTCTGAGCCACGTTAATGGGATTGGTTATGTTGTTGACAACCTGACAAGCGAAAGGACAAGCAATTTGCTAACTGAAGAAATGCACGTGACATATGGACATTTATGGAAATTTATGAAGGACGGAATTTTTTAAAGTTGCTTCTTGGTCTTAGACTAGGAAGAAACTTCAACTTTCAAAGAGAGGAGTATCTTTATAAACACCTTTGTTTAAAAGGGAAATGTAATAAGGATTAAGATTTTCTAGAAAAAGAGGGATCTATAATCTTTAAAAGGAATGCAATTGGCACGAGAAAACAAGAAAAGTTTTAAAAAAATCTACATTTTTGGAAAGAATAAAACTATTGTTCAATTTTCGAAGATGAACTTCGTATTATATTTCTTCTTATTGATAAGTATAGTAGAAAATGCTTGCAAGATATAGAATACGGAAATAGAGCAGACGTTCTGTTAGCAAACTTGTTAATGGACGAATATGAATAATAGAGCTGTTAATTCAATGAGCGAACAGTCCACATGACGAACAGAAACGTCAGCGGATACAGCAAACTAGAAAATAATTATCACAATAATTGCGCATCAGTCAATCTTTCAAATTTATATTTTATAATTTCGTACAAATTTTTGTGTTAAATTCCTTTAAGATAAAATCTTGGCTCATAATATTGTGTAGAAGAATGAATTAATACTTTAAGATAATACTCTAATTGTAGATAATTTGTAATTGTAAGAGAAAACTACCCACCAGAATGAGCATCTCATTGTCAGATATAAGAATGTAGAATATTATTATGTATGTTATTTATAATGTTATTAATGAATTGTTTTTCGTAACATGATTTTTTATATACACACTATATATATTAATCTCACGATACAATAAATAATAAATTTCTCATGATGAAATATTTAAGAAATTTTTTTATTATTCTTATTATACATATACATTTATTATAAATGATTATTAATATACAAACATGTAGAGAACAAACTATTTTCCAGGAAATACTGGAATCCTTATAAAATGGCGAGAAGAACCTTTCTCATCACTGGACCAATATCTATTGCTGAAAGATGGTTGGTACCAAGCAGGATACAATCTTCCTTCTTCCTCAGATTCTTGCGAATATGTGCTCTTCTTTTCTCTGCCTTTAACATCCATTGAATCTACTTCTGATTCAGGATCGAATTGACTATAAGATTCTTCTTTGGAACTTTTGCTTGATGAATCGTCAGTCTCTTCGTCTGCAGTATCATCATTTTCACCAGAAGTATTATCATTATTTTCCTCAGAGGTACTATTATTATCATTATTTTTATCAAAAGTATTATCGCCATCTGAATTTGACGATTTTTGATATTCTTTGTCTTCACCATCACGTTTAACACGATACCAAGGTTCCAGGACAGAATTACGATTTGATTTTTCAAGTATGATGAGTATCTGTTGATCTTCTCCTTCATCTGTAGATTCTATAGTATCCATTGTAGATGTTTCGGAAACTGATGTATTATTTTCTGAAGAAGTTGATCTCTTCGTAGAAGTTGTGAAACTTGAATCAAGTTTTAATGTGTTACGCATTGTCCTGTTGTCACTTTTTAAATCAGAAGCAGTAGAATTTGAAGGCTGCGTTGGAAGTGCCTTCACTTCTAAATTGTTGCATTCGAATGGTCGAAGAATTTTTAACAAGATGATCAAACCGAGGAAACAAATCGAGTGTCCCATTTTCTTTTGTCGTCACTGTTAGAGAATGATCGGCAAAAAAAAAACTGATTGTTTAATCTTAACTTTTGATTCGACAATAACTGTACGAGCTGCTCAAATGCTAATGAGGAACTAAGGAACCGGAAAACTGTTCCCTCTTTTATAGTCGGCTATATAGAAGCTGCTAAAGTGATCGCTAAACATTTGAATATTATTAACAATGTACTAATTGCTAAATTAGTGTTGAAAGAATTCTGACGATTCAAAATAATATTTACGTGGATAACATTTTATTATTTCAGGAATAAGTGTACAGAAATCATCGAAAACAGAAATTTTGAGAAAGAAAAATGTATCTTATTCGACGACATTTCCTTGGTTTTTTGTAACTTTTAATTGATATACGGTAATTGCAGATGGTAGTGTATACATCTATTGTAATTTTATGGATGTTGTTACTTCAGGCAACTATTATTTCTAATTACTTAGTTCTTAAATATTTTTAACTTAATATAATATATAATATATTATATATTAATATTAAAACGAACAAATTTATATTAAAACGTATAAAAGATATTTATATCAAGTCATTAAGAAATCATTAAGAAACTAATAAATTTGATGAAATAAATAAATAAATATTTAAATTTGTAATAATATTCTAATTATAGAGTGCCACATTTTGATTGAAACTGAGAAAAATCGAGTACAACTTTTAATTGACGAGAGCTGACCAAGGAGGAACAAACGATATGTGATACTAAAATTGAGGAAGCAAGTTCAAGGTGGCAGCTAGCCAAAGTGATGTACCGCAAGGTTGATACTCACGTCTGTTAGCAGGATAACGATAATTCTTTTGGTACCTGGTATAAAACGCGAGCGGACCGTTATTGCTAGTCAGAGTCGAAAAGACGTTGTTCAAGTTTTTGTCAAGGAGGCAAAAAATCTAAAACGCATTGAAAGAAGATACAAGAAGATCCCGTGACAGCAGCGATGAAGCATAAAATGGTACAGCACAGTAATGCAAGTAGTGTTACTAAGGTTGATCGATATAGTCGGTTGTTTTCTAAATAACAAAATATATGCAGTAAAATCCTAAAATGAAGATATTTGTATCTGTTAAGTCTATTAATTTCTAAATTCTTTGGATAATTTTATGAATAATAAAATAAAGTGCAAATTAAAAGTAGAGTGTGAAAATTACGTGCTAAAATTTTAATGGCGTACTTGCAGAATTGCGTGACTAAGCGTTAGAATACTGCGCAATACATCATTCAAATGCGATCTTCGCTAATTATAATTAACTTTAATACTGTTGTCGTTGTCGCGTTTTAGGTGATTGCGTTACAATTTACTTTTTGCCTGGCTTTGATTTACGGTTCAATGGGAAAACCTTTGACAGCAGAGGATGTCGAAGATTTACTTCCACCGGCCCCGCGTGATAAGAACGAAACGATAGCTGCAGTTGTTCAGGATCCAGTTGTTCAGGATGCTGTGCATCATGCAGTTAGCAATGGGTCTCTAAATGGATTGGTTGTTAAAAAGCATGTATTCATAATGCCAGCCACCAATCCGACTATGGTTTGTACAAAACGAATAACTATTATAATTTTAATTTTTATGTAATCTTCGTGTTTCTTTCGTACAAACCTGAAAAATAAGAGTTTTTGAGAATATTTCAAGTAGAAAAATATTTAAGTTGAAAATTAACATTTCAGGTATTTTAAGACAATTAGCATATGTGCGAGATATTCCAAAAATACAAATTTTGGCATTGAACTGGCTGTATGACTTCACTATGACTACTGTATAAAAAAATATAATTTTGTTTATTACCATAGTTAAAATAGTTTAACATTTTTATTGTTAGATTTTATTATATTAATCATTCGTCTAATTAAATAACTGATTATTTTATTATTATGTTAATTTTGAATTATTTTTTATCCAAGATATTATCGAAACGTGAACATCTGCTAGTCGTTCCCACCGAGAACTTGGAGGATGTACGAAAAAACATTACAGCAGCGAAAGAAGCAGAGGCTCAAGAATCCTCATCGCCGGAAAATCAAGCATTCTCCGAGGACGACGCAAGTGAATACGCGCCAGAGGTAAAGGATAATAACTCAGCATGGACATTCCATTCAGTCAGATCTTCGTCTATGATAGAAAATCGTGATGCGTGTCAAGTTGATCTTGCTAGAAAAACACAATCTCCATTATTTAGATAAATCTAATCTAGAGTTCTTTTCTCTCCGTGCCTGTTAAGATCAAATATATCTGCGTGACAAATCGTATTGTATCATGTTAAAAAATTCAGCATAAATTCCTTTCTATGATATAGAGTTTGGTTATTTCACGGAAAGTAGAATTTTTTTTACCTGATTCATAAGTTTTGATGGTTCAAAAGAATATTGTTAAAATTTGTAAATTAAATTGTTATCTCATAGTTTTAAATTATTAAATAGAATAACTTGGAAAAAGTATTATCGATTAAATGATTCGCTTCAAATTTTAATAGTATTAATTATTAACATAGTTAATTTCTAACTTTTTTTCGATTTCCAGAACAATGAAAGCGGATTAGAAGAAAAAGAGAACGAGTCCTTTCCAGAACAGAATGTCGCCCAATCAGTGCCACTGAATGAGAAACTTAAAAGCGGAACTGAATTTTTGAAAGACAAGCTTAATAACGGAATTGTGTTGCCGGAGGATTCGTCTTCAAAGACGGTGGCCGTTCCCATTGTCGCAATTATTGATCCCTCGAACGCTGAGAAAGGCAAAGTGAAGAGTCCGATCGTGGCCATTTTGCCTAATGAAGTTAAAAATGATCAGTTAAATAACCAAGTAGAATTTTTGAAAGACAACAGCGGGAAGATTCAAAAAAAAGCTCAGGACTTTGTTGATCAAAGTTCATTGACAGTCAACTCTGATTATTCGAAATCTTCAACACCATCGGAGGTAAATTTTGATACAAACTAAGTGAAACAGAATATAAGGTTAGAAAGAAGAATATAGAATATCATTTTTATTACAGTAGTTGTGGGAAAAATAGAGGATTAAAATTTTGAAAGATAAAAGAAGAGAGAATAGAAAGAAGAAGAAATGATAAAAATTAGAATATTAATAAATACTACTAATTACTAATTACTAATATTACAATATAAAGTTCTATAAAATAATGTTATATTAATAATATTCATTACTAATTTTCTCTTGAAAGAGTATTGTTTAACGTAATAATTAAGTAAGCGATAACAAGCATAATTGATAAAATGAAAGAAACTTTTTCTACTTTCAGATCATCGTTGCTTCATCACCAACATATAACAGCAACCCAATGTTAGCCACAGACGGAATGCTTGTATCTCCAGTGGTAGTGTCGCAATGGGCAATGCTAGCACCATCTCTGCAAAATGATCAAATGGATTATTCCCAAGAAACAGGTGACATGGATGTAGCTGAAGATATTGTATTTAGACCTCTGTTCAAATACCGACAGGAATCGCGGTCTAAATACTATGACAACAGTAATCGACGATACAGTTACACACCGTATCGCGGTTATAACAGTTATTATCCAAGACGCCCTTATTTTTACAGACCTTGATATGACGATTATTAAAAACGAGGAGGATTAGGGCAAGAAGAGGAAGAGAAAGAAACGTAATTTTTGCTTGGATAGACGAGAAAAGAAGATATTTTGATCTGATACATTTCTCATTGCTTTACGGTTCTATATTTTAATACATAAATAAAATTTTTTCTCTGTTTACACCATGTAGAAGAAAACATATTTTTTATTCAATTGAGCATCAATTGAATCGTGAATTCAAATTTTGAATTTTGATTCTCTTCTACTCTTTTTAGTTTCATCTTTGTTAAAGTTGATAAGTATTATGGTGATGAATACTGGTTTGAATTGTGAGAAGTTGTTAATTTTGAAAGGAAGAAAATTTGAGTCAAAAATATAAAAAAATTAAAAAAATTTTACGTTAAAAAACTCATTTTTTTGAAATCCCCAAAAAGATTAATCATATTTGTTCAAATATGTATGAACGAGAAATTAAGCTTAATCATTCACATTATAAAAAGAATAAAAAGCAACAGTAAAAAACCATGAAATTTACGTTAAGGCTACAAGGATGCTTGGAACGTTGTGAATGATGACAAGGTTGTCAAGAAATGAAGACTTCAATGGCATCGGTGTTATTTCTAAATGAAAGTTATTTCCGTAAGACTTTCCATCAACTTAAGACTTTCTCTGTCTTCAAGCAAAATCATAAATTATAAATTTCAAAATACAAATCTCAAAATATAAATATCTATAGAAAAATTGAATGAATTATTTATTTTGGAAATCAGATAGAGATACATTGGCAGTTAAAAAATTCACAATGATTTTCAAAGTAAATATTAATGTTAATCCAATACTGTTGTTTAAATTCATTCTTCGATGAAACAAAATAAAAACGTAGTTCCTAGATCTGTTTGTCATATACATACACATGTATGTTAATATATGTACGTATGTTTCTTCAATAAAATTGATATCATTCAAAAAAATTTTAAATAATGATAAACAATGATTAGAATTAAAGAATATAAACTAATTAATTCCAGACATTCGTACAAATATTTACATAATAATAAATAACACGAGAACTTAAAAAAAAAGGTTTTGTGAACAATTAGATACGCGTGAAATATTAATAATAATCAAATTAAAATTCATCTAGAGATTAATGTTCAATGGTTAAACGCGTTCGATGAATACATATTCGCAAAACCAGTTTTCTACGAATGAATTTCGATAACTGCGTTACATATGACAATAGTCATATTACAGACATCAATTAACGACATGTTAATATCTTCAGATGGAACTGTTAGTCATTCATTCTTTTCTTGATTCATTCATAGAAGATGTCGAGCAGATGTACGACGAAGATGTATACTAAATTCATTTACATATTTTAGACTTTGGAGAGGAAATCTCAAGCATTTTTTTTTTTATATGATGTATATGATAGTGTAAATTCCTTAAAATATCTATGAAATATTGGATATTTGATAATTTCAAAGAGTATAAGAAGTTATATTTATATACTTTGAAGATTAATAAATAAATTAATATATAAGTTACATTTATGTACTTTGAAGTATATTATATTTATATACTTGTAGTTTTAAATATGAAATTCGTGTCTTTATTTCTCTTGCAGTAAAAATTTAAATATTATGTCTATTGCCTCACTGTGACAATTTTCATTCTCACACTTTGGAAATTCTTTTTGAATCTACTTCATTTCCGTCATTTTGATTATGAAACTTTCTATTTATTTGATAAAATAACATTTTAATTCTCAATTTTGTTATAAAACAGAGCAGCACATGTAACACTGTTCTTTTTCTATTGCGCGATACAATGCGCGCGCAATGTGAGTAAATTTCCGCGGGAAATTTCACGCAGTTCAAATATATTTAAATATTAATTTATTTTCAATCGTGCTATCGTATGCAAATTCAATTTTCATATGTATTTCCAACCCGGAACAAATCAGAATTTGTACCAAAATATGCGCAGTTTAAATAAAAACGATGGGAAAATAAAAGATGGGTTAGGAATGGCGTTTCTGTATCAGCCCGATGTGTACAAATGTTTGATAACCACTGAGTAGACATTTAACACCTGGGGAACACATGATGAGTGGTTTGAAAAAAATGTCGATGAAATTCTTCGTACTGATGCGATGAATAAATGCAGTTCTTTTCAAGGGAATTTTCAACGTGTTAAATAGGGTAGGTTTGTTTTTGAAATTTGTAAGACAATAAGCTTAGGGCTGATTCGTCATGGACGACAATTGTAAAAACAAATGAAGAGACGCGAAGCAAAATTTTGTATCATAAAGGTTTCTTCGAAATATAATAAAAAAGAATTAGGATTTAGTTTTGTAATTATAGATGTTTTAGGTTAGCCTATGTTGTTTAGATTAACTAGCTATTTCGCTGACGTTTATCAAGAATGGATACCAGAAGAAATTGTGGTTTCCTTATCAAGGGATATACATAATACTTCTAATCTCTATTTGTATATTATATTTACGTTTACTTAACCATTTTTTTTATCAATTGTGAAATAACAATAATTATTATTGCAGATTCGCGAATTCTTACAATCAATGAAGAACAAATCAAATATTAATAGTCAAATAGTGTTACAATATTACAACATTGCAATTTCAATTCAAAAAATTAAAAAAATAAGAAAGCATAAAAAATAAAAAAAGCAAGTAAATGAAGAATAAAAGAATTCAGAAACTAAAAAAATTCTCGGTTTTATAAGTCTACAAAAATTCTCAGTACGTCACATTTTTTTCAAAGAACCGCAATCATGCATGTCATAGAAAATATAAAATCAGAGTAAAAAGAAAAAGAAAAAAAGTAAAATGAAAGAAGTTACAAACGATACCGCTATCGTATTACGCGGAATGAAAGGTCGAGGAAGTAAGGTCAAGCTAAGAGAACGTGTTCAAGGTGTTCGAGCTTTCGCATGGAAAGCCAGTTCGATAGAGATAAAAGGAGCAAGACGATCCTCTTTACTTCTCTTTCTTTTTCTTTCTGAGGATCGGTCGCGAAGCTGAGTCACATCTAAACTGTAAGCTTCGACTACGTCGTCCTCTTTCTGTGCACATCGAGCGTGGCAGCAGCTTAATCACGTTCCTGGAGATCGCAAACACACCACGTACATATATAACCGATGCCCGGTCAATTTGTTCTCTCAATCGCGATCTGAGCGTCGCCGGGAACAGAAATCGCTATTCTGGCCTTCGATATCCTTCAGTCGAGGAACATTGATCTTCACAACATGTGGACTATATTCGTGGTAAGAGGAGATTTATTATATGTAATAATTAGACTACGAATTTTTATGCAAATTCATAATTTCCATATTAACGCAACTAAGAAAATATAGATTTCAAGGAGCGATTTATTTTATTTATCAAGAATCATAGCGAATGCTCAATTTCTTATATTTCGCATAAATGCACAACAATTCGTAATCCAGTGATAACAATAATGTACTGTACTTACTGATATTATATTAATATAAGTATATTAATATTAAATAATTATGTTATTAAGCCGGATAAATCCGAATCTTTTGATAATTATTTTTTTTCAAAATGATGTTTGTACAAATTAGATTTTTTTTCAATTCCATTATCATAATCGTAATAATTTCAAATGATATTGGATAATGCGATTGGATAATGATATTGCGAACAGTATTGCAAAGAGAATAATTTTTTAATGAATTAAAAGAAATGTTGGAAAATTTTACGTTGAGTTATATAGTAGTAACATTACTAACATTATTTGGATATAAAAATGTCATACAAACAAAATTTGTTTACCAAAACATTGAAAACAATGTAGATTATGTAACAAACACGCAAACGGAAAATATTCAGTCACTTTTGAGATAACGATTATCTTAAAACCGCGATAAACGCGCATGTAATTAAAATGCGATTAAAAGATTGTCTACGTTGCATTTAAATTTCCTTCTCAACTCCTTTAGCAGGTTCTATTTGTAATAGCGTCCTTCGACATCAACTTCGCGAGATCATTGAACGCGGAGTCTTCCTTAAGGCTATCTGATCCTACTGTGTCAAGATTGAGGAATGTGGAAGACATACCAGCCAGACTTCCAAGGAAATTCCGCGGAAATAGTCGTACCAGGAGATTACACATAGAGAATCAGCATGGATTCGATGGCAAAGTGGAAAAGATTCACATCAATTCCGAGGAGGATCTTCCAGGAATTCGAGCGTACGGAATGCAGAAGAAGAATTTGAAGAATAATGGCTATATCGAAAGAACGATACAGGAAGATATTATGAAAGAAGTTGATGATGCTTCGAGAGCTGCTCGTTCGGTATTTGAAAACCTTCTTCAGAGTTTTGAATATTGATATTCGAACACTTAAATATTGTTATTGTTTTCTTGTCTTTATATAAGCATTTACAAAGAGAGATTCTTTTGTCTTCTTTTAAGCTTTAAAAGATTGACAATCCATATTTCTTTAGCTTGACTTAAATTAAAATAATACAACATTAATATCATTGCGTTGTTTGCATTATGAAAACATGTATCTTTTATGGATTAATTTCAGATTGAAGCCTACGGGAAAATGAAAGATCATCTCGAGATGAACGGCCACATCGAAAGAGGTAATCTTCAGGAATCTCCAGCCAGCTATCAGTCATCGCGGAATGAAAAACCCAGGATAATCAGGTCCATTGAAGCAGAAGCAAAACAAGATAATCTTAAAGATGGCCTAGAGGATCTAGAAGCACAGGACGCCAAAGTTTTTAGACCGCTATTCGTGTACAGGCAACAGATGGCTAGAAGGAAGCATTACGGGAGGAATCATATTCACAGTTCTTTGGCTGGTCGAAAATCGTGTCACGATTAATAATGAATTTTTTGAAATTCTTCCCATCGGGTCCACTATTTTTTTCAATCGTAGGAGCATCGTTGATGAGATACAATAAAGCAACGGACGACTGTTTCACGAAAGATATGTAAACGAGAAATTGGTAAAGTGTATTTGCATTGCGGATCCTTGAAGTCGCCTAATTACCATAATAATTAACCGATTGAGTCAGCGTCACATTGTGCCATAAAATAAGAAAGCGGTTTTTAAAGACTAGTAACTGGGAATAAGTTTTTATAACGATTGGAAGCGCGATAAACGAGGAATAAATGGCAGGCAAAGAACATTACAAAGTACCAAATAGTATTACAATTAATGATGATAGAACGTGTAGTTCGTTAGTAATGGATGTATGACGTAATTAGAGGTTTTGATACTTTATTTACAGGATAATATTGTACAGGATAATTAAATTTGAATATGTATCTTACATTTGTTAATAATAATTAGATGATGATTGATCGACGAATATGTAAAACGGAATTATAATTAAGAATTATTTGAAATTCGCTGTTTTATTGTACTACGTATAACTTTTATGGGAAAATAATTTAAATTTAATTTAACGACCGACGATAAACTTGTGTTATTAGGTAGTTATTGTACTATGCGAAGTCTAATTATAGTCAATGTAATTGTCTAAAATTTAGCGGTTTAGTGTGCTGCGAGTAATTTTTATTAAAACGTTAACTGGTATTTTATCGCCAAGTTTCTGACAATGTTTTGATCACCTTGTGAATAAAAATTAAACAAAAAACATATGAGAAATAGCAATGTTTCCGTTCGCTCGATTTTCTATCATCCAATTCGTTTGATTTGACAAATCTAGAATGGAGTGGATTGATTACAAATTTTTCAATATTGAACGCCTTTTATCTAGAAACAATTATCTCTCTCAAGACACCACTTTTACATTTCGTTTTTCTGAGTATCGTTTAACATGTGCGACACAAGGAAAGCTATGACACTGACCGTTGAAAATCAAACAGACAACAGAGGCAATAACGACGAAGTAGACGAAATTAAAGACAGCCAAGGAAAGAAAGAAAAATCAGAAAACAGGTACTTAGTTTATATAGGGAATAATAATAATATGATGATGACGACGATGATGATGATAACAATAATAACATATATGTGCCGTTTTAGGCAAAAATCTCAAAGAAAATCGCTAGTTCCCTATTCAATATCATTAATCGTGTTGCACGTTCTGGATGCATTACTACTGATGATTCTTCTGCCATTCATGATCTGGCAATGGATTTCAGCCAACGATCGTTTAAAGATCATTCTGAAAGCTGTAGTAGAAGTACATTTTCACTCAAATAAATATTTCATATTATACATATATAAATAGTGCACAGACTATATAACTGAAAAGGGATAATTTCCCAGGTTTCTTAAAAATAAATGACAAACTATGAAATTTTATAAGGAATCAAATAAACAACTATTTTTGAAATGTTTGATAGGATATAAAAATATATATCTGATTCTACAGCCAAAGAAAGAATAATTTTATTAACATAAAATTAATTAATATGAAATTTTTATTATTATTACAGAGTGATTTGTAATTGATTACAATTATTATTAATATTAATATAAATATAATAAATACATTAATAATATGAAATGTATAAATTAATAGCTACATGATATTAAATATAATAATAATGATATATTAATACATATTAGTAAGTAAATATTCTGTTATAGATATAAAATGCCACAATGATTGGGAAACAATAAGTGTTAAATCAATCTATTAATCACATAAAATTATAATTACATTCTTCGAAATCATGAGAACGGGTCGGGGTTTATAAGTTTTAAGATTATAAGTTTGGTTTACAAGTGGCTAGACTTAAATTTTCAGAATCTTAACATTTATCACCGTTCGTCGATTGAGAAATATAATGATCAATTAAAATTCTTTTACAATTCGTTTAGGTCACGCTTGAACTAATTATGTGGGTGATCTTCGCGGGAGTTTCCATTCTTATGACTACAACGTTCGTTCTAGAAGATATTTACTATGGAAAGAACCGGCATGAAAAATCTTGGCAGTTAATGAATACACGCAACGAATCCACGTCAAACAACGATACACCGAATTTTTTAAAAGGATAGAGCAAACCGAAAATTCCCCAAAACTGACACTGATCGTGTTTATAACAATTTTCTTTTTCTACCTTTGTATTTTTCTACTATTACTCTATCTTCTTATAGCATTCTGTATTCTATATATTTTTACTGTATCCTATACTGAATTCCTTATTGGTTTTTAAGGTGTTTCTCAAGTTGCAAGAGTTTGTGATTGAGTTTTTTATACCATTCGAGGAAAATACAATTTCTTTTTCGTAAAATAGTCACTTTTTTTCTTCGCACTTATTTTTCTTGCCAATTGCAATCAATTGAAGCCATCACATATACAATATGCTTAAATACTTCTTCATAATTCTTCAATTCACTTGATCAGAATGTTCATATTCCTGAAATTCTTAGAAACTTCAAACTACATTTTTACATAACATTTTTTTTTAATTTCCCTTTATTATTTGTACCTATTTAGAAAATGAGTACATAACGTGACACGAAAGTTCCAGGTTTAATCTCAAGAGGAAAAAGTTTCGGTTTACTTTTATGTGATCTTCAACGAACAGATCATTAATTCTGCCAGAGTCTTCGACACAAGATCAAATAAAAAAATCACCCAGATTAAAAATTGTTCTTCCACATTTTCCTCTATAAGAATATGATTAATATCCGTATAAATTATCTAAAGTAAAATAAGTTAGACTAAGATTGTTTATACGTTTGTAAAGAACTTAAGAATGCAGAAATACACAAAATCCGCATAATATTCACGAATATATAAAACATACAAAATATAATCTTATATAATATAAACTTATCATTTAATAAATGATTCACGTAGACACTTATTTAATAATAGGTTCAAAATTTCTTCTAAATGGACGATTTTTCGATGTATATTGACAAAGGTTCTTACAGCTTTGTTGATGTTGAATTTTTGCCAGTTTCCACATTTTTAAACGAATCAAAATTGTTACCTTGTCGTGATTCAGGAAGTAGAAAATCATCGCTACTTAATTTTCCCAGTGTCGACATGACGAATTGGACGGTAGGCGAGTCGAGTAAATCAAGAACATCCAAATTTTCAATTTGGTTCATCAAAACTTCGATTTTAGTAGACAATAGATTCAAAATGGCAAGTTTGATGGCTTTGATGGCTTCGAATGTGGCCATTCCCATGGTTATCGCGTTACTTATAATCTTATCGTTAATCATCCTCAGATCCTTATTTATATGGCGTTTTGTTTTCACGTAATCCACCACAGCATTCTCTTCGATTATTTTGGATTCTTTCTGGTCCTGGACTACGTCACTGGCGACTTCCTCTGTGGTGGTGAAGTTGGATCGCGAAGACACCACTGCCAGGAAAATCTGCAGAAATTTGAAACAAAATTATTTCGTGAATTTGTTTTATTGTAGTCTGATTTTTTCCTCGAAGAAAGAGAAACAAATTTTACTCGGAATGATAATTTTCTGAAAGGCGGAAGATATATTTCAGAAAGAAATTGATACTTACGAAGAGAACGGCGACGCTTAATAATCGCATGATGTGCACAGAGTCGAACTTTAGAGACGTCTAGAACCGATGTTAGCCCTTATGAACGTTGGAACCGATGTCAGCCCTTATGAACGTTGGAACCGACGTCAGCCCTTATATACGTTAGACCCTCGGGCAATATAATCCTAATAACGGGACATTCTCAAATTTGGGCATTTTAGGATTAGTGTAAGCTTTCACCGTCATTCCAATATTCCTTGTCTAATCTTCTCATCGTCGATGATAATTATTTTCATATTAGAAGTAAGGTAATAACTATAGATTGGGTACACTGATTGTGAGTACAGATAGTGAAAAGTCTCAGTAACGAAATATTCAATTGAAAATAAAGCGTATCAACATCGTTAACATTGTCCGAAGAAATCTTATTTTGCCATTTTGTAATTGAATATCTCTTTTTTAAAATCTGCATTCGAGATTATACCTTGATTTATGATCTAATTATCAGTTACATCAAAGAAGAAGAAAACTATAAATTACATGCAACGAATGTTAAGCTATGAGTCAAAGGTGACTCGAAAGCTTATTGCTTGCTAGCATAATTTTCTTATGTGAATTTAAATTTTTGGAAACATCTGTTACGGCTTCTATTTGAGAATTTCTTTATCCCAGTGCGAATGATTTTTACAAATCTTGAATAACGAAAATGAATTAATAGTTGGCGAAATACACAGAGATATTATAGCAATGTGATATTTCGATGAAACTATGTGTCTTTAAATGTTCATTCGCATCAATAATGATGCTTATTTAAAAAATTACCAAACATTTTTTTAGATGGTTCACAAAAATATTTTCTCTTAAATCGTTATTATAATAATCAAATAATTAATAATCACTTCCTTAGTGAAAACAATGGTAACAGTTTGATTAACTGACTTTGTGAGTTCGTTACGTCCTTGAAAAACTTACACAGCTATACAACACGTTTGTTACACAGGCAATTGAATTGCAATGACCTACAGTCATTTGCATTGACCTTTCCCATCGGTGGTCAACGAATTGCTATTTATTCGGCATAAATTCTCGGTGATTCGCAGTTAAAAACGTATTTCATTTACGGCCATACCATCGCCATTGTTCAGAGAGACAATAAGTTTCGACGACTACGTTTGATTGATGGTATTTGCTAATCTCGAGAGTTAAATCTTCAAAAGTAGCCTTGTAAGTAAAAGTTTATGGTCATAAAAGGCCTCATAAATTACGCGATCCTAAATTTCCTGCTGCTTCTTCAGGTAAATTTGACAAACGTAAATTGCCTTTTGCATTTTTTTTCAACGACGAGTTACATCACAATGTTTACGCAATGAATATTTCTGAAAATGTAATATAATTACGTGCGTGTAATTATATTACACGCACGTAAATTTTTTGAAGTAATGTATATCTTTTATTTTTAATTCTAAACATTGAAATTTTTATTAAAAAGTTATTTAGAAATCTACTAACGAAAATCTACTAACGGTAATTAGTAACAAATGTCTTATAAAATGAATCGTCATTTTCATCTTTTTTGGAACCTGTTTCCCAATGTCCTTTCTTATAGAAACTTCATATATGCAGGCCAAATTATGGTGATTTTCTCAACATTTAATTAAACTTTTCTTTTTTTTGTTTGTTCTGAAGAATTCATTACATTTTTCTCTTCAAAAAAATTATGATTACTTTGTTGATACAAAACGATAAAATGCTTTAAACAGCAATTTTTTTCAACATTCTTGACAATTTCTTTTCCACTTTTCATACAATGTCTAATCTATACATATCTAACTTACATTGTATATTATACATTGCAGTATCGTATTAAAGGAAATAAGATAGTTACATACGTATAGCCACTATTATTCAGAAAAAACTTTTAAAAAATAACTATTGTTATTTTGTAAAAAATAATATTATTCTGCATTAGCAATAACAGTAGTAAAAATTTACGTAAAATATATATACGTCCAAATTAGAGTGATATTAATAAAATTCCTTCGAATACTTATGTAATTACAATCAGCCAAGGACAATTGATTGAGCATCTTGATTATGAGTCACAGCTTCAAATGATATTTCTTTATAGCGTTTTTCCAGACTGCATATATACTGTTTTTTTTCCTCTCAATATAAACTTTGATAATGTGTTGAAATTATTTTAACACAACGAATCTATCATATATTATTTCATTCAATTACATGTTTCCGTGAATTTATAATTCGCTATTGTTTGGGTACAATAATTAATTTAAAGTACTCCTGTAAAATAAATATTCCTTTGTGAATATCTTAAGACCAATGACTCATTGTATATTTTTTGAATCGGTCTTATTGTAAAGAAAATTCAAACATGCTTTATTTACGTTAACATTAATTTCTGTCATTTAGAAGATGAAGCAAATTCTCGCTGTGTGTCTCTTACTGACAGCAGTCAATGCTGTTTTTCTGGAAAGTTCTGAAAGACCTTTGAATAGATTCCACTTGGAACGTTGGTTCCCACTATTGGGGCTTACACCACCGACACATCAGTTCATACCACCGGGACATCGATTCCCACTACCGGAACATTTACATCCACCAGGACACATACAACTCCCATCAGGCCAGTTACCGTCATGTACAATATTAGATGACTTATTTTCCAAAGATCAACAAAACAAGGAATCAGAATTTTGCACTGTTGTGAGGATTTGTCATAATCCGCTAATAAACGTAAGTTGTTACATATAATTATATTAATAAAACAAAATTGTTAAAATACGTTATGTAACAATGTTTTACATTAGTATTTAATTATCATTCATTATGTAAATTCATTATGTAAATGGATTAAATACTACGTAACTTCAATGATAAGTAGATTGTAAATTTATTAGCAAAGATAAAAATGTATAGAATGCACATATGCAAAAATATACGATTTTCGAATTATGGTACTTATTATAATATTTAATAAGTTTAGGTGAAATCTTTACCTAGACTCTTAGTGTTCATAAAAATATAAATTTGTGTAAATATCTGCAATTTAATGATAAATTAGAAAATTTCTAAATAATATTTCAATTGTCAAGTACATAATGAAAATTTTATCATATATTTGTAATAACAATAGAAAACTCTTGGAACAACAGTACAAACTCCTACTCCACAACCTCAAACCACCGAATCTTTCCATGGAGGAGAAGGAATTATCGATATTAGAGTAGGCAACTAGATGGTAAAAATACTACAATGAAAGAAAAGCAATAAGGTTTTATTAAATTTATCATACATTAAATCAATGTACATATTAATAAAATTTAATTTTATCCTATTTATATATTATCTCTACCTTTCTTGTTATTGACTACTTTTAATGTATAAAAAATGCAAAATTTTAAATACATTCAAATAAATATAACAGAACAAACATACATAAAACAATTAAAACTTTTATGGAACAAAACTTAAATATACTTACTTAAATGATTCTTGTCTTTGAATAGAAATAAAAAATTGTTTTGTATCGTAAATTCAGTAAATATTACCTACGTAATTCAATAATTTTTACCTACCTACACATATTGCTTCATTCGTAATTAAGACATTTAAAAATTTTATCAAACTGAAAAAATGGACAAGAAGCTAAACTTCCAGCACCCATTACTTCTATTTCTTGTTTCTTACCAATAAAAATACTAAACTGCGTTGGTGATAATACTTTTTGAAAGATTGGAAGTTTAAATTCTCCATCCACAAAACATGAAATACACGTAGTTCCTAGTGCGATACAAACTTCAGTTCCGTTTATGGTACACGAATTACAAAATATGTGGCCATCATCACATGTTGAATATTTGGATGGTATACATTCAGCGTAACAGTTTGACATTCAGAAGTTGATTCTTTCTCTAACAAAAAAAGAAAAAAAGAACAAGAAATTATTTTCTTTTTCATTGTAAAATTATAGTTTATATCTCCTTGATATTTTTTAACCCGGGATTACCCACCTGGGGGTCTAGCGCAGGTACATCCCAGCGACTAGACCCTCACGTGGGTAATCCCGGGTTAAATTTGGTCTTTACATTTTATAAATGCACATTCATGTACTAAAAAAATGTTATCTGATAGAGATTTCCCACATTGACATGTATAATTTGACTTTTTATCAGGTTTCATATTTTGTAGTATGTTTGCTGTTATAGATAAATGATATTTATTCTGTTCAAAAACATTTGTTAAAGTCGTCATCTATAAATTTCAAACAATGCTCTATATACCATAAGTTACATATTGTATTTTAATGTACATACCTCAAATTTATTGAAGTGTGATTTAAGAAATTCAAATGTATCATAATTGCATTCAGATTTTCTCTCTAGATTTTGAAAATATTTAAATGGATCAGGATATATTTCTAAAAATTTTTTGACATCGAATTTTTTAATATATTGCTTTTGTTGTTCCGTAATTCCTATTTTTTTTATTTTCTCATCTCTTGTTAGATAAGTGAGATATTCCCATTGTGATTGTATGAAATGATTTAGTTTAACACAATCATTACCTATTTGTGCTACAACTTTTTTTAAATATATAGAATCTGCATTAGGAAAAACTCCTGTTAAATACATAAATTTTCCGTCTATTACAATCTTTTTCTTGATATGGTTCCTTTATAATTGTTTTAGTAGGACATAATTGTCTATTTTCTATTATGATATCAATTAATTCTTCAAATTGTTTATCTAGACCAGCGTCTCTATTTAAATATCTTTTACATACTTTATTAATATAATTCTTATCCAAATATAGAAATATAATTCTAATATTTTATCTAGTTGAATAGAATTAGAAGTGATCTAGTATATTTTATGCGCCCACTATTTCTTTTTAAAAATTGATTTTCCAGTACTTCCAAACATACAATTAGTGTTTTGTACAGAATAATTCCCAGTGGAAGTTAATGGCTTAATTTCTATGTTTTAAGCAGTATTTTTTAATAGTGTTAATATTTCTGATACATTATTTGTGGTAGTATCACATAATGTGACATCAATACATGATACATTAGATATTTTCAGTATTTGATATATTACTAGATAGTGAATAGGTACAATTTATATGCTTTTCATTATTTAAATGAATATCTAATGTTTCTAAGTATCCTTCCGTATTATTAGGCTCTAAAATATTTTTATTTCTGTCTATTGATTGTTCTAATTCTTGTTTCTTTTTGTAACAATAACAAATAATTTCTCTTCCTTAATGTTTTGCATACGACTCAAATATTGCATATAATCATAGAAATTTTTGTCCTTCATAACTTTTGCTATTATTTATTAATACTTTATTTCTTGTTGAACTATTTAATGATTTATTTTGTGCATCTGAATTACTTGATGTATTTTGAATATTTGAATGAACTGTTTATATCATTATCTGCTTTTATAATATAGGGAATTTTTACTGTTGATTTTCTCATTGGTAGTAAGTCTCGTAAACTAAGCTCTAAACAATTCATTGCATAACGATTTTTGTATAAAATTCCAAATACATGATCATATTTATACATTGGTAGAAGTGTATATATTTGATTAGCTTTTTCTTCCATCTCTGCAATCCAGTCATTATCACAGTCATCTAATGATGAATTATCCAAAAATTTTACAGATTTTATTTTACATATATGATTTTGGGATGATAAAATTACATTTGTCTGTTGCTAAAAAGTCTCAGTAGAATCTAAAATATTATATTATTATTATCACTGTTATTTTCTTCCAAAATTTCTACATTAGATATAGCGTTATGGTTATTGTTAATTCTGGATCATTATATAATTCTTTATCAACAGTTGAAGATGAATATAAGGTGTAGGTAATTTCCAAGATTATTTAAATTATTGCTTGAAAATATGTCCACATTTGAACTTTTCAATATCCATTTCTCCTCGATGATTTTAGATTTTAGTATTTTTCTCTCTATATATGTATGTATGTGGATATTTTTAAAAATTCAGCTTCAAACTTTATACTCCTTAATTAAAATCTTTTTGTTTTACAAAATAAAGATACCTTTTAATTTTTGAGCATCGGCCTTTTAATAGATTTATATAAAGTACAACTTGTTACTTTAATAACTCTTTTATTTTTTGCAATAACTTACGAAAATTAAACTAACTGATAGTAAATCACGAATTTCTCTTAAAAACAAGAAAACGCTAACTAAAATAACATTTTTTGTCAAAAAACAAAACAATGCGCTTTGACACTTTACTAAAATACAGCACACTGTGGGATTCCCGCAATATATCAATCGATAATCGAATCGTTCAAACTTTGAATATTTTTCTGAAATATTACGATGCTCTCTATATATAAATATTTTTACATAAATTAAAATATATATATGTTAATTATGTACTAAATATGTCAATTTAATTTAACACATACTATTTTTCAAACTATTCAGAATCACCAACTAAAAATCATTAACAATAGTATATGAATAAACTAAACATCTTATGGAGTTTCGTGGTCTGTGACCTGAAATATAGTAAAAAAATCACTGATTTTTTAGCGCACTCTACACTTAATGCTGAACTACATCAAGTAAAACCACGGAAGGAGGTATATGATTAAGAGTAAAGACTAAATATCTTGTGTGGGTTCATGGCCCATAATCTGAAATACCGACATAGTAAAAAAAAAAAAATCATTGGTTTTTTAGCGCACTCTATGGTGAGTTGGAGAACTATATCAAATAAAACGATTCAAGTTGATCAAGTAGCGTTAGAAACAAAATTTTTGAAATACATTATAGTGTTGTCAAATTTTCAATACCGAAATATGAAGCTAGTAACTATCAAATTTTCAATACTGAAATGTTTTAATTCGTTAAATATCGCATGTTCAATTTAATTAATAATTCTCGAAGCAAATATCACAACAATATATCACTGTCCTTTTTGATTTTAATTCTCATCCCTAGCACAAATGAGGTATATATATTTATATCTTGTCTGTGCCTGGATACAATTGACAACACTGTAACGGATACCATTTTCCTCAACCAATTTGTATCATTTTGTTTGACGTAGTTCTCCAATTCACTGTTATTTAAGCGTAGAGTGCGCTAGAAAAACCAGTGATATTTTTCCTGGTCGGTATTTCAGACCCTGAAACATGAAACCCTATTTAATGTCTGGTCTATATTATTCTTAATCAATGGTGAAGCTTATTCATACATGATACTCGTCTATGGCATTTATTTACTTACTTACTGCATTTATTTACTTACCGTCAGAAAATTAGAAAGTAGAAAAATATGCAAGAAAAATCTAGGGAGGGATAAAAAAAATTGAAATTTTCGATCACTGTTAATCTACCATTAGCTCGTATACAGCAGCGACCAATCGTGAACGTGATGAGCGTATAATGCGGGAAGGAGATCGTCGATTGGTCAGACCACGTCCAATGTGGCGGTGGAGAAGAAAAGTGCTGGTTCAAACGCGGGTGTTCGTGTCAGACCGAGGAGCAATACTAACGTTAAAATTTTTTTTTTGTTTCATTTCTTTCTACAGTAATTCCTACTTACGTGTCCATCGCTATCCCCACTAATTCTTGAAACTATCTCCACTCAATGCTATCTTACTATATGGCAGTGTGAAACGATTGCGGACGCTTAAGTGAGGTACTATATTTATTTCGTTGGCGCGAGATTTCGAGCTGAGACATCGTAATATCGTTCAAACGATAGCTAGTGATTGGGCCGGGTAATAATGCAGGCAACGTTCAAATAAAGTCGAAAGCATATTCAGCCAGACAAAACAGACAGAACAGAAAAAGCTAAAGAAAGACTGCGCAAATCTGTTACTTCTGCTGCCAGTATAAGAGGAAATACATCGACGTATTCTGCAAAGAGGGCACCAAGCGATTTTTAGAACTTAAAATATGTACATGTTAAAATGAACATTCTGGTAAGTACAAAAAGAGTTCTCATGGTCTGGGCCTCAGTTGTGGTTAGAGGGGATTAGGAAAGGGTAAGAAGAGATACTCTTCTTTTTTCCTGGTGTGCATATTACGTTCTCTCTCTCTCTCTCTTTCTCTCTCTCTCTCTCTCTCTCTCTCTCAGCATCAATTTTTATTTTTATTAGTACGTTTTATTTTATTTTATTTTTATTATCATTAGCATGAATTAGCGTATGTATGATGATTTTTTGACAATAAAGAAAAAGCATTCATTTGTTTAAGGATTCTACAACTTTCTCAATAAAGATACGATATTTTTGGGACCGCTAATTATTTGATTCTCAATTTTATTTTTTTCTATACCATTTCTAACTTATTTTGCATGGTTATTTTAATTCTATCTTGCATGTACATGAAAAATACGATTCAACAAGATTTGTTCTGTTACTAATATATAATAATAATTCTGTAGAATTCTGAAATAATATAGTAATATATTGGTCGAAATTTATGGTATGTATTATGTAATATATACTGGACACATTTTTAAAACTATCAAAATTTCTTAAAAATAAAAAATATATTTTATAGCACTTGCAAATATTTAATATAATTTCATTAATAGATGAAGAACAAATGATGTTCAAATGAAAAGTTTGAGCGATTATAAAAATAGGATCTTATTCAAATAAATATAAAAAGTCTTCACAAAATATTTATATACTTTTGAATAAGAGAAAAATTATTAAATTTTTTAATGCAGTATATTTTTTTGTAATATTCTATAGCATTATATTAATAGTGAATATTATTTTTAATAAAGCTTATTTAGACATATTTGGTGAACAAATAGAAATGTTACACGAAGCTCTGGAAAATATTTCTCTCAAAAATCATAAATCTTTGCGAAATGTTATAAAATCTTTAATTGATCTACATTATCAAATTATTCTTGGTTCGGAAAATATCGAAAATTTATTCTCATATATTGATGTAATTATTATGTAATACATCCATGTTGTACAGGATAGTTATGTAAGTTATAGTTGTATATTCTTAATGATAGTTGTAAGTAATATTTACAAATATTATTTTCACATCATTATTATTTTAATTCGAATTATTTTTATATTTCATACTTTTTTCTTTATGTTTAATTTTATGATTATAATTTTTATAATTTATAAATCATTACACTATTCTAGTCATTTAATTCACACGAGAATGTAGAAGAATTTATAAAAATTTTATTTTTTATATTGCTATTACATTGGAAGCATTTGTTTTTTCTATGTTTGGGAATATCTTAGTAATAAAGTTAGTATGTAATTAAAATTTATATTCACATGAGTTTTTACAGAATGTGTCTATTGAGGGAAAGTTTATTATGAAAAGTTTGAAGAAAAGTTTGCTATGATAACACTGAAGTGAATCGTCTAATTAATTTATCATTAATTAATTTTTCACCTATAAGAGTAATATAAGATAAGAACTACTTTTCCTAATGAAATGATTTTATTTTAATTACAATATCAGGACATGAAAAAGAAAAAAAGAAAAAGTCAATTTTTTTCTCTTTTAACACTTCCATTAGCTAAACTAATGTCTAATCTCAAATTATAGAATATTGTTCAGTTTTATACAGAGATAATCAAAAACAATTTCAATCATATGGAATGTTTTTTAGATATTAGATATTATGAATAAATTTATTGGTAATGAAACGAAATTATAAAAACAATGTATACAACAATAAACTGTTATATAAAAGTATTAAGTTAGTTTTGAACATTTTTTTATAGCAATATATACAATTTTAAATGAATGATCGTATCACGCGTGGCGAATTATTATCTCATTTATTTGCTTGATGAATTCAGATCTGTTTGAAAAGAAACATAATCTCTCTCATTATATCTGTATGACATAAAATATGTTATATTAGGCATTGAAATAACACAAAATTAAAAAGAAAATAATAAAGAATTTTCCATAAATGAACTGCGGGTTTACTTATAGAAATTTAAACAAAATTGTACAGAATGTAGATAATATAAAAAAATGTATAAAATATCTGAAATATAATACTTTCAATAAAATTTAATAGAATAATTTTATACTGACATTTTATTTTCTAAATTCTATTCTTAAAAATATCAAGTTGCATAAAATTTGACAATTTAAAAATGTGTTAGATGTCACATTTGTATAGATAACGATTATATAGATAACGATAACAAGAAAGAAAATATAAATGTAGATATATTGCTAACATTTATGGAATGTATGAAACACGTAGTTCGTGCATAAATTGTAACGAACAAAAACCAATTAATATTATATGTTTCCATATTACAAAGTTATAAATTCTTAATTTCATGAAAAAAGTTTATTCTTTCTCACTTTTAAATAGTAGAAATATCATTTCCTCGAGAAATTTAGTTGCGTGAATGTTAGTTTAATTATAAAACTTTGAAAAATCTAAAAATTCATTTATATTCAACATTTTAAAATTTACTAAAATTTTGTTAAATAATCTATTTTATTATTAAAGTATTATCTATTCACACTTATCCACAATTGTCTTGTCCACAATTTATGAGTATTAAGCGTTATCGATACTTTTTACCACTTCTTTAAATTAAATCTCATAAAATATATATGTTTATTTTAACTTCATTAGTTAGTTCATCTTCTAAAAGATCACTTTTTTTGAACGTTTTTCATACAATAAAATACATATAATATTTCACTCTTCAGTTTTGTTATTCGTTTTATGCCAGAACATTTTCGTTTTTCTGCAAATCATAGCAAATCTAATTTAATATGCACTTGCATAGTTCTATACTTTTCTATGGAAACCAATCGTTATAAGAAAGTTGAGATTATATTTTGAACAACATTCTTTTCTTCGTCCCTAGTTCTGTTTCTAGGAGCTCTATAATCATTGTAATATTATTTGCAATATTTATGTGATCCCTGAGAATTCGAAACAAACGGTTGTCACTCGTGGATAATTTCTACAATATGTGCTTGTGCACGATTTTTGCAGAACGTTCAGTTTATCATGAGACTGCCTCTAACAATAAGTAAGATTCTCAGCAATTTCACTGTTTCGTAAATTTGTTAATTATAATAATGCGTGTTTGTTACGTGTTTCTGTAGATAAAACGGGACGTCTAAAATAATACAAAAATAATAAAAGTGAAAAGAACATAATTAATTTGTATACGATGATATTAAATACAATTAGTCCGTCTGTTAAATTAGGTCTTCATTTTTGCGGTGTTTGGCCTGGAACATCATTTCATTACTTACATAAAATATGTTGGGTGATAGCGATAATTACGCTACAAACTTATCAATACAGATTCATTGTTATGCATTACAGTACTGATTCTCTTATGAATATAACAGATAATTTAAGTATCGCCGTGCCATTCAGTTTAGTGTTTGTCAAATTAGTTGTCACTTGGATAAATTACGGGTAAGTTATCCTAGTTTCAACGAATATAAATCTCTAAATGAAAATTATATACTTTTAACTATATAATTTTGTCGTATCGTGTTTTTTGTCCAACTTTTGCTTTAAATATTGGTTTATGTATCCATTTTTGAAGAAGTATCTGTTATTTTCAGTAGAATTAATGGACTTTTGAAATATTATAATATATACATAAATATCATTTTCCGAATAATGAAATGTAATGTAATGATGATAAAATTGTTAAACAATATTATACCGTAATATAATATAACGAGAATTATTTTCGTGAGAAAATTGTCACGATTAAATAAAATTGATTTGTTATTTATTTATTTGTTTATTTATAATTTTTTAGTATCTGGTATCTTTTAGAATTTTCAGCATATGATAAATGAATACTAAATTTCTTTATGTCATGTTTACAAACCATTAGTATTACATTATAGCTATATGTATTACATTAATATATTTTTATTTCTACGAAAGGTTTTAAGTAAACATGATCGAATATATCCTATATATATATATCTTTGTTATTTTTTTGAATTAATTGAATGAATTAACTATAGAATGTGGTTGTTTAATGCAATAGTCATTGAATATAACTTAAAATGAAAGCTGTATTGTTAAGTAATTTTATCTAGCAGATAGTCGTTTTGTATTGTTTTATGTTATTAATTTATCTATGAATATATTTATTTTATTTAACGCACAAAACGAAGATAGTTTTAAATAAAAATCTCTATAATAATTGTTAATTAACATTAATTTAATATTCCACAGTGTATTTTGTGACATTTTATCAACCATGGAACAGGATTGTCAAAAATATACTGAAATGGATATAAATAATTTGATATCGAAAACGGGGCAGGTCTCTTTTTATTTAACAAGCATGATTATGTCCTCGTATCTGGTGTCTGCGTTTTTTTATCTTACCGGTACTATTGCATTCCAAGGAAGTAACGATTCAGTGTCTCGAGAGCTTCTTTTTAAGATGGATTTACCTTTCGAGACCAATGAATCTCCGAATTACGAACTTGTAGTAACTACACAATTTCTGATTCATTTCTCAGCCGCTCTCACATTTGGATCGTTCACTGCTCTGCTTCTAATGGTGGTGAGTGTAAATTTCATTTTTCTCTCGGATAGCTATAAATACATTTTTCTTAGAATTTGTATTATTGCTTCAGAAACAATTTTCTTAAAAGCATAAATCGAGTTGAACTAATTTTAAGTTTTTTTTTTCATAATTCTATTGAAGATAATAGTTTCAACAGAATTATGAAACAAATTTTCAAATTTTCTAAATATCGAGTTTTGAATTAAAATTTTATTAATTGAAATTAAAAATTTTCTTTTGCATTGCATCTATTCTAGAGATTTTCGAAAATATGTATAAACTCGTTGTTCATAAAAAAATTGTTAATAAACTACCATTTCACGAAGTTTTGTTAGAAATTGATCGGTGTACGAATATTTTCTACACTCAATGTATATGAAATCAATATTTGATTGTTAAATACTGAATAACTTCTTTCTAAAATGATTTATCAATCCAAATCAGCTTTTTTTTGGATCAGATACATCTATTTGAATTAATACAGCAACATACTATTACATTGGAATTATCATTTTTAGGTACTTCATGTAGGGTGTCAAATCGATATTATGTGCCAGAATTTAACGGATGTTCTACCCAAAAATGAAAATAAGTTAAAACATTTTATTAGCAGATATCAAGAAATCATTATTTTTACAGAGAAAATTGAGAAACTTTTTACTTATATAGCTCTTAGTCAGCTTGTATCAAATACAATTAACACTTGCTGCGAAGGATTTCTCATTGTAATTGTAAGTAACGACTCGATTTGCGATATTTTACTTTCTCACTGTGTTACAGATAAAACAGGCTAATATTACAGGCTTTAAACGATGACAATGGACTTCCATTATTGATCAAGTCTGTTTTATTTTATGCAGTTATTTGTTTAGAACTGTTTGTATATTGTTTCGCTGGAGAATATCTTCGTATTAAGGTTGTTAAATGAAATATATTTTTTATTGCACTATGTCAAATGTACTCTACTGAAAAAGTATACGAAATATTTAATTAAGAAAAATTATTTACTCAATTGTTTCTTCTTATAAATCTTCTATAGCTTTTATTTTTGTTCAAGGTACTTTTAACGTTTAACTTTATCATTTGTTTTTTTATATTCTATTTAACTCTATGCAATAATATTTACTACATATTTTTAAGTACAGTACACTTAAATGTATTCGTTTTATCATCACTGAATGACGCATTTTCAAATAAATATTTTCTTAATTTTATAAATATATATGTATTTAAGAACTTATAATCAGTAGGGTATGAGAGACAAAAAATGTTTAAGGCACGTTAAATCGTTTATAAGTAGAAACGAAATGATGAAGAGAAAAATATCTCTCAAGGATAATTATAGCTTCTTATGATTGAAACAATAAATATAAGAAATAGAAAAATACGGATGTCGCAGATTCGATTTTTATTGTCTCGATTTTTTACATACAAGTGTCACCAATCCTATGTTATAATTGTTCGAAATATGTAATGTCATACATACGTAATTTCTGTAAATTTCTAAAATATATGAGATTAAATCAATTTACTTCTTTAGGTATTGGATTTAATTAACATGTTATAATACAATTCAATGTTCACTAAAAGAAGTTCAGTGTTATAACAGTAAGGAATGATAGTTTTATAATTTATAATTTAATCGTATACAAATGTCTCATTTATTTATAGCAGATTCTTGTAAAGAAAATAACACAATTCGATATAGTGTTTTATAGTTTTCCAAGAGAAATGAGGAACTAGTTTTGAATAGAATTAGATATTATATTATTAATTAAAGAAACAACGTAATTTAAAGTAATTTAAAGTAATACAATTTGCACATTGTCAATATGTATTTGTTCACGATGATAATCAAAACAAAATTCATAATAACAGCGCAGTGTTACATGAAGGCAACATAATTCCTTTTTATCGGTTATATTGTGAAGATCAATGAATAAGATTTTTATAACTGATTAAGGACTGTCTCTGCAATATTTTTATAATGATATTTCGAAAATCATATTGATTTCGATTGATTATTGATCAATTCAAATCATCGGCATACAGTAGCATTGTGTTGAAGCATAAAATGAATACATTGATTATTTTCTTCAAATATCTGCAATTTAAAAATTAAGATATGTTACATAAGTTGATATGATATTTTTTACGTATTTTAATGTATAGACGCATCATAGAAACAGAAGATATTTTATTTCATATATATATACGAATGTACATACTTTTTTCAACTTGAAATGATATAAGAAAGAAATGTAGACTTTTTTAATTTATTGCATATTCATAAATGTTTATTCATTAAAATGTTTCATTTTGTGTGTACATATAATCAAATTAGTTATTAATATCTTATATTTATTTCATTGTTAGAGCCAATTAATCGGTGATACAGCGTACGGTGTACTTTGGTACGATTTACGTCCGAATGAAAGCCAACTTCTAATACCTGTTATATTAAGGTCTCAAAAGGGTTTCACATTGACCTTTGGAAAATTTTCAAGCCTTTCGTTGGAAAGCTTCACAAGCGTAAGCTATTTATTTTCTATACTTAATGATTTTATCCATTTACTATATTATAATAATATACTTGCAAGGAAAGAGCTTCAAGTCAAAATTCAGGAAATTATGAAACTTTGGAAATGTGTAAAGCATACATATATATGTATATGTAACTTTGCAGTTTAAAACTTCAAGGAGGTCAAATTAACTTCAAATCCGTCAATTTTACCTCTCTAGAATAAATTTTACCAGTGAAAGAAAAATTGTACATATCTGTACATATATGCTATTTCCATAGTAAAATATTGATTAACCGATTATGTGACACATTGATTGTCCAAAGTTTAATTATCTGAATGCAAGTTGAATGAAAAAGGGTGTCACATTGATCTTTGAAACATTTTTTTAGATGAATCACCTAATTACATAAATTGTAACATCGAAATTACATATCCAACAATGTTTACATTTTAGGATGTGTATCCTTCCTGCTTCGAATAACTTATTTTACTTACGTGACTCGTCTGAATTTAATGTGTATTTATATACATTTATATTATATAGTATTAAAAGAGAAAGAGCGACTCTGTAAATATTATTGTATAATATATTATTATATAAAAGATAAATGAAATATTATTGAAAGTTTTAAAAAGAATGAAAATACATCAAATTCAGCCAAAGTCTAAATTAGCGATATTAAAAATAGTAAATCAAAATTATTAAAATCTCAAAAGAATTTATGAAGGGAATTTGTATCCGTATAAAAATTTGGAAATAACAAATGATGATAAATTAAATCGGGTTACATATAAATGGATCTTATAAAAACGAAACACTGATATATCATTATCAGATTCATTTAAATTAAAGCTCTTAAATTAAACACAAAGTTAGCTGGTAACAGAAGTTTTAAAGTATCTGACAATTATTAGACATGTATTCTTTTATGTTATAAACGTCTGTACTTAGAAACTATTTAATTTCTAATTGACTTCTGAAATACTTACAAATTTGGTTCTTTCGGACCGATTATTAAAAAAACCGTATATCTAAACAAATTTGTTTTTTAATTAATTTGGATCGATGTTCTTCTGTATCTTCAAAATTCCATATTTTTCTGCATTTCTAGGTTGATGATCTTCTCTCAGTAATATGCAAAAAGTACTTGCAAGGGCAAAAGTTAAAGGAATTTTTAATAATTTTTAATAATATAGAGTAAGAATATTACATAAGATATGCAAGGAATAGTACTATTTATTATATTATACATTACAGGATAATTGTAGCATACATTACAGGATAATAGACATATCAATGTTGGTATCTTCAAAATGAAGATTCTAATTTTATTAATTACATTTGTTCAGTGTTGTATTATATTATAGGAAGATAGGCAAAGCCAAGGTTTTTGTTAATTATTTTTGAAAATTTTGCAATTTTTTAAGATAAGTACTTACATCATATAATTATATTTTCATGATTGTGATTATACTTTGTATTCATTTTGGCTATCACAAGAATTAAAAATTCATACCTTTTCGTCATTTTTATTTTTATGTTAAGAATTATTTAAAGCATTTCTCTGCTAAAGTAAATAATTTTCGTCGTGGAAATGGAAAACGTGCGGTAATTACATTGTATAAAGAATATTTAGAGTATTCATTTATATTAGACAGATAGTGTAAACATGGCCACTTAATCTAACATAGATAAGCTCAAATAGACTCAAGTGACAATATATACAAACATGCAATTTTGGTTCCTGTAATGATAAAGTAATATAAAATAAAAATTTCATTCATTTTTAAACCGATCATTAAAAAAATTTTTCAGATTTGTACTCTTCCTACTCAGTTATATAAGTTCCTTTTCCAGAAAATATTGTCATCATACTGAAGGACTGAGAAAATGAAACCAGCGATGAAGAATATAGTGTTTATTGCAAGAAGGCGAAAAATTGAAGTAATAAACAGTAAATCTGAAAGTGTAGTAATAATACCGCACAAGACTCTGATAGTTCAGATGATAGTTCAGATTGGATTTGTGTATAAAATCATTTTATATTAGCTGTAAAAAGCTTATCAAATATGCACAAAATCATTTTGAGTTGCTACTTCACTCCAGCGAAAAAATCATCGAGTGCAAAAGGATATATTATGTAATTTTATTTTGAGAACAAAACAATGGTATTGTTTTACGTTTATAGCATAGCTATTCATATAATATATACATACATATATATCAAATAAACACCAAATGATTTTTATTAATTTCAAGTAGATAGAATATCGTGAAGTTAATATAATATAATATTTCAATATTATTTTGTTTATTTACAGATATATCTGTTTTCTTATATATATAGTAAAATTTTGTTTATTAAAACATGTCAGAAAACAAGACTATTCGAATAATCGATATCGAATTCAGATAATAGAGATTCACTTGCTTTTCCTATACTCTTATTTATTTGAATAATAAGAAATAGATATAGATAAAAGAGGACAGAAATTAAGCAATTATGAATTTGAAACTCAGTATGTATTAACTAGTTTGTATAAACGAGGTTTTTAAACATTTCTTTTATACGATGTGGTTTGATATTTAATATTAATTAAAATTCCTTTATTCTTTGCCTTTTTGCAAAAAATAAAAATTGTATTATTTAAATGGACGGTTATTTAAATCGACGAAAGATTATTCTTTTTACTTTATTGGAAATATTATTTAATAGACAAATATTTTTGACACTGTTTTATTTTTTACATTTATAGATTATGAAGATTTCAGCATCATATATGTCAGTACTTCTCGCAGTATATTGAAAGATATAATTATAGCCTAGTAAATTATTACGTCTACTTCGATGTGGAGTTATGATAATATACAATTATTAAGTATACAATTGATTTAACTTGAGTTATTGTTTCCTGGATTACTATGATTATTGTGATATATAAAAAAATGAAATGTACAAATATCTTTAACAATAAAAAGTAGATTACCTGTTTATATTAACAATTTTATTATTTGCAATTATTATTTGTGTTATGGTATACACAATATAAAATATAATACACATAATCAACTTAAAAGTAATTATATATTCAAATTTAAAACGTTACTTGTATATATATATTTATTTTTAATTTTTATAAGTATTAACGCCCTTTGATTTCAGGGAACTATATTATCATACATCATAATGCTTTTTAAAGTATTTAATATGAAGCTTTATCATCCATGACTCCTACTGCCACGAAGTTGAGATACCAACATATTGCAGTTATGTAAACATAACCATAGCTACTTAAATGTGGATTTGGTGAAACATTCATCCAACACGAGTGGAATACTGTTCATACGCTAACGTTTGCGGAGGATACAGTAGCATTTGACTATTAAGCCACAAATCCAACACCAACGGTTAGGATCAGGAGAAATTTATCTCTGAGGATTTCCGGTCTCTGTGATATCCGTTCAAGTCATTAATAGAGTTGTTGTGGAACAATTAAAATAGATTTTTAATTAGTGTTCTTGCAATAGGACTCTATCTACTACAATACACTGATGAAATACATGGAAACATCACTCAAGGGACTTATATAAGTAGGATTCAGTCATGATCACAGCTTGTGTTTTAGCGGTTTTCTTTACTTTTTGTTGAAAAGTCTGCTCGACAGGGCTATATCATCACGGAATCAAGTCGAAAATTCATTCTAGTTACCGAACTGTCCTTGGTTTCAATTTGACAACTCAAACAGTCTCTTTCCCAGTGAGTCTTGAGAATATCGAGAAGGTACAGTTTTTGAGATTAGACATTTCTTAAAATGATCAGAAATCAGTTATTTTCATGTTTGTTTGGGAAGTTCGTGGAGTTGACGCGCCCGAATAACTACTTGTAATTGTAATACTAGTCCTTTCTGTGATATATTAATAAGTAGGATGAGTTGCCCTAATATGGAATTTATCATATTAGGTAATTTTTTTTACCAATTTGCACGACCGATTTGTCTTTCGATGTCACGAAATGAATCTGGAATAGCAAAAAAATTTGATTCCACGACTAGTGGACTGTATTTTGCCGTAACCGAAATTTTGGTCACCGAAACATAGATTAATTGATTCTACTAAAGAGAAAACTAAGAATGAGTTTGTTTTTTACATAAGTTTTCTCTTGTATAGTTTTCTTTCAGAGTAAGCCTTTTTTTGCCTTCTATTTTATAGGAGTTGATACATAATATAGATGGATGCATAATATCAATGGGAAATTAACGTGATTCATAATTATTTTCGTTTTAAAAAAACAAAATTTATTATTTTTCATATAAATTTAAACGAAAAGATAGTTGTCATTCAAAATTAATTAGTATTTTTAAACTCATATATTTTATTTTATAATCAATTATTATTGATCAAACTACATGTTGAACAAGTGAATATTTTTTAAAAAGATCTTCCCTCTTTTGCAAAAAGAAAACTTCTCTCTATTCATAACTATGCGCAATCATTTCAGATATCAGTTAATCTTTTCAACATTTTGAAAGAATATAAGAATATAATCAGACAATATCAAAGACATTGAACGTACAATATGAAGACATTAAAGAAAAATGTTATTCTTCTTATACTTTTTCAATGAATAGTGAAAAACTTTTATATGAATTATTTTGCTTCCCTTAAAATCATACAACTTTTGTATTAAACAATTTTTCGCATAATTTAAAAGTTATTTCACATTGCAAGTTATATGAATCACTCTGTATATCTTATTTTCAAGAATGTAGACTTCTCTTTTGTATATTTTTTTCTCAACAACAAGAATAAGCTACTAGAGCAAAAACTTTCATATAATTTAACCCATATTATTGATCTCGTCTCCTTGTTATCTGCTTGACTTTATTGATTATATTTATACCTTGAGTTTGATAAAAACTTTCATAGCTAATGACAAACTCCTGTTCATTATTTTTCGTATAGTTTATAATTTTTCTGGAGCTTTTATGTTATATTGCTTGCTATTGTAATATATCTTCTTTCTTCGTTCACTGTTTTACTTTCAACCTGATCTTCTGCTTGGTGTGTCTATACTTCTTCATACTTGCTCATAACTCTTACTGATTAGTCAGTTAATGTTTATCTTCTCTTTATTGAGCATCGGTATTATAATACCTCTATCTTCTTTGCCAATAATATCAAAAGTGTCCTTATCTCTTCTGTAATTGTAGTTTTAAGAAACGCATATTGCATAAGTTTATAAGTTTTTGCTTATTATTCATTCATGCCCTATCATGCCCTATGACTACATTTCGTTTTCAGCAAGAAACTTCGTTAATGATTTCTATCTCTTGAAAACTATGACGTGACTACCAAATTTTAGATAATTAACATATCGTTTATGTCCTCTTCAAGCGTCATATGTTTTAGAGCTTGCATGGTATTTGCAAACTTTGCGGAAAAGCAGACTTCATTAGTATATATTTCGATATTTCGATTTGTCTTTTCAACATTATTGAAGTTCAGATAGTTTCAAGGATCGAAAAGTCGATCTGTGGTCGAAGCATCCTTCATCAGATCGCGAGACGGTTCTAACAATTGTAATCAAAATACGCAAAACCGTCTAAAACGTTAGACTTCTTATTAGCGTCTAAACGTTAGAATTCTTATGAAGAACTGTTTTGGTAAATTTAGACTGTTATGACTAAAAATAGCAATTCGCCCTTTTTCATGTGGGTAAGAAGTTTTAATGGTAGCCATACTCGATCACGGTTAAAATCTTTTGTTGTCTTCTCCGGTCGACGATCGCGGGCCTATTTTGTTTAACGTATCCAAAGGTGGCTGACCTCGAATCGCCATATAACGTAAATATTTGAAAATTAATGTTATCTAGATCCGAGCAATCGAACAATCAATTTGGTTGGTGGTGATTTAGTCAAAATCTATAAAACAGGCCTGCCGTCAGCTGGAAGATATACTTCAAAACTACGTTAGATTAAGACATACATTACTTACGCAAAGACATGATATTACGTTAAACGTTAGAGGCAGATATAAGATATACGTTGATGCGCGAAGATGTGCGTTATATACTCAGAGATACAGTACCACTTTAAAATTGAACGTTAATTACGAGAAACGTCTCATTTAACATGTCTACACAAAATCAAGTTTGAATGCAGACTCGATTGAGTCAGTCCCAATCGTAAGCGGACGCTCAACAAGCATTCTTTTGTAGTATCTATTGAATTCTTAGGTGTCTTAAGCTCTTAGAAATGCATTGAAAGACGTATTTTCTTTATGTGATCTTAATCTTTTGATCTTATGACTTGTTACTCCACTTTATTTTCGTATATTTCAAATACTCAAAATATGTCTCATTTTTTTTCAACATGTACATTTCTATTCTGGAATTTGTAGTGATGCCCCGATTTATGGCACGGCTGCAGTCTTACGCTACATTTGAAGAAAAAACCTAGCAAGGGGATTGAAGCCTTGATAACTCATTGAAACTGGATTTTAACGCGTTTGAACAACATATAGCACTTTTGACGCGCAGAGTTGACAAGAAATGTCAATGATTTGCTCCCATTTTGAGATCAAAGAATCTCTGAAACTGATGAAAAGACTCTGACTAAACTTTGGTGCTTCCTCATGCATCACCTTGATATGCATTACGCTGCCCATTATGGAAGCCCTTTCCTCACTGCTCTCGGTTTCGTTGTTTTTTTCTTATAGCGACACCGGAGACCATACCCGGAGTCGTTCCTCTGTGGGTCCTCTGGCTCAGGCCACGGGCACTTGCCCGTGTCTCCGACTTATAAATCAAAGTATTTCAGCCGTATTCTCCACGAAGACGCCATCTCCATCGATTGTCAGTCATGTTTGAGGCGGCCGCTATGATTGCGAGAATCCATGGAATCAAACGGCCTTAGTCTTGTGCACAGCCATCTCGAGTCCCAAGCTTTGAATCTTAAGTGTAATTGCCGCCACTCCTACCTTAGCAAGTCTTAGCGTGTGGGTCCAATCCATTTCATTGGCAATCGGCATAACAGGTGATGTAAACTCCTTCGGGAAGCGCAACTTTCAGAACTGCGTTTTACCCCAGGTTCGAGAGCAAGAGGCCGAGCACCAACCCTTGGGAAAGCACCGACCTCTGGGAACATGGTGCGTATGCTTTAATTAGCTACATTTATTCTCATATAACCATCATCTTTTGATTCAACAGCTATGAATATCTTGTTTCTGTGTTGTGACCGTTTACATGATGAAACTTAGTTAAAATAACATATACATCACTGCACTTGCACTTTTGTGATTGCTTTCAACAATTCTATCTTCATCGCATCTTCTTTGAATATTAAACAAGATGTTTCTTTGAATATTGGTTTTAACATTCATGTATTTTTGTCATATATTTTTGCATGTAGCATTTGTAACATATGCCCTTGAACATATTTCCATTTTGGCCTACTAGATTTCATATAGTGCATAGTATAGAACATTGAATTCTTTTTATTAAAAAAATCTTTTTATTGAATTTTTTAAAATAAAATATAAGGCAGAAAGTTTTTTGAATGAAGATAGAACTCCATATTGATATCCATATTGTATTTACACGTTTTTAGTTCTTTCTCCTTTATTATTATTATTTTTGATGTTATTATTGTTGTTGTTATCATTATTATTATTATTATTATTATTATTATTCGCTTATTATATGTATATATTCAAAAATATAATTTATATACTAAATTATATTACGTATGAAAGAGAATACAATGAATTTATTTCAATTTAACAGTACACGACGTTTAGAAAACTTCATATGAAACTTCTTATTCTACAACATTTTCTACTTTCTCCAGAAACTATTAAATTTTCTTCTAGTCATGACTGAAGTAATTTAATATGCATCCACATGTACAATTGCATATTCCTGTATTTTTTATGAAAATTATCCTCCATTTCAACAAAATTGTAATCATAGCATTTTCTATGATTGTTCCTATTCCCAGCGAAACTGTAATCATTTTAATATTATTTGCGTTATATACGACTATGGGTAGCGAATGTTATTAATAGTGAATGAGTTCAAAAAGTTTGAACCGGCACTATAATTTTGTTGCATAGTGTTCAGCGCAGCGCGGCGGAAGGACGTCTGCAAGCACGTTCATATTTTATAAATCTATTAACAGTGATGGTAAAAAAATAAATTTTATCAGTTGAAATTCAGAGTTTGAAACAAAAGGGAATCATCAATTGATATGAAATGGCAGCAGTTAATACGATCAGTCCCTCTGTAAAGTTTGGTCTTCATTGTGCCGGACTTTTGCCAGGAGTACGGCTTTCAGTTTTATATAAACTTTACTGGGTGATACTTTTTAGTATATTTCATACTCAACAGTACAATTATTTAATCCAGAATTATGAATTTCATACTTTTATAGAAATAATAGATAATGTAGGCATTTGTCTGCCGTTCAGTTTAACATATATCAAAGTGTTTATCGTTTGGACACATCAAAAGTAAGTTTTTCTTATTGTGATTGATTCGGATACATTTATATGTAATATAGATATATTTCTTTACGAAATTTCTTTTCCATTCTCTTTGGACATAACAATACAATAAAATTACTAATTTAGAATAAAGGACTTATAAAATAATTATTTTTTATATATTATGCAGAAAAAAATACTTTGCATTTTGTACTACTTATATAATAAAATACTTGAATAATGAATTTATTAATGATCAATTGCAAATATTACTCTGCACATGGATATAATATTTTAAATATTATTTTGCAGCCTCCTTCGCAATATTTTATCAACTATGGAAAAAGACTGCCAAAGATATGCTGTTATAGATACAAATAATGTAATATCGAAAACTGCACATTGGTCTTACCGTTCAACAACCGCTATAATAAGTATCAGCGTAATAGCTCCAGTCTTTTATGCAATTGGCATTTTTGGTTCTCCAGAAGTTAGTGCAACTTCACATCGAAAACTTTTATTCAAAATGGATTTCCCTTTTGATACTGACACGTCACCAGTTTTCGAGCTTGTAATATTTGGACAGTATTTGTACCATGTATCATCAGCTTTTGTGTATAGTGTATTATCTGGTTCCCTTTTGATGGTAGTAAGTATTAACAATAAACTACTTCTTTTGATTTGAATGCGTCTTTACTTTAAAAATAATTCTTCTTCAAAAAATAAATTTCATTTTACTCATTTTGTCATTTAAGAAAAATATTTTTTTGAATACAATTTAATTAATTGAATAAGAAGAATCTTTATTTTCTAATAAAGGATAATATATCGTAGATAATATATAGTTTATATATCGACTTTATTTGAACCAAATTTTAATCAATATTCAATTAAATCAATTCTTGAATCTCCACTTATTTGAATCTGGATTCATGATCGGAAAATCATTAAGAGAGAGGAAAATTCTTATTGTACGAAATTATATAATTTGGATTATTATAGATTATAAAGTTATATATAATTATTACTTATAGTAATGGGATTATTATAGATTTGTTCTCTGATAAGTTCATATAAGTAAAGTTCTATTGTATTAATTGGACATTTTTTATGTGAAATTTTATTCACCTGTCAATATAGTTTTATAAATTAAATTGGTATTTCTGTTATGTGAATTAACTATGGAAGATTTTTAAATGCCTTTGTAAAAAATTAATGTATTATGAATTATTTTGAATTATTTGAATATTTTAAAACTTTTGTAATAATATCCTTACATTTAAAAGTTTCGTTTCGTTACAATATTATATATCTCATAGAAATAATTTTTAACTTTTATTATAATTACACATTCTGTCTCTTTCTCTCTTTCCCTATTGTAAAATCAGGCTTACGCACAAATTAATATAATAACCAATCAAAACTTATCTTTCCAACAATGTCATTCCTATTTCTTAAGACGTTTTGTTATACGACGTTGCTTATTAATTAAATTCTTTGCATAGTCTTTATATAACAAATCACATTACATTAACAATTACATTTTTAAAATTTTTTAGTATCAATAATTTTTTTACCTAAGATTACAGTCACGACAGCGATTATTATCACGATAAATATTGATTTGTAAGTCACATAAGTAAGTTTTATTTTGTGTAATTTTATTTTAAGCAATGAAAATTTACAATGAAGGTTCAGTAGAAGATAAACTAAATTACAAATTGAGAAACAAAAGTTCTATTACTTTTTTCTGTTTTGAAAGTTATTAGTACAAGCTATTCATTATTTTATAAAAACATAAATTTTAAATCAACTGTCATGTGATTAAATTTCTAGGAATATATAATAGAACATGCAACAATGTTCGTTTCGAAAGCATGACGATTGTAACATTTGCTATCTATCGTCGATAGTGAATGGATATCGAATTTAATAATGACTGCAATTCGTGCATATACGCAACATAGTTGAACAGTTGAGTTGCGACTTGTGGTTCCTTGGAGATTTTTTTGATAGAATGCGATATAATAAAAACATTTGACCATGAAAATTATTCTGAACTGTGAAAAATATTCAGGATCAATTTTGTGGCTTACATTTTAAACAAATCTTCACTAAATCGAAGATGTACAATCACTTCTCAAAGTTATGTACAAATACGAATGTCATTTGGAATCCTACACTTGAAAAATCGTACCTCAAAAAAAAAAAAAAAAAAGAAATTACATGGGATTTTATATTTTATTTAAATTGACCTGTATTTATCAAATATTGTATATAATCTATTTGAAATTCTATTAACATTGTAATGAATAATTTAATAGTATTCCATTATCTAATTTTAATTATCGATTATGCAAAATTAAAATATTGCCATAAACTAAACATTGTCGTTTAGACTTCAGGAATATTGTTAGGTAACAAAAATTCTTTTTTTCATATCATCGAAATACTCTTTTTAACTTTATAAATATAAAGTTCTTCCTAAAATATTGGTACATTTTACAAATTTATATATTTTACAACGAATAGTATATTATTATTGTCCTATTTTATTTTATCATTGTATTTATTTATTATCCAATAAATAATATATTTTTATTGTTTCATTTTATCTAACTATTTCATAATATTGTTCATTGTGTTTAGGTGCTTCATGTAGGTTGTCAAATAGATATTATATGTCAAACGTTAATGGAAACTCCATATGAAAGTGAAAAGCAATTGAAGTTTTTCATTAGCAGGCATCAAGAGATTATTATATTTGCACAAAAAATTGAGAAGCTCTTTACTTATGTAGCGCTTTCTCAACTTGTGACGAATACTTTAATTACTTGCTGTTTAGGCTATCTTATGGTAATTGTAAGTACTAATAATAATAATACTAATACTAGTAATAATTAACATGAGAATCTTGTTTATCATATTGCAAGTGGTAAATAATGCTAAATATCTAATGTGCTCTTAAACTAATGGTACAATTTGGAAAAGAGTGAAGCTACATGAAAAAGTAAGTTAAAAATATAGAATGACATTTCTTAGTTCATTGTTGAACTCTAAGCAGCAATATGAAACCATATATGCAACCATAGTGAAATGAAATCATACATAAGTATGTATATACTTTATATACTTTCAATCTATTAAACAATGAGATTAATTAATTTAAGAAAGTCATTCTAATATATATTTAACTGATTTTTTCATGAAAAATCCTCTTTGAAATTCGGAAACTTTATGTAAAAGGAGTTTAATCTGTTACAGTCATTACGTATTAATAGTGGATTTGCTCTGTTCGTAAAGTATGTTATAGTTTATGTGGCTTGTGCTCTGGATGCTTTTCTATATTGTTTTGCTGGAGAATATCTCAGCACTAAGGTTAGTAAATATTAAAATATCAAGTCAATCTGGTTATATAATTACCACGCATGGCACAACAAGTAATGATTCATATATAATTTGTATTATAAATTATCTCTCCAAATTTTTTGAACACAATTTGTATTTTTGACGAATTTTTAATATGAAGAATTCAATTTATCTAGAATTAATGTTTCGCAATAAAACTGTTATTGTATATTTTCGACTTTTTCCCATATTGACCATCTTTTATGCTATATTACGTTATATTATATTTATGTTATATGGGCAACATGGATTAGATACTACTGCATTCTACTACCTGGGCATTTACATGTTATTTCGCTAAAAATATCCCGATAGCAAAATTGTTTTGTATTGAAATGCAAAAGCGATTAGCTTTTAGTTATACATTGTGATCATAAATAATGTAAAAATAATGATTCATATGTATTAGATAACATTTTGCAAACAGGATGGTATAATCGTTTTGATAAATAATTATTCATTAAATATTATTTAGGAATGCATTTTCTAATTTCATAAAATAATTTACAGAATGTTTGGTAAGAAAATTCAATAAATATTTTTACAAATAGTAAAAGTATTTGCAATTACTATAAAAATAAAAAAATGAAGAAAATTTATTAATTAGATTAAATTTAAATTTAATTTTGAATCAAGTTTACTAATTAAATTATTAAATCGGAAAAAAACCTATAACACTCGGACTTGTGAACGATCTTGTACTTTCATACTTATATAATAAACTACTGAAAAATAAATCGAATATGTATAATATATAAATTATAATTAATAATATATAATAATATAAAATTATAATTCATTAACTATAAATTAATATACAATTAAAATACAAGATGAAGATGTAGAAAAGCTATTTCTTCTTCGACCTCAATGTGCTATGTTGTAGATATCGACATTTAGAACAATTTTTTTTTTTGTATATAATCGGTTGTCGGTTTTCGAGATTAAAATTGGTGAGGAAGTAGTTTTTCTACTTCACTTAAATGGAGATTTGAGTTATAATATTGAATAGTTCTTCACCATTTTATTTTCGTTTTTAAAATAACTTTATCCTTCTAAAAATATCCTTAAAATTAATTTATTAGAGTTCATATACGTTTTGTAAATTCATGTAGTGAATATCTTCATTTCCTCTATTATACCAGGTATCGTAATTATTCGTTGTTTAAAAGAGCTTGCGAAAGATCAGAATCATTTTGAAAATGGAAGCAAAACAATGAAATATATTTTTATATCCGTTTGTATGTTCATATTTAGTAATCATGATAAACGTCGTAGTTTATTATTTATTATATAGTTGTCTATGATATATGCATATGAGAATATTGAATTAGACAATATTAAATTAAATATTAAGTACATTTTCGAGATATTTCTTGTCATTTTAAAAAATTCTGTATTTTTATTTCTTATCAAAAAATACATTTCACAAACATACATTTCTGTACAATAATATTAGCATCAGTTCATTTGCATATTTGATTATTGACTTTCAATAAGTAATTGAATACGATTTGCACATGATAATCAAGCAACTGGCGATTGTTAATTGACATGTTAATATTATGTTAATATCGTTATGAAAGTACCTATAATTGAAAATGAATAATTTAATAATTCAAATGAACAGTAATTAAACAAATTTGTATTTGTATTGTTACAGTCATACTATAATATTCTATACTATAATACTATAATATTCTAAGTTCATTGAAATAAAGCTTCCTTTTTCACATATTAATAGAAGTTTTACTCAATAGATTTAGTATTGCTCGGGCGATTTTCCACAATTCTATATATCAGATATATTAGAGTTATGCGTACAAGAGACGTTAGGCTTTTTGTTCGCATAAAATAATTTACTATTCTATTTTTAGATAAAGACAAGAAGAACTCAATCACGGCTGTTGTCATGATGCGATAGTTTATTGCTGTCTTTCCCAGCCACATGCCTGTTTGTTTGGTGTCCTCTAAAGGCGGTATCGATCACTGTATCGATGCTTATTTCACCGTTTTTAAAGGAACTGCTTTAGAGCAAGGACTTATCAAACGGCTCAGTGTTTAAAGTGATTGACCCGCACTCGTCATCATCTTTTCGATAAAACAGGCCCGCCGTTAGTGGGAGTGACAGTGATACATTAAATTCAATATTACCAATATAGTATAGAACCACTGAGTGCGTATCACGTCACACAATTCGGGCTATAGTTAATCCCACCGCTGTGGCTAATCTTTACCATGCTGTGAGCTATAATCAATAACACATTAATATCACTCATCTATTATACAGTCCACTTCTCGCAATCTCCGATCATCTATCAGAATCGTATTTTTCTTCTCCTCACAATACATCATCACACGGTCGCTATCCCACTCAAATACAAGCGTGCGAATCGCGATCATACTGCTTGACGCAACAAGTATAATATTTATTGAATTCGAAGTCAATTTTGTAGATTCAGTTTTTTTAATCTTCATCGATTCCGAAGGGTGAAGTCATTTGTTGAATCCAACAAATAGTTTTTTCAATACCGTAGAAAGATATGTTTAATCGACTTCATTGACATATGTGGCCAAAGACAGCGCTTAGCTTTTAGTTTTTTAAGCTCAGATTCAATTCAGGATTGATAGATTCGAAATTAGAGTTCTTGAAAAACTCCCGGAACAGTATGTCGCCAATCGAATTGTTGTCCCAGACAATTTTAGAATTTATCTAGGAATATTAACTTGGAAGTTGTGTGTCTGTTTTTCTAATTGGTGTGAGCGTGTTTTAAAGAATGCTCGCTTTTTCCAGTAATAAATTATTCTTCGATTTCTAGTCTTGAGTCAATATGGATAAGTGTACACGCGATGACCGGCTGTCTTGAAATCTTCGCCTGCGTGTATGTAAATTGTTTCAGGGTGGTAGTCGGCTTTCTTAGCTGCCTTCGTAATTTCGATTCTACCCTGGTGACGTCTATCACATATGTGACGGTATACAATGAACTCCCATATAACGCAAGGGATACGCTCCGTGTTATACAAGACATGCATTGTCAGACGAATTTGTGAAAACAAAATACGAACTATAATGTTTAACCCACCTTTATCATCTTTAGAATTGCTCGTATAAAAGACGTGTTAATGCTTAAGATGAAAAAGTGTTTCTAAAGAATTCGAGAAATATTGCAAAATGTTAAAATCGCAATAAATGTGTTATATCGTTTATCGCGTTGCATAAGTACTATAACCGCAATATTTTTTAATGTTACGAATTTGCGTTATAGAGGAACATGTTATACAGGAGTTTACTGGTAATCAATTGACAATGATTCGCTTATTGATAACTAGAGCTATGCTAAAACCAACAATGATTTATTTATTTAACCAAGTCCAAAATTCAAATAAAAGATCTCTCCACTTCATATTGAATATATATATATATGTTGGACTGGACTCAATCTCAGATGGAGTGAAATTTTTATTATATGCGAAATTTGTAGTCTTGCGGTTAGTTTTGTGATCAGTCTTGCAACGTATTTCGAAACTAATTGTTATATTCGAAAATGCAGTCTTAGAATACGAATAAATATATATTGGTGACATTCTCATCCGTCTTCACATTATATCACTATTCAATAAATCCATCCATAATTTTTCATCTTCTATAATTAATACTATTAATAAAACAAATAATAAAAAAGTAATATTATTGATAAAAAAATAAAGAATAAATTAGAAAAAAATAATGAAAAAGGAATATCATTACAAACTTAACTATACAAATTAAATCATAATTGTTACGATTGTTAGAA